CTTTTGTTGAAATGACCTTGGTTCTCAGGTGGACCCAGCCTTGAATAAGTACCAGGCGGAATCCTGGAAAGTGAAGATGGCCGGCATACTGCTGACTCCAACAGCCACCAAGTGCCCCTTGGTCTGTAGTATATCGGTCTAACCCTATATGTCCAGTGGAAATGTGTCCTTTTATCGCCCCTAAGGTAAAGATCGCACTTTTAACCAAAGTTGATCTAAGCTGGTTGAACGCGATGGGTTTTTTTTTTTTTTTTTTAATTTAACAACGAACGAAAAAAAAACCAACTGATGTTTGGGCAGACATAGATTTAAAGGGTTTTACATTGTACACCCTCTCAGTTCAAATGGTTTCACATTGTACTCCCTCTCAGTTCAAAGGGTTTTACATTGTACACCCTCTCAGTTCAAAGGGTTTTACATTGTACACCCTCTCAGTTCAAAGGGTTTTACATTGTACACCCTCTCAGTTCAAGGGGTTTCACATTGTACACCCTCTCAGTTCAAAGGGTTTTACATTGTACACCCTCTCAGTTCAAGGGGTTTCACATTGTACACCCTCTCAGTTCAAGGGGTTTCACATTGTACACCCTCTCGATTTAAAGGGTTTCACATTGTACATCCTCTCAGTTCAAGGGGTTTTATATTGTACACCCTCTCAGTTCAAAGGGTTTTACATTGTACTCCCTCTCAGTTCAAGGGGTTTTATTTTGTACACCCTCTCGATTTAAAGGGTTTCACATTGTACATCCTCTCAGTTCAAAGGGTTTTTATATTGTACACCCTCTCAGTTCAAAAGGTTTTTATATTGTACACCCTCTTAGTTCAAAGGGTTTTTATATTGTACACCCTCTCAGTTCAAAGGGTTTTATATTGTACACCCTCTCGATTCAAAGGGTTTCACATTGTACACCCTCTCAGTTCAAAGGGTTTTACATTGTACACACTCTCAGTTCAAAGGGTTTTACATTGTACACCCTCTCAGTTCAAAGGGTTTTACATTGTACACCCTCTCAGTTCAAAGGGTTTTACATTGTACACCCTCTCAGTTCAAAGGGTTTTACATTGTACACCCTCTCAGTTCAAGGGGTTTCACATTGTACACCCTCTCAGTTCAAGGGGTTTCACATTGTACACCCTCTCGATTTAAAGGGTTTCACATTGTACATCCTCTCAGTTCAAGGGGTTTTATATTGTACACCCTCTCAGTTCAAAGGGTTTTACATTGTACTCCCTCTCAGTTCAAGGGGTTTTATATTGTACACCCTCTCGATTTAAAGGGTTTCACATTGTACATCCTCTCAGTTCAAAGGGTTTTTATATTGTACACCCTCTCAGTTCAAAGGGTTTTTATATTGTACACCCTCTCAGTTCAAGGGTTTTTATATTGTACACCCTCTCAGTTCAAAGGGTTTTATATTGTACACCCTCTCGATTCAAAGGGTTTCACATTGTACACCCTCTCAGTTCAAGGGGTTTTATATTGTACACCCTCTCGATTCAAAGGGTTTCACATTGTACACCCTCTCAGTTCAAGGGGTTTCACATTGTACTCCCTCTCGATTCAAATGGTTTCACATTGTACACTCTCGATTCAAAGGGTTTCACATTGTACACCTTCGATTCAAAGGGTTTCACATTGTACACCCTCTCAGTTCAAAGGGTTTCACACACACCAGCTTAATTGAAAGGGTTTCACATTGTCAATTCTCTCGATTCAAGGAATTTCAGATTGTACACCTCTCGATTCAAATGGTTTTACATTGTACACCCTCTCGATTCAAATGGTTTTACATTGTACACCTTCTCGATTCAAATGGTTTTACATTGTACACCCTCTCGATTCAAATGGTTTTACATTGTACACCCTCTCGATTGAAATGGTTTTACATTGTACACCCTCTCGATTGAAATGGTTTTACTCATGTCTGCTGGTAATTATCCTGGCGCTGATCTGTAGTCTCAGTCTTCAGGCTCATATACAGATTAGGGCCTCGTCAGTCTAAATCCAGCCCTGGATCTTGCATGGACTCTTCCTTTTGTGGATAATAGTCAGCTCGCGCATATTGATCTCTGAATACTCTGCGCAGCAACCGGTTCCTGAATAATGCTCAGTTGAGTTGAGTTGACATCACAGAACTCGGGGCATTCCAATGCGTGCTCCGTCCTCATCTTCAGCAGCCAGCGCAGAGTTCCAATACTGATGGTACCGGTCACAATCTGGTTATATGTCCGTCTTGCCTTTCCTCTGAGTAAAGTGAGCCGGCCAGACCCTCTGGTTACACCCAGGTGCCCCATTCTCTCCAGGACATAATAATCTTGTTTCCCTTTGCTGCTCGCTGAAGATCACGTCAAGCGCAGAGCACGTGCTCCGTAGCTCCGGCGACATTTCTTATGAAATTAAATGTTGATGCTCAACAAACACCCAATGAGTAAAGACTGTGTTCATCCTGGAGCCGTGTCACCGTCAACGCTTTTTCCGACAGTCCAGTCCTGGAGTGTGTTTTTGTTCGTGCATAAGTTCCAAGAAAGACCTTTAGCTCGTCGCATCAGATGTAGTATGAGTTCTTCGTCTTCTTCTTTCGTTCGCTTGAAAAAGATTATTTTCATCTGCAATGTTTACTCTAGTATGAACTTCACTATCTTTTGTAATTCACCAGCGACCCGTGAAGTTTGGCTTCAACTGATGTTTCTCTTGGCCAGAAGGTTTGCCTTGATATATTGTGTTTGGGACAGTCCTGAACTGTTGTCTCGGGTGCCGATCCCCATGTAGAAGTATTTCGGTCGAGGGGGCCCTGAGGATGACTTGTGCCTGTCAGAGCCATCCGGTGTAGAAATATTGTTCATTCACCTGGTAACAAACAAGAAACTGAAGAATTTGTGTTACAGAAGTCTCACTGCCTTTTTATTAGGAGCAGAAATCTGTAGCAAGATGGGTACTAAACTTCATGTTTCGTAGAGGTGCGCGATAGGTTGTAATCATTTCCTTATTCAGTGCAATATTCAGCTCCAGATGTGCCAAAGCTAATCAAGTAATGGGTCAACTATCTCCCCTATTGCCACACAAGCAGATACCTCAGAGTACTAAAGTGAATCTTTTCAGAACTATTTTTTAGCCAATATTATGCTATCAATGCCAAACGTGGACACTTACATTCCTCCAATGAACGTAAAATTGTGACAACAGAGATGAAATGCCTTAGAAGTGCTGCAGGAGTTTCAAGAAAAGACAGAATACGAAATCATGAAATCAGACAAATGCTAGGAATAAAGCCAGTCTTACAGGTCATCAAAGAACAACAAATGAAGTGGTTTGGATACCTAATAAGAATGCCCTGGTACTATATGCCACAGCGAGCCACACTAAAACGTTACAACGGGTATAAAGCGAGTGGAAGACCTCGAAAAATATGGAGTGATGGCATTAAGAAAAGCCTTACTGAAATGAACATCAGTCCTAATAGTGCTCTTGACAGAGCTCATCAACGAACATTACATCTCCCTCCCCCCCCCCTTTCCCCGACACTTCGATGAGGTACAAAGTGGAAGAGAAAAAGAAGAAGAAGAAGAAGTGCAGTACACCTAAATAGACTGCCTTGGATTGTCCAGGTTAAGTAACATTTTCGAATGTCAACGTGGTTGCTTCGGTATACTTCAGTAAAGTCATTTTGTGTATTCGTGTGGTTTTATTTGATGTATGTGCTGATGAAGGATCTGTAGCCGCAAAATTCACTTTTCATTTTGTAAAGCTCGCTGATCTACCTTTTCTTCGGTTTTATATCTTTCCGTATGTTTTAGCATTGTCAACTTCATTCCAATGTGCAGACTGAGATCTCGGATTATGAAACTACATGTGTGGGGTTATTTGGATATTGTATTGCATTGTATTGGATATTGTAGGGTGGTGGTTGTAGTAGCAGTTGTTGTTGTAGCAACATCAGTCTTTGTCAGTGGTATCCTGTTCAACGTTTTTGCGTCATAACTTGAATACATAGATTTTGTTTTCTCTTAAATTGAATATTTGTTCCCCATTCACGAAGTCTATTAATCCCGGTAAAATTGCATTTTTTTTAAACCTCAAGATAGAGTTCACTGTAAAGATTGTTTTTAAATTGTTTTGCGTAAGCCAGGAAAACAAATTGACTGGGTACTCGGTGTATGGATCTAAGGCCGGAGGCAAAAACAAAATGAATAAACAAGCGATTTATTGGAGATTTGTTGATGTATTCATGTGAGACATCGACAATAAGCATACAAGCTTCTGGGAAAAAAATAGTTACTTTCAATGAAGATATGTTTAGTTTTAAACTGTTTTGGGCCCGGCTCGCTAGCGTAGTTGGCTAAACAAGGCTTCGCAGCGACCGGGTAACGAACCCCTTGTGGTCCGGGTTTACGCCCGGAGGTAGGCAGAATAGCCACAATTCTCCCAGATTAACGATGTTTTTCATGGAATCAAGGCCGAAGGGTTGCGATACCCATAGTACCGAGCCAAAGGGTTAGGAACTCATGGTTTCTAGATATTTTTTTTTTAAAAACCTGTTTTGGAGATATGTATTCTGAGTTAAGACGAATGCACGTGATCCATGGAATAATAGAAAACTAACGAGGCGTAAACGTATTAGAAAGCTTGAGCATTTACTTTTTTTCCGGATATGTTATGAACGAAGGATTGAACGAGAACGTGGTAGCTACTGGCCAGATTGATGGAAAGAGAGGAATGGGAAGGCAGATAGATAAATACCACGATTGCTTTCGCCATAGGGATAACGCGACACAAAAACACGGACTTGATAAATGATTCTGGTGATCGTGTTGGACTGCGAAAGACAACCGCCTAGATTATCGGCATGGCACATGATGATCTCCAGGAATCGAACCCGCACTTCCTAGTTGCAGTGTTTGGCGTGCTTCCGTCTAACTAGGACATTTGAAACCAAGAACAGTAACTGTGGGTCGACCAAGGGGAGAGAAATCATTGCCCATGCGTTAGATGATTGAGCAAAATGGCGAGTAATTATGAACATACAAACAAAAGACAACGGACAGACGACGGGTCACGGGTAGGACTTTTCATTGTTTAGTACCATGTTAGTATTATTATAAAGCATTAGTTAAGTTGTAAACTAAAGTGGCAGCTAAGACGTAATTCGCGTTTATGGAATTTCAATTGAGGATCCCTCCCTCCTGACGAGTCAGTTTAGTCATCGCTGAATGGCGGCAGCCGTTCTACGGTTTGTTGTTTGCAATTATTTTCCGTTTACATTGCTGGATTCGTTACACCTTCAGTACTGCTAATAGCGCAGGCTTGTAAATGAAATCTTTTACAAGTTTATGAAAACACGATGGCGTTGGTTTAAAACCGGTCTCAAGACAAGTAGCTAGGCTAGATCGATAGCATAGCGCAGTAACGCCGCACACGCTCGCTTTCTTTCTATGGCAGCATGGCGATGGCGTCGTTTTCTTGTTCATAAACTCAACCGGGTGTTTGACAAGTACTTCTGTGGTTTTCTTATGTTTACATTGTCTTCTGTGCAGTTCAGGTTCAGGCCTATCATTCTTTCAAAGAACAAAAGAAGAATTTGTAATCGTTTATACTGTCCAGCCTCTAGTTTTATGATTTCTTCCCTCCAATTACCAATCGTGTCATCATCCGAGTTTGGAACTCCCACGAGAAAAATCATCCAGTTTGAAACAAAATATGTCACTGTCACCCATCAGTTCTTTTACAGATTCTGTGTATTCCTAAAACGATTTTGGTTTTGGTCGTTAATTAAACTAAATGGTACATTATGACATTATTAATAATGAATTACATTTTTACTTTTACAAGTACCAGTATTTGTCCCTGTCATTATTTTGTCTGCTTCCTGTAATTACAGTTTCAGTTACATTTTCGAACTGTTTTACTAATAAAATCGCATTTTTGTTAACTTTACTTTAACTCCTAACTTGGATATTTTCAAAAGAATCAATTTAAAAAAAAAAAAAACTTCATTATACTGGGTAGTACTGCGGCTGGATACCTATCTTGCATTCACCGCATTGAAGTACTCCCTCTGTTGTCACTGTGAGGATCTCTCTTCCACAGTAGTATGACTCGTACTGTACTGTACTATTGCTGTCTGAGTCTGACGTCTTTGAGAAATTAGGGGCTGGCTGAAATTGAACAGAACACTAGCTTGTCAGTTGATTATAAAATTGTGAAGGGCATTCATTAACCAACACCGAAGAGCAAAGATAGATAAAGCTTTTATCACTTCAAATACAATAACCAGACCTTTGAAAGTGTAATTGCATTAACATAAAATGCAGCCGGAAAGCTTAATGTCAACAAGCAAGCAATTTAGCCAGTACACACACACACACATATATATATATATATATTTATATATGTATGTATATATATGCACATACATGTACTGTAATACCTACACATATGTGTGTGTATATATATATATACATACATACATATGTGTGAACTGTAAATATATGTATGTATGCATAATTAGATGACGGCCTTGTTAAGAACTCACACTGCAGCAGTATCGTCAAAAAGAAATAATTAACAGTTTTCAAAAGAGAAATTCTAACGGACAAAACAACAGAGCTTATAAACAAAGTGCTCTATTTTCCAATCCCTCTTTTGAGCTTTCTAGTCACAGTTGTATTTAGTATTCCTGAAAATCAGCTGTGTTTAGTCCTCTTGCCCTGGGGACCCCCTAACTCCCCCCCCCCCCCTTCCACCCCAAAAAAAAAAACTATTAGAATTGCAGAATATAATCAAGTAACAAAACTTTTACGCAGATTGCTTATGAATTTGTTATTGTAACTGACATTGTACTTTTTTTTTTCAAAATATCTAAAGATATAAGAAAGGATTAATCAGGAAACATTAACAGTAAAGTAAAAAAGTAGAGTCAGGAGATGTGAACCAGCGTCATTGCACACAGTTATAAACCATAAGTTCTCTGCCACCAGTGCAGACATCTGTTGAGAAAATGTCCGCCTGTGTCACCGTTTACACGCAACTCTGTAGCTACAGCGACATTGCTCCATTTACCCCACCTTGTTAACGCTGGTACCCATTTCCTAGAGGCTGGGTGAACCCCGAGAACCGTCCAGTTTCGAACACTGCCTGTTAGCTGCAGCGAGACACAGCTGGATTTGAAAGCGAGTCTCTTATCGACTGCGCTAACATGGCACCCGCATTAACAGTATGAAGCCATCACTGGAATGCATGTAACATAATGATGATGACTCCGCTCTTTTATTCAGTGTAATGCTTACGCTTTGCCTTCACTAGCTGTAAACTCTTGCAAATAGTTCGGTGTAATATATAAATATATACTTTTTGCTGCCATGTTATTAATGGAATTTCTTCTACTTGCAGGAGGCAGTGGATAGATTCAAACCCCCACCTTCTGCGTGTGTTCATGTACGAGGTCTGTCAGACTTGGCAGCAGAGAGTGATTTGATAGAAGCTGTTCAACATTTTGGATCTGTCAGGTGATCAAACACTAACACAGAACAATGTTCTGTTCCCTTCTTGTTTTGTGTTGTTTTTATCCGGTCATGTGCTGTCGGCATGCTGAAAGTTTGACTCTAATGGAGCTCCAGCACGCCGTGGATGTAGCTTTCTCAATCATTTTCTACCTCCATTCACGTTTTCATTCCGCATAGTTTTTGTGTGTGTGTGGATTTTTTCTTTAAAATAAAATTTTTTTTTTTTTTTTATAGCCAAAATATTTCACTTATCTCTTTTAAATTAAAAGTCATCTACCTTATGGGTTGTCATTCTTAGTATGACAGAGATTTTTATTTTAAATAAATATTGACTAGCTCTGGGTCTGAACTCTTGAAGTGGCTGATCATCATTGGTCGGGTCTGTCACCTGTAGCACTATATACTTAGTGCTTATTTTATGAAAAGATGCCTTTGCTTTATTTCTTTTCCAGCATGCGTTTACCGCTGCACTGAGTGGCAGCTCTGTATTTTTTGTTTTGTTTATAGTTGACCGGGAGTCGCCGTGGCGGATCGGAAGGTCGTGGGTTCACTCCCTGGCCAAACCGGACAATTAAAAAAAAATGACATTGGCTCCCAGGTTGACCTAGCCTTGAGTAGGTATTGGGTGCCGTCCCGGGAAGTAAAGGCGGCCGGCTTGATGCTGGCCACATCACCCATCTTGTGCCGATTGGTCTATAAAATATAGGTCTAGCCCTATATGCCCTGTACGCCTAAAGGCGTGGAAAAGGGTCTTTTACTTTATAGTTGACCTGTTCTAAAAATCTGCTTTAAAAAATTAACCCCTCCCCTCCCCCCAAATTAAATTGGAACAGTCTGCATAATTATAATTCTTTCAAGCTTTGTCCTACAAAAAATAGAAAGAGGAGCAGGAAAAACTTGAAGTCTTGGTTCATTTTTAAACCTTAAAACCTGTGACGAGCCAGCAGATGGGCAAGCTTGCTTTTTAATGCTTAATCACAACCCTTTAATCACTTTAAAAAAAAAAAGATGGAATTTTCATATTAGATCATAATTGTTTTTTTTTTTTTTTTTTTTTTTTTTTTTTTTTTTTTTTTTTGGAAACGGGAAGTAATCACTAAATACAAGTGTTTTTAGGGTGTTTAACTTAACACCTGTGTTTATTATTTTCTTGCAGAGATGTGTTGCTTATGCCAAGAAAACGACAGGCTTTGGTAGAGTTTGAGGTAGGTTTACTTGTGGTTGATTGAACCTTGTCATTACAGTAGCAGAACCTTTTTTTTTTTTTTTGTTTTTTTTTTTTACAGAATGCTCTAGTTTAGATTTATCTGATTCACTTTTTACTTGGTCTTTAATTTAAAGGAAAAAAATTGAAGGTGTTAGGTACAGTGCTTTCATTAAGTTGTACATGTAGTTTTATTGATTTTTGTAATGTGCTAATGAAGGCTATGTAGCTGGAGTGTTCACTTTCCATTTGTGTTTTGTTACATTGTGAAGTTAGTCTACTTTTCATTTGGTTTTAAGTAACTTATATTTGCAAGATATCCTCAGGCTTTAGACCTTTTTTTTTGCCCACTTTTGGACTTTGGTCTTGTTCCAGGGTTTAAATTTTGCATGGACATCTATTTCAAATCAGGCTTTTTTGTATACAGTTGCTCACCTCTCAGACAGATGCACTCTGAATTAGAAGGCAACACCCCTTACAGTATGCCAGTTAACTTGTCATTTTATCTGCTCACTTCCTGGATATCATTTTAAACATTGAGATTTAAAAAAAATGAATTACAAATGTAACAACTGGAATGTAATCAACGATGGTGCTAAATAAAATTCCTTGCACTTATTGAGGAAGATGGTTCTGACCAGTCACACTTTCCTTTGTCATGGTTTGTGATTCCTATGCCTAGTTATGATACAGTTTAATAAGATTGTCAGGAAAGGCAGAAGGGTACTAACAGGCTTGAAGAGAAACTGGAAGAGAGATGTAAATTTGAAAAACAAGGAGATTGGGAGGGCGGGGAGATGGCTACTGAATGAGAAACGGAGATCCTAGATGACGGGAATGATATGTAAAAAATATGATGATGAATGAATCAAAAATTGACATCACTGCACTCGCAACATTCCCACACATGCCCTATCTTCTTTATCAATAGACAATAAAGATTCGACATGCTAATGCTACCAGTTGCAATCTGATTAACCCCCCACCCCCTTTCCAACTAAAAGTTAGCCTGTGCAGATTTCTTTGCTGGTCATTGAAAGAAAAAAATATACTAGAGATGAGAGCAACTGTTAGAAATGTGTCTTTTTCCTGGAACTCGTGCTGTTGATCATTAAATTTAATCAATTAAATATTCTGTGTTGCCCTTTCAAAATAATTCTACATAATCTACTTGTTTTTGATTTTTTAGGACATAGAAGGAGCAAAGAACTGTGTGGATTATTGTCAGGTAAATGAGAATTACCTCCCTTATATAAATCAAGTTTTTATTTTATTACTGAGATAGTTTTTATGGTTTTTTTTTTAGGCATTTTACAAATGTTTAATGTATAGAGAAATTAAGAGATTGGAAAGGAGAACGAAGAAACGAATAGGGATATTTTACATTTAACACAGAACCAGAAGAAGAAAAATATTGCCCCGGATAGATCAGACGAGGAATAGACTGTATGTGACTGAAAGATGTGCAGCATGATGAATAGGAGCAGAATGTTAAACAAGAAAACTGATTGATGTACAGCATGATGAATAGGAGCAGAATGTTAAACAAGAAAACTGATTGATGTATAGAAATATGGATCATTTTAGAAATGTTATTACTGAAACTGGGTGATATATTATTTTATATTTGTGCTAACACTTGAAAACATACTGGAGGGAATAGTTGAAGGCAAGTGAGCAAGTAGAAGGATAACGTTAAGGGATAGATAAGCAGGAGAATGTACTTGAAGGGCAAATGGCACTGTGTTGGGAGATCTATTGCAGCCAGCTTTTATTGTGGAGATGGCACCTGATGGATTGACTTGATGCCTGTATGAAGTGCTGTTGTCTTATTTATTTGCCAGGAGCTGCCGTGATATAGCAACTAGAGATCCTGCGGAATCTAAAGGTTGTGGGTTTAGGTCTTGTCAGGGCCAGACGTTTTTCTTCTTCAAAAAATGACCTTGGCACCCAGGTGGTCAGCCTTTAATGGGTACCAGGTAAAGTTCTGGGAAGTAAAGGTGGCTGTTGTCATGTTGACCACATCACCCCCCAAGTGCAGATTGGTCTATAAAATATAGGTCTAGCCCTATATGCCTGAATACATGAAAAAGGAACTTTTACTTTTAACAATTTATTTCTGTTACGTTGTTTCAAACAGTACTCTACAATGATTCTGTCGTTCATTCACATGCTTTCCACTTTATTAGTTTCTCCACAGCGATTGATTTTATTTGCACTTGTTTATTTCTTCACCTTCAGCAAGGTAACGCGATTTATTGCGGAGGACAACCTGCGTTTTTTAACTTTTCGATGAGCCAGAAAATTGAGAGATCAGTGTAAGTAGCCACATCTGGTTAACCTAGTACTGCTGCTACTACTGTCCCATTTACTACTACTTTTACGATGCCTAATCTGGTAATCCTAGTTTCAGATTTACGATGCCTAATCTGGTAATCCTAGTTTCAGATTTACGATGCCTAATCTGGTAATCCTAGTTTCAGATTTACGATGCCTAATCTGGTAATCCTAGTTTCAGATTTACGATGCCTAATCTGGTAATCCTAGTTTCAGATTTACGATGCCTAATCTGGTAATCCTAGTTTCAGATTTACGATGCCTAATCTGGTAATCCTAGTTTCAGATTTACGATGCCTAATCTGGTAATCCTAGTTTCAGATTTACGATGCCTAATCTGGTAATGTGTTTATTACCTTTGTCTGTATTACTGTTCTTATTACTACTACTTTTACTTTTACCAGCACAGCTACTACTGTAAATGAATTCCTCCTTGGGTGTATTTGTGTGTGTGTGTTATTGTTTAGTTTGTTTCATTTGTCTCTTGTATCACCTATTTGAGGTCTGTTCTAGTGACTGGTTGGGGGTCTCCTTGGTAAAGTAGTCAAAATTGTTTGAGTCTCTTCATGGCACAAAGCCTGGACAGTATTGTCATACCACATATTGCCTGCCCATGCAGTGTGATCCTTGGACAGATACAAAAGAGTAATGAAGATGTCTTGAAAGGAACTGACTCATAGTCATGTGATAAGGAGAAACCTGGTGAACATTGTGACAGTAGGAAATTTGGAGGTGAGAAGAGGCAGGGGAAGAGCAAGAGACAAGATGCTGGACAGTTTGACATCATGGCATTTAGGATCATCTGTGTTAGAGTTTATTGAAAGTACAGGAGACAGAAGGTTGGGGATATACATAACTACCAGTGCCACACTGCATTGACCTTAAGAAGCCGATGATCCCTCTCTGCCACCCTTATTTACTTAAGCTCTTTCAGTCCCATGGAACACATCATAGATTCCTACTTAGAAACACAGAGAACACAAGATGCTCCGATTATATGTTTCTCTCTACCACCTTTTAGGCCTCTGGTGCTAAACGCCTAGGACTGAAAGAGTTAAAGGAAAGGCAACACTAATACACTTGGAACATAGCATGCTGTTGGATCAGAAAAGCTTTGTCCTGTCTGTCCACCTGTCAGAGATTCCCTCCAGGGCTAGCCGCCCAGCAAGAATAAGGGCCTGGTCTACCGTACCATAAGATTAATTTTTTCCTGTTGTATTTCCTCTTCTATGATAAAGTTGTCGTCTTCTGCTTATGTTTGGTTATTATAAATGTATGTTTACTATGTTGCCATTTCAGTGGTTTGAGACAAATTATGTCCATATTCCATAGTTGTTGATTCAAATGAAGACACCTCTTTTAGGGGTGCCTAGTTAGTCATGTGTCTTAGTGCATTTGTTTCTGCAATATACTTCTTCCTCCCCCTTGTCCCCCCACCCTCATGGGGGTGAGGTTTGGGAATTGCTTCAATTAATTTGTTTAGATTGTTTCTTCATCTTGAGATTTTTCCATTCTGTTCACCAGAGACATGGATGACTCCAGACCAGCCAATCACATTCTTCTGTTCACGGTGTTGAACCCCCAGTACCCAATCACAGTGGTAAAAACTAAGGAATAAAGCACAAATCGGTTTTACACTGTGTTAATGAAATTCAGGACAGATACCACCTCCCAGAAAGACGTCAAGAAATTCAGAATGTTGCAAGAAACCTACCACCCACATGCTCGCTTTAAAGCTCCAGAAGTCCGAACTAAAATTGGTAGGCGAGGAAACCAAACAGTCCGACCCAATCGCTCTTATGAACTCATCACTAAAGACCGTTGATTCTTACCCCCAAGAATGGATACATGTCTTTCTTTACTGATGGATCAGCATTTAAAGTTACCATTAAAGCAGGTTACGGAATCTACATAGGTTATCCCGATGGATCTGTTGAAGAGATTTTTGATGCATGCGGGGAATTCTGTTCAAACTATGAAGCTGAAAAAATTGCACTGGAAACAGCAGTATACCACCTAAAGACTGTAATGGATGTTTACCCTTCAAAGGTCCAAAATATTGTCATCTTCACAGATTCAGTGTCTGCCCTTCAAGCTCTGGAGGGCAGTGAACGCTGCAGAACTGACATAGCCAAGATAATCCTGGATGCTGATCAGCTTATTACCTCATACATCAGAATAGTGATGCAGTGGATTCCAGGTCACTATGGCACACCAGGTAATGACAGATTGGCAAAGAAAGGAGCAACACAAGAACAACCACCTACAGCGACAACCCTCCAGACAGCAAAAACACTGATAAGAGCTATAAACAAAGAGACTTGGTTGAATAGATGGGCCATGGGAGACACTGGAAGAGAGGTTTTTAGACATATGTCTGGCCCTGATCCTAATGACAGCATTAACCATCTAACAAGAAGTGACCAGGCCACCATCTTCAGACTTAGAACGCAACATACTCCACTCAGTGGACACCTAAACAGAATACAGCCACAACACTCCCCAGAGTGCCAGCTATGTAACTACACCTACGAAACTGTTGAACACCATCTCTTTGAGTGCCCAAAACTCAGTGAGACAAGAAGAACGCTACTCCCTCCGAGACCAGACAAGTGGAACACCTTGTACGGAGGAAAAGAACAGCTTGTGAAAACATGCAAATTTCACTACATGGCATTGGGCCAAAGGGCGAAAGCTCATGCGCCGCTGGATCGATAACAACAACAACAACCCAGGGGATGTGATCATATGTACAGATCGCCAGATGGACATACAATCAAACTGCTGCTGCTACCTCAGCATTGGAACTCTCTGCTGGCTGCTGAAGATGAAACCAGAGTGCTTATGGGAATGTCCTGAGTGCTGTGATATCACTTTTTAGCTGAACTTGACTTGTGGTTGTATCTCCATTCTTGAGGCTCCATCTCAAGACTTTGGTTATGATTGCAACTGAATTCTGTTACTGATAAAATCCATTATCAAGGGTTGGGTCAGTCTGGTTCTCTACTGTGCTCACTGCCAGTATTTTATGGCCATGTATTTCAGGGAAATTTTTGGCCTGAAAATGGCCAGTGCAGTCACCACATATGGTGCAGATCGAGATTTTTATTCTTGCCTCCGGCAGAAAAACTTCCTACGTCTTAGGGGCTCTTCTTTTTCGCATTCACCAGCTGTAAACTTGAACGAAAGGTTCTCGTTCTTTGTCCACATCTCTGATTTTCACATCCATTTTACAGATTTGGCTTATTTGTATGCAGACTGTTGGTTCATTGCCTATTAGGCAGATGCACTCTGACTTTGGAGGAAATACCCCTTTTGTTTCTAAAAACAAAGTTAAGGGCTTTTGCGCACAGCTGACATATGGCGCTAGTCTGGTTGGCACTTTAGGGTGGAGGTGTCAACCTCCCTCTGGCCAACTCGACTTCCCTAGATATTTCTGCCCCCGTGCAGATTTGAAACCAATACCTTTGAGCTGGCAGATTAGGTCTAGCTACTATGGCTCCTAGTACAGCTGAAGCATTTAAAGAGTATTCTTCCTCTGCATGCTAGGTTTTTTCTGTAGACCTCCTTGTTATTATAAATAGTAATTTTTCTAATGCTATGAAAGCTGCTTTTGCCTTATTATCATCATCATGTAGCAGGTCCTTTGCAGAACGTCGCTCTCTGCCTGAAAGAAACTCGGTCTCTCGTCAATTCTCTAGCCTCATGTACTTTTTCATACTCAAGGAGTCACTTATCTTTAAGAGTTTCACCAAATATATTCTTTCTTCCCTAGGATGTGATGAACACTATCAACAAACCTTATGGGTGTGTCCAGAGAATCGTCATTTTCAAGAAGAATGGAGTACAGGCCATGGTTGAGTATCCTTTTGCTGTAACCAGCGGTGACCTCTAACCTGGTAGTTGAAGATGATATCAGGAGAACCTATCCCTGAATTAAATTTTCCTCTTCACAGACAGACCAAAATCACCATTTGTGAACAGCTGTTGCTTGTGTGTCCTAAGCAGCACATTGTTTGTGGTTTTTGTTTCTTTGTTTAGGTACCATACCACGACCTTTAAATCCGCAAGCCAGCATCTAGCCGCAACACCACGGTGGCTGCAATAGAGAGTAGCAATTGTAAATTTACAGTAATAGTTGTAAGTGGTAATGGCAACTAATTTTATTCTTGATAAGTTCCAGTTTTGCAGACTTTGAGTTCCTATACTTGCAAGACTGCATGACCATGTTTTCTCTAAACTTTGGCTACGGTGTCAGACTTACTAGTTAATTGTGTCACTAAATGGTTGCCATCATCATCATCCTTTGTGAGCCGTTAGGCGTCACGTTGGGCTCACATTCGGTTCCTCCGCTCAGCTTTTTTGCATGGAACTCTGATTTGTGATATGGAGTTAAGCCCAGCATTTTTAGCTTCTAGTAATAATCTTCTTCATGTTTCCCATTGACGTCGTCTTTTTCTCAGACTTTTGTTTCTCATTTCAGTGCCTGTCTTGTAATTCTTTGCTCATTTCATCTCAGAGTAGGCCCACTATATCTCCACATTTGTTTGTCTTGCTGCAGTCGACTCTGGTATTTGTCCAAACATTTATCTGATCTCACTCTTTGAATTCATCACATTTGCCATGCTAATTGTAAAAGGACCCCTTTCACGCATATGAAATTGTACTGTTTTTGTGTGTGTGACCAGTCGAGCCTCAACAGGGAATGTGGTCAACACCACGCTAGCCGCCTTTACTTTCCAGGACATTGTCTGGTGCCCATTCTCGACTGGGCTGCTCTGGGAGCCAAGATCACTTTTGAAAAAAAAATCTTCTTTAATGTAAATTTGAACTCAAGACCTTGCTACTGTGCCACACCCCGTGCTAGTTGTTGCCCTGTTGAATGTATAGGTTGTTTACTGTTGTGTGGAAATTTCCTTAGCTGCTTGTAGATTTGATAATGTGGATTCAGCCAAGCGAGCCCGACAGGCGTTGAATGGAGCCGATATCTATTCTGGTTGCTGTACTCTAAAGATTGAGTATGCCAAGGTATGGCTTTTTAAAAAAATGTTGTTTGTTTGTTTGACATTTTAGTTGAAAATATAGAATTATGGGCACTATCCTTATTTCTTTCTCTTCTCTGTATGCAGCTCTCACTTTATGTCTGCATTTCTTTCTCTTGTCCTGTACATCTCTTAAATTTATCTACATTTTCTTCTTTTGTTCAATCCCTGAAAAGGGACATGTTTTTCTTTCATGCCGCTGTGTGTCTGTGGACGACCCAGTCTGATAATAGCGGGTAATAGATAATTTTCCAGGATTGCCTATAAAGAAAATTGTGATGAAAAGGGGAAATGGCTGCCTCAGATCGTAGGTAATGGTTTAGAATTGAAATATTTCTGCCACATCAAAGGACATCAACACTTTTTTGAAAGTTATACTGAAAGGAAAAGTCGAGGACAAGACAGCAAGAGGTAGAAAAGAATACAATTGGGAGGACAATATCAGGAGATGGACAAACAGCAGTCTTAGAGAGTGTACCGCTAGGACAAGAGACAGAGTGTGATGTCCATTATTGGAGCCTGGATTGATTTAGAATGTATAAAAGCCTAGCAATAAAATCTTCAACGGCAATGTATCCTTTCAAAGACAGTCTTTACTCATTCTTTCCCCCAAAATGGCAGCCACACAAGCCACATGTTAAGTGTCAGTTTATAAGACACAGAAAATAACAGTAAATGAGGCACATCCTGAGAGGTGGACAAAGAATCATCACAAGCAGTGAAATGGGAAACAAATGGACAGTGGAAATGAGGATGTGCATTAGAAAAACTAAGAAGAACAGTGATGTGAGAACCCAGGGTGCGGGGCTGGATGCTGTGATATCAGAAAGATTGCATAGAATGGAGTATTGGGTCAAGTTAATCAATTCTGACATCACAGCACAGGACATTTCCATAGCTGCTCTGTTTCTATCTGCAGCAGCCAGCAAAAAGTTATAATGCCAATAGTGCCAGAGCAGGCACTCTGTAGGTCCTGTGGTAAATCTTATTAGGTAGACAAAATCATGAAATGATGGTGTAGGCTGCAAACGCTGTGAGATCTGTAAATAACATAGCAAATCAATTAATTAATTAGCAGCCCATGTCACTGCATGTTTTATAGTGCCAAATGTTTTTCATTTCAGCCGGAACGCTTGAATGTGGTGCGAAACGACCATGACAGTTGGGACTACACAAACCCTGCCTTGGGAGGAAGTAGGTCACATATTTGTTGTTCTGCTGTCATCTCCTAGAAGGGCAATCAGCTCGTCTTATTGTGACTTACAGGTTATGTATCTGACCTGTTGGCACCACACATCCTGTTTCATTACATCCTTAGTCGCCTTGTACAACACGCCTGTTGCGATGTTGCTCTCTGTGTGCTCTGGCTGTTTCCTAGGGGATTATACTATGGCTGACATGTGATGAATTGATGCACACATATGTTATTGAGGAGACACAATCACAGTTTATATCTTTATTACTCACAGAAGACTATCTGGTCCAGTCACCGTCAGCTACTCTTAGCATGTTCAAATATTCAACAGGTAACAGTGACAATCATTCGTGCTCGTTACCTTTGCAGTCTTGTCTTAATTGCAACGCATATACAGGTGTCAAACAAGCATCTCCTGGCCGTTCAGCTCCACCATCAGGCTAGTTGTCAACTTGACTGGATTCTGGCTAGGCGGTCATCTTGTAGAATTTAATCTCCTCCACGTTGCTCAGTTATACAATTCATGCTCTCACAAAACACAACCTCTCACTCTGGCTGTGAATCTCACACTGGTTTGAAACATCGTCCAATCTCTTAACCTCGTTCTCAGTCCCTCATGCAGTCACCTGAGCACTCTTCCTTAAATTTGTGCTTCTGCTGGTAATTGTGCTCTCACGCTTGTCTCTCAACCTATATTTAACCTTATCGCGTCACTAGAAACCTCATGTGGAAATTCCCCTCATTACACTTATTAACTCTTTTAGTCCCACAGAATACATCATACATTCATAGGTTCCTACCTAGAAGCCCAGTAAATGCAAGGTGTGCCGATTTTACTTCTCTCTTTATCACCCCTTGGGTCTCTGATGCTAAACCCCTGGGACTGAAAGAGTTAAGGGTTAGTGTACCCCTAATGAATATTAGATGTATTTATGACTGTCAGATGACCGTGAACAGTTGAGTGATAGGCTTCTCTTTTGTTGCAGACAAACTAGAGCCTGCAGCCCGAGGGCAGCCTCTGTTACAGGAACCTCGAATTGGTTCAGCACCGGCACCATACAGTAAGTTCTCCTCGTCACTTTGCTCGTTCCGTTTAAACAAGTCGTCGTCGCACCCTGAACTTTGAACATGACAACATTTTTTGTTTCGATTTTCCTTCTAGGGTCACCGTTTGAAAGATCAACACCCAGTGACTCAATGAGACACTATTCAGATGAGAATCCAACACGAACAAATCCCAGATACCCCCTTCAACCATGTATTACAGGTATATTATGGTACCCCATGGTTACGTGGGTAGAATTATTGTATAGTATTGTGGCAGTGGCAACATTTAGTTTCTAGAACCATGTTATCTGAACTCACCCAGTGCCAGGGAAGCCACTGTATGTGTGTCTCTTGGTTTCTTCCTAAATTATTTGCTGGTCTAAACTTGGTTGTTACAGTAACTAGCATTCTTGTGTAATCAGGTGCCATCTCGTCATTAAAAGTCAACTGCAACAGATCTCTAGTTTTAGCATTAGATTTTCACTCTACAAGACTGCCGCCTGTCCATCTCTTGATGTTATCCTCCCACTTGTATTTCTGGGTGCCTGTTGCTGACGTGTTTTCAGCCTTTCCTGATTCTATTTTGAGCCACACACAAAAATCGTCACGTTCAACCAGCCTGTCCGATTTAAAGCCTAGGTTAGCGGATGTCAAAGAGCAGCTCAGTGAATAGAAATCATCAGTGTCGTAATGTTTTGGTTATAATTGTGACTAGGTTTATGTGCAACTTTTATAATTGCTTAACATTGCTTGCCACCAAGAAGCCCTGAAAATGATTCTTGCAGTGTTGATACGTTCGTAGAAGATAGACCCAAATATTGTCTCGGCTGACGACGAAGCCCTTTCCCTCCAAAATGGTTTTGATAGGGGAGTTGTCCTTTAATGTTGCAGAAATATTTCCTTGAATTCTAAGTTGGAGGAAAAGTATCCACAGATCATGTACTCGAGTGAATGTTAAGTGCTGTCACACACCCCACCCCCGACTATTGTGTTTAGTTTGTGAACTAGACATAACAGGCTCTGCAGCTGCGGGTATAGGAACATTGAAGATGGTGGGCTGGGAGCTGTGTTCATGTGGACAGGCTAAACTTGTACTGCAGATGTTCTCTCTACATACAGTAGGGAGGTCCCAGGTTAGCATTCTGGTGCAGGCCTGGCTGTGTGGATCAGTGGAGAACTTGCCTGTGACACACCACGGCCTTCAAAGAGGCCTGTGGCCATCTCATCTGAAAAATCGTTGGCAGGGGGTACGCAAAGAAGAAGGGAAAGGGATACACTTAATCTGCAACACAGTAGTAGTAGAATCTTAGTCAATCCTCTTATACCTTAGGTTGTAGTGGTTTGCCAGAGAGATCGTCATACTTCTTTAATGTTTTTCTGGCATCCATCGGTCGTGTGTTTTATAGACTAAAGTGTACAAACTATATGGTATAATTGTCAGTGTTGTCAAATGTGCCTATATTTTATTAACACTAGATGGTCCAGTTGGTAGCGGATTCGCTCCTGGTCCCAGTGGGCCACCAGCATTTGGTAACCCAGCAGGATACTATGATGATGGGTACGGAAGACAAGGTCCTTATGGCAATCCTGGAGAGAGATATGGGGCACGGGTAAGTGGTTGGATGGTGGCTTACCTTCTTCTCTTTGTTCCTCCATGTGATGGTAACATAAGACAGGGTCCTTATGGCAATCCTGAAGAGAGATATGGGGCACGAGTAAGTGGTTTGATGGTGGCTTACCTTCTTCTCTTTGTTCCCCCATATATGATGGTAACATAAGACAGGGTCCTTATGGCAATCCTGGAGAGAGATATGGGGCACGGGTAAGTGGTTGGATGGTAGCTTATCTTCTTCTCTTATTTCGTCTGTATGATGGTTACGGGCGACAAGGTTTTTATGGAATGGCAGTCTTGGAGAGAGAAAGGTGACATGAGTGAGTAGTTTGCTCGTGGTTTCGGTTTCTTTGCTTTTTAAAATTTTTAAACATGTTGCTTTCCTGGTGTTCTGTCATCTGTCCAACTGACTCCAGTTTCATTAAATGCAAATTACGTTTCTGAAATAAAACGTGCTGTGCTGAAAGGAACAGATGTCACAGCCTGGCTCTAAACCACAACACAACATTCCAACAATCTGATGAGGAGGAAGAAGAAGAAACCCATGCCAGAGACCTCAGTGATGAATGTTGGAGTAGAGAAAAGAGAGGTGTGATATGTTAACCCTGTGCCCAAAGAAGACTGGTGGTGAGACAGTCTGGTAATTCCACTACACTGACCTGTCTGCAGTGACCTACTCAAAAAACATAATTAAATTCCATTGGTTCTGTGTGCACCTGCTGAGGTCATGATATGAATTTAGTAACCAGACACAGCATTTGGGTAGGTTACCTTATGGCCCCAGTGGAATTTTAAAAGTCAAGTCGATGACAGATTTTTTCATAAGCCTCAGAAATAGAAGGTCAGACATAAGTCACACAATACATCTAGTTTTGAAGGCCTACGGGAATGTAATCAATTTCATATGCTCCAGTCTGTCTTAATTGATTACCCCTTTTATATATTTGGGGGGAAATTTTTAGTGTCCAGTGTAATATGGGGGGGGGGGGGGGGGGCGGTGTTTGTTGATATTTGCCTGTGAATGCCATGGTTTCATGACCCATTTTTGTTTAGCATTCATGAAGGCAAAGTGGTTAACAGCCCTGACTACCCAAGTGGAACTGTCATGTTTGGCACTGCCATGAAAGTGTGCTCCATCAATCACACAGACCGTCTTTCCTTACAAAGTCTTTTTTGTCATTTAAACATTTTCAGCAAAGCAGGGATTCTTCTTCTTCTTCTTTGTTTACCAGCTGTAAGTTGCGGCGAAAAGTCCTGGTTGTTCCTTCATTTGGACTTTTACTTAGTGTCAGGACCCTATTTTTGCGTGTACATCTGTTTTACTGGCTTATTTATGTGCCGCTTGGGCAGATGCACTCAGACTTTGAAGGAAGCCCTGACTTTGTCAGCTCCTATGTTGGGAAGACAGTGGGTCTGTTCTTGTTTTCCTCAGAATCCACACAGGGACAAAACGGGGATGAATGTTCACCATTTTTTCATATAATGATATATATATATATATTTCATATATATATTGATAATTTAATATTTTTTTTCCAGTTGTTCGTATTCTTTTTCCCTTATTAATGTTTTGGTTCCCAGCATGCCATTTTATTCCTATATCACGTCTTTCATTGAATGGATTACCTGTCTGAGGTTGTGACATTCATCTATTGACCTCTTATTATAAATATGTATACATGTGTGTGTGTAAACACTTTGTGGTCAGAGTGTTCGACTGAGCCAACAATGTTGGTATTTGCTCAGCTCGTTGCCCCTATTTTGACATCATTTTAGATACAGCATTTCACAAGCATAGGATGGTAGTGCAGATAAAGCTTCCAGTTTTCTAGAATTTCAAAATTGTTCCTTCTTTTACACTGCTTTAATCATGATTAAAAGTGAGCTGTATATCCTTTATGTGTTGACAACCATCCCCAGTATATTCTTGAAGCTGTTAATGGTTTTACTGGCAGTTTTACATTCAGTAATTTTCCATTGCTTTCTTTTTTTTTTTTTTTTTTTCATCGAACACCGGCTGTGAATTCCAGTGGAAGGTTCCGGTTAATCGTCCGCTTGGACTTTTGGCTTTCACCTGAACCTGATTTTTGCGTGTACAACCGTTTTTCATTTCCCTGCCTTATGGGCAGCTGTACGCCGACTTCGAAGGAAGACGTCAAGCCTATTTCTAGGGTGACTGTGGCCGTTGTTTTGTGTGGGTCGAGACGTTGCCTGATTTGTGTGGTGTCTCCTTCGCCGCAGGTATTGCCCCCGGGGTACCCCTTTGGGGCAGCCCCCTGTGGAACAGTTAGCCCTCAAGGGAAGGCAGGGGCAGATCATGGGCATTCCCCGCCATCCAAGGAGGCATCCATGTATGCAGAGCCGGCACATGGCGCTCTGTTTCTGGGCTCACCCAAGGAATCGTCACGTCCTGCACATGCCTGCTTAACCTCACAACCGTATCAGGCCTCCTGCTCGACAGGGGCTGCGCCCTCTGGAAGTCAGCGGGGAGCAGCCCGTGGGTTTTGGACTTTTGTGACCACACAGATAGGTACATTCTTTTTTCTTCGCACGTTAGATTTCTTTGACGAGCCGTTAGCCCGAAAGAATTTTACATCCTGCATCAGGCATATCGTTATCAGTTTTGTCCCAACACTCGGGCGAGTGGGGTCTTTGGGTGTGGACATTCGGTCTTTTTCCGTTCGATACAAATTTTGATGGTCAGATTTTGATCCGTATGATCTAGTTTTGTCGGACATTTAGGCTTAGCCATGCGATGGGTGGTTGCTGTTGTGGTGTACCTCAGCGCGGTGACGACGACACTGAGGGTTAACCGAGGATGTACAAGGATGGCCAGCTTATGGATGGTTGCTGTTGTGGTGTACCTCAGCGCGGTGACGACGACACTGAGGGTTAACAGAGGATGTGCAGTGAACAATGTTCTCTTTACTCCGCAGTCTTTTAACCAAGGGTTGTAATTTTGGCTGTACGTTTGGCAAACCTACTCATGTTCCTAATGAGTTTTGATAACATTTTTCACCCAAGCGTTTGGGGGCGGGCTGATGAGAGCCACAAGGACACTTCACCTCTGGGGGCCGCCAGACTCCGAGATCCCCTGACAGCTCTGTTAATGCTCATTTGAGACATTATCCGTGGCGCACGACGAGGACGTGCTGCCGGGGTCTTGCGTGAGGTTCCGTACAACCAGGATAGTAAAGGACTGGCGCCCGAGTGACGTACGGAGTATCTCCTTATACACATCATGTTGAGCTTAACTTCCCCTCACGCCTGTGACATAAATCACCGCGCCACCATTGCTTTCTGAACGACCAGCATTCATACTGTATCAGAATTTAACCTGGTATGTTGGAATTGTGAGACTTGTGTTCATAATCCCCAAGCCACAGACACACCATTGTTATAATTCTTCTGCTGTCACCAGAGATGATATTTAGCCTGTATGGTTCACATGTGGGTTTAGTGTAGTAAAAGACAGTTAACTCTGGCAGAGCTATCATTTTCTCGGGGACCGAAATGTTGGAACTGAGCCTTGTCACAGACCTGAGTCCCAGCATAGCAAAATCCCTAGTACAATACATGTGGCAGTGATCTGCGGACCACTTGCTAAGCCTGTTTGGGCCAGCAGGCCGTCAGTTTAATTAGCCTATACTGGGTGTTTGCAGAGGTAGCTTATATTGCTATAATTAAAGGTTTTGCAACTCATTTGCATCTTCTAGTGTTTAATTGCGTATAATTTAAAACCACATTTATTCTTAATGTTAAATTGTTGTATATTTTCCCCTATCTTGGGTTGGATTAAGTAACATGGACACTGTCTTTAATGTTGAGTTGCTGTCTGTTTTTCCTATGTTGGATTGGACTAAATAAATTTGTTGTCTTCAACAGCCGGATCGCTTTGGGGGCCATGGAGGTTATGAGATGGGTCTAGGGGGAGGACAAGGTGCGGTCCTCATGGTGTACGGACTCAACATGGACAAGATTAACTGTGACAGACTGTTCAACCTCTTCTGTCTGTATGGAAATGTTGTCAGGGTAGGACATGCTTGTAGATTCCTGTGTTGTTTAGAATGTGTCGGGTTTCTGTTGCTATATCTGTTGTCCGTCGACTTTGCGGCCACGGGTACACAGGATTTCAGATTGGCGAATCAGCCTTATGCACGTATGGATTGGCACCTGAGACGACAGGTCAACATCCTCCAAGACTGTCCCAAGTACAACATATCAAGGCAAAACTTCTGGCTAAGAGAGACACTGGTTGAAGCCAGACTTTATAGGTTGCCGAGCAAATTACAAAAGACAGTGAAGTTTATAGAAGAGACAACATTGCAGATATAGATCATCTGTTTTGGGGTGAATGAAAGAAGAATGTTGTCTTTGGGGTGAATGAAAGAAGAATGTTGTCTTTGGGGTGAATGAAAGAAGAATGTTGTCTTTGGGGTGAATGAAAGAAGAATGTTGTCTTATTGTCTCCTCCTGGCTGATTCTTCTTCAGCAGTCATTTGCTGTGCACTTGTTCCAGCATGGGTCACAGAGTAATGTAATTGATGTCCAGCATGGGTCACAGAGTAATGTTAGAATGACAAAGTGATGTCTTTCCTGTGGCACTAGGCTGCATGGGTTTGTAATTGATGTCTTCACTTGGCTGCATGGTTTCTCTTCAAGGATCAGTCTTGTTAGCCAGGCTGACAAAGTCTGGCAGTTGTGTCTGACTTCCTGTGGCATTTGCTTTGCCGCTACACAAACCACTTGTGGCAGAGTCACTGAGGTCCACTCTGTGTAGATATGCTCTGAATTTACAGCGTTCCTTTCTGAGTCTGAAAATTCTATCTTTATTGGCCCTCAAGGTTGGTGTAAAATTACTACATACCTTGGCTCACAAAATAGCAGAACACAAACACATATGTTCATATGCAGAAAGACAAAATCCAAATCGCAGCATCCAAGAAAAGATCACCTAAACAGTGATAAACATAAACTGTTGCCGCCAAATCTGTGATCCTGCTAGTGAAACATGTGTTGTGGACAAACTCAAACATTAGAGGGACTGTTTGCGGACTTTGATAATAACATGTAAGACAGTGACCATTCTTTTTCTCTGGTCAGCATGTTTACAGATCAACCAGCTTTAAAAGATACATTTAGGAATATATAAAAGCACTTCAGAGGGTGAGTCTCTGGCCAGAGACGTAGCAAAGGATCTTAGATTATTCCACAGAAGTATCATTTTACGAGGAAATCTGTGTTATCTTTAAAATATATTTTTTTCTATGTGGCCTGCGAAGGGTTGGTCATTTCAAAATTTGCCCCCAACCCTGCAGACCAAAAAAAAAAAGAGTTCTCACCCCTGGCTTAGAACGGTTTTAAGTAAAGTAATTGAAAGACCTATATAACTCCTATGGTGGCTCTGGCATCTAATGCTAGGCCTTTATTTTAACCGACTAGCTGACATTTGATCAGCCCTTTTGTATCTCATAATCATAAGAAAATACCGATCAGTGCAAAGAAAGAGCTTATACAAAGCATAATCATTCCCTCTGTGCTACCAGTGCCGCGTATTGTTATTCTCATCAGACATGTAGTAATAATTAGTAACTATGGAAATTTGATGTTTGACAATTGCTGCAGGAGTGACTAGAAGGGATACAAATCAGAAATAAGATGGCTGCATTGTGGGATCTGGGACTCATTGTAGGGAAAACAAGAATAGACTCGCCAACAAGCATGTCGTAAGAGTTGACTAAATGGGGACTCCTTTGACGTTGTGCATCTGCCTGAGAGACAAGGAACCAAGAGTGTGCATACAAAGTCAAATGTGTAAAACGGATGTGAACACAATACTCAGGCTCTAGAACAAGACTAAAGTCCTTAATGGACGAATATGCAAAACTGTCCGTCTAGTTTACAGCCGGTGAACGCGAAAAAGAAGAAATGAGATCATAATAGAAATAGCTGGCATAGAACTAATTCTAAATTAGATAGAAAGACAGCAAATAAAATGGTTTTGATAAGTTAGAGAGAATGCCTTGTGATGCCGTACCAAACGAGGCATATACCAAAAGTGAAAGATGGTGTAGAGCACAAGGTAGATCAAGAACAAGATAGAAAGATAACATCAGAGAAACTATACATCAGCAGCAGTTGAGGCGACCAGCAGAGCAAAAAGCAGAATCTTACGTCTCCCTCGTCATCTGAAGCAGTAAAAGGGGTAGTGAAGAAAAAAGTCTATCGCATGAGGGGCCTTTTCATTACGTGGTACCCATTTTAAGCTGGGTAACCTGTGGGGTCAATGCAGTTTTAAAAATTTGCTTCGGTACAGATTTAAACCCTAGACCTTCAGGCTGGCAGGCGAGCATCTCTAGCTCTGACCTACAGCGGCTCCATGCCCTTTTAATGTAAGCTTGATTTGTATGCATCAGCCAAACTGTCACATGTTGATCTGTTGCGTCCTGCACCTTGAAGAAGTTTCAGTCCAGGAAAGTCTGGAAAATGCAGTAACCACTTAGCTTCTGATGCTTCGCTTGGTGGAAAGTATTGAAACAATTTCTAATATATCACAGGTTTTTGTGTTTGTGCTGGGGTTTTATGACCCGAAATATCCAGATCTCAAATGTTCAGACAGAATTACTCGTGTTAAGCTTTCAGGGAGAACTATACTAATTCCACTGAATCAAGAGGTAAGGGAAAGATGCCGGCATGGGATAGGACACACATGGAGAAAACCTAAGTGACTATCCTGTAGCTGCAACCCTCAAACTCAGAGCAATAAAGGCAAAACCAAAACAAGATTTGGAGGACTTGGGGTGAGCTGTGTATGAAGCTAAAGGATGGACGACTTGGCCTGAGTTGTTTGAGATTCTGCACTCCATTGAGTGATAAAGAGCAAAAACAACAATTTGGTGCAAAACTTTGATACTCAACTCAGTAATATGATTCTGACTTTGCTGTGTGTGTTGTGGGCGGTCAGGTAGTGAGTAAAATAACTAAAACTTCTCATTCTTAGGAAGCTTAACCCTGTTATTGCTGTAGTTGCCATGTTCAATTGTTTGATTATAATTTTTTTTTCCAGATTAAGTTCCTCAAGAGCAAGGAAGGGTCTGCCATGGTTGAACTGGGAGATTCACTGTCTGTTGAAAGAGCAATCTCAAATCTCAATAATGCATTCATGTTTGGCAACAAGCTTCAGTTGAGGTTAGGTTATTAGCAGTCATCTCTTCTTGTCTGTTTATTGTTTATTTCATAAACTAAAAAGGTTAAATTAGAGAGGATTGGGGTCTCTCAAAATAACGGATAGCCGCCTGCCGAGAGTATCATGCAGCACTAACACACATTCCCTAGAGGCCTGTATAAAAATCATGATTTTAGAGCATGAGGCAAATGGCTTGACTGACCACTTTCCCTGCGGTGACCCCTCTTATTACAATTACATAACAGTATATTCTGCATGTATGTTTTAAATGTCATCACTGTGGGCTTCGGTTTAGGTAGAACATTTATAGTCATCACTTGTCTGTGTATTGTCACCTCTTCTTTTTTTGTTGGAAAGTCCTGGTTGTTCATACTTTTTTTTTTTTGTTGCTTTGTGCCAGAGCCTGAGTTCTGTACATCTGTTTCACTAGCTTATTGGTTTGCAGTTGGTTGTCCCTTGCTGCTCAGGCAGATGTACTCCAAAGGAAGTCCCCAATAAGTCGACTCCAATGACATGCTTGTTGGAGGGGGGGTCCATACGGGGAGTATGGTCACTTAGATCAATGCTGTCACCAGAGATGATATTTAGCCTGTATGGTTCACATTTTAAAACGTTGGGCCAACCACCTTCATGGTCAGGCCGTTTGCCTCATGCTCTGAATTTCATGGGTTTATTTGTAGGCTGCACTGTTTAATTAACATGTGCAATTTTTCCCCGAGATCCCTGAGGTGAATTTGTTTTCTGTGCGACTCTTTCGGCTGGCAGCTAGTTGTTCTGCGGAGAGAGACCAAGCCATATGGTGCAATGTAAAGTTGATCCTTTCAACTGTAACCTTTAACAAGATATCAGGGACATCCTAGGCTTGAAAGTTTACAAACTGGGGAAGGTGACAATGGACTGAGTGGCTTTCCCAAACTGCACGTCCCAAGATAAAAGAAGAGAGATTAAATATGTAATATTTTTATATTTTTTCCCCCAAAAACAGCCTATCAAAGCAGTCCCATCTGCAAGAAGTTATGAACCCGCATCATCTACCCGATGGGTCCTGCTCTTTCAAAGACTTCACAAGCAGTCGCAACAACCGCTTCTCTAACCCTGACGCTGCTCACAAGAATCGCATTCAGAACCCATCCAAGGTGCTGCACTACTTCAATGCTCCACCCAACATGGGAGAGAAGGAGATCTCCGAAGTAAGTGAATATTTTTAATTTTTATTTTCTTATCTGTTTTATTTTATTTTCTTATCTGTGTTAAGATAAATGAACAGTTGAGTGCCCTTTGCTGTTAGTAAGAGCACCACAAAGTATGGTAACTACCCTGACAATTTAACAAGTTTCTAATGGTTGAGGATGTAGCACAAAGTCCTGGGGAAAGCAAGGAGAAACTACCACATTATTCATCCCAAGAAACCCATTATGACTTCTTTGTGAAATGACACATAGCAGCTGAAGTAGCCTACACTTCAAGATGTAGAATCGTTTACCTATTTAGGCATTAATATAGATATTCCATTCCAGTAATGTCAAGATGGAGGAGCTGATAGAGGTGTTATAGTGTGAATGCAAAAGGCGAGAGTTTTCATAGCACTAGGAAATTTTTGGAGGTCACAGGATATGGAAACTAGTACTAAATTTAAAATATTTAGCTCAGTTTTAGATACACCTAACTGGTCCCTGCGCACAGTAGAGGGAATCACATGGTGTGAATCACTTGTGTGGTGTGGTCCCTGCGCCCAGTAGAGGGAATCACATGGTTTGAATCACTTGTGTGGTGTGGTCCCTGCGCCTAGTAGAGGGAATCACATGGTGTCAATCACTTGTGTGGTGTGGTCCCTGCGCCTAGTAGAGGGAATCACATGGTGTCAATCACTTGTGTGGTGTGGTCCCTGCGCCTAGTAGAGGGAATCACATGGTGTCAATCACTTGTGTGGCGTGGTCCCTGCACCCAGTAGAGGGAATCACATGGTGTCAATCACTTGTGTGGTGTGGTCCCTGCACCCAGTAGAGGGAATCACGTGGTGTCAATCACTTGTGTGGTGTGGTCCCTGCACACAGTAGAGGGAATCACATGGTGTCAATCACTTGTGTGGTGTGGTCCCTGCACCCAGTAGAGGGAATCACATGGTGTCAATCACTTGTGTGGTGTGGTCCCTGCACCCAGTAGAGGGAATCACATGGTGTCAATCACTTGTGTGGTGTGGTCCCTGCACCCAGTAGAGGGAATCACGTGGTGTCAATCACTTGTGTGGTGTGGTTCCTGCACGCAGTAGAGGGAATCACATAATGTCAATCTTGTGTGTGGTGCTTTTGGGGAGAACGTAACAAATTCCAGTGAATCAAGAGGGCCTGTGCCGTGGGGGGGGGGGGGGGGGGGGGGGGGGGGTATGGTAGAAGAAGAAGAAACAGGAAATGGCAGAATGTCAGCTTGATCCTGTCAGTGTACGGCAGGGCTATTCAACTAGCAGCCCGCCAAAGAAATCTGGCCCGCACAGCTCTAGCAAATCCCTCACCTGCCAGTTGTACTGTATTATTGATCTTTCAATTCTGGTGATCTGACATCTGGCCCACGATGGTCTCTGGTTTCCAACATTTTGGCTACTGTGTAAACATAGTTGAATGGCCCTCAGGTACAGTCTAATATCAGCTACAGGATGTAGAGGTGCTGAATTTGATGCATCACTTCCAGGGCTCATACTAGTGAAGACTGTCTTCCAAGCAGATTCGGGGGGGGGGGGGGGCTGACTACAATAGATAAGTTTGTTTCCTCCAAGATCAGGGCATCTGCCACAAAGACAAGGAACCAAAAGTCTGTACACAAATAAGGCGGTTCTGTAAAACAGACCTGCATGCAAACTTCAATTCCTAGGACAAGACCAAGGTCCAAAAGTGGTCCAGAACCTTCTGCTGAGTTTAAAGCCAGTGATTTCCCCATCTGGGTTCTAGGACCTCATTGTGGGGACCCACTCCTCAACCAACAAGCACACCGTAAGAGTTTAATCATTAGGGGTTTCCTTCGAAGTGTATCAGATCTGTAATATGGAGGCGAAAAACATCTCACTTTCCAGTTTGTTTTGTCCCCTTAACCCTTTCGCTGCTATGGACGAGATAACTCGTCTGCCCGGCAGACTGCTAAAGACGAGATAACTCGGCTGCAATTTTCTGTGCCCTCACTGCTAAAGATGAGATATCTCGTTCTGGACATTTTTTTACAGATTGCTAAGGACAGTAATTCTTAGGGGTGAAATAGCAATACACATTAACTTAATCTGATCAAACTGACCCGTTTACATACAATTAAAACCCTTATCAAGTGAGTTTAGGCGTATTTAGTTGCATTTCATGTTATCCTGTTTCTTTGTTACCATAGAAGCATTGTCGGTGATCAGTAATTTTTTTGCCCTGAAATATATTTCTGGTTTTGCGTTAGTCTAAATTTTTTTTTTTTTAAATACAAAATAACAAGAACATTTGTTTAAATAAAGAAGAATTAATTGAGTTTCTTTCAAGGAGTAGTAGTAAGGATCACTTTGAAACGTGTGAGTTATATGAGCTGGGTTATCTTCGCGGCACGCCGGCGGACACGTGTACTTCTGGCTGTGAACAAGACTGACCAGTGACCATATGACCTAGCTATCTACATCGACTGGATTTGAAACGGATCCAAAATAAACAACAACAAAAAAAGATATGGTCACGTACTGACGTGATGATTAATATTAATGTTAATTATATACTATACAACTGACATAAATGTGTTTGTCTATTAAAGTGTACAATACTGGTCTTTTTTCAGTTCATAGTTTCATGTGAATATCTAGTGTAGTTAGTATCACGTCTGCCTTACATTCGAAAGGTCCAGCGTTCAACCCCTACGTGCCGTTTTTTTTTTAAATTAATAATTTTAAATTTAAGCTGTTAGCATTTTCGGCAACAGATAACCAAAGTAATAATTAATTAAACACCCTGTCACGTGCGTTCAGGTGGATTTAGATGCTTTACACGTTATGTGAAGCGTGGTTGGTGTACTGTGCACATTCATTATATAAAGTTGTTGTGGTGAAAAACACACCTGTTGCCGAATTTCACTTAAAGTTAGTAAGAGAAATTCTACATAAATATTGCAAGGAAAAGAGAAAAAGTGTAGGAGGACAAAAAAGTGAAGATCTGCCACTTCGTTTAGTACAAAGGCATTTCCCTTCAATAATAGAGTCCGTAACATCGCAGAAAAAATTCCCAACCAGAAAGTGTGTGGTATGCGCAAAGCAAAAAAACGACGGAAAACCAGATACATGTGCAAGGAATGTGATTTGGCATTGTGTGTCGCACCTTGTTTTGAAATATTTCACACACAAAGATATTATTAATAATAATAAAAACCATGTATTTTCTTACTAAAGTGTTTTGTGTTTGCTTTGTAAGTTTGTAATGTTTTCTTTTTGTTAATGAGTTTTCATGGCGTAGTAATAGCGCGTCTGACTTGTCAGCGCAAAGTTCAACCACACGCCTTCAACGATTTTTTATTTTAGGTGTACAATTTTTACCCCGTGCCGCAAGCGCGTCTTCTGCTTTTGAAGGAAAAAACGGTATTCAGCACAGGGGGAAAGATTAGCTCTCGCCTGGCTTAGCACAGTGGTTACGTTGGCTGGCGGAGGGCGCAGCAGCGAAAGGGTTAAAGTTGCATGATTATAATTTACATTTGTATGTCCTTCCTCAGCTGTTTGAGAATACTTACGGGAAAAGCCCAGTTGCTGTCAAGCAATTCCCCTCAAAAAGTAAGTTCATATATAAGTAAATAGTTGTTACTGGCAGTCTGCCTGACTAAGATAGCCAACAAGCTTTATTTTCAGAGGATCATATGTTGGGTATGTAGGCCCTTCCAAGTGTTTCTCTTTCACACAGCTATCGTATTTTATGCATAATTTGAATTTAAAGTAAAATACACAGAAGCCTGGATGGTAAATGAATACAGATGTACATACACATATTGGGAATCACTGGTCTACAATATAGTCAGCTCTATTCTGGCAGTAATTTGCGGGATCCATCTGTATAGTCTAAGGATGGTACAGGTAACAAAGTGAATTTTTGCCATACTCCAGCTCTTATTTCAGATGATGCTCTTACTTGTCCTCCATGAAGAGATCTTCTTCTGTTTTTGTTTTTTCCCCCGCAGGGGAGTGTGACCTTAACCAACTTACACCAAATCAGACTATCTTCTGCTGTCACCTGCAGGTTACCCCTACCTCCTCATCTTTTTTTCATCTTCGTGGTTCCTTTCTCCGTCTTTTTTTTTTAAAATGTAATTTGTAAATTTGCTTTTCTGCTCCTGTGGGTTGTGTGACAGAATGGCAGCAATAAATCCTTGCATGGGAACACCAGGTAGATATTCACAGCTGGAACTACATGACATGTTCTTAGTTGTTGTTTTGTATGCCCTTTTCAGCTGAACGCAGCAGTGCTGGACTGGTGGAGTTTGAGAACAAGTCCGACGGTATTGAGGCTTTGGTCATGGTCAATCACACAGCGGTCAGTACTCCAGGTAGGTGCCCCCAACACTGTGCTTGTGCTGCTTTTTCTAGTTCAGTCTAAGACAGGATGATCCCAAGGTCCCCTTTAGTGGAAGTGGGAAGGGTGTCAAAAATCCATTGACATGCATGTCGTAAAAGGTAACTCCATAAGGATGCTAAAGTGAGATAGTTTGGCCCGAAAGATGCAAATATTGCAGCCTAGCTGTAGCCCACAACATAGATGGCCAACCACCATTGTAAGGTTTAAGAAAGGGGAGTGAAGTTTGACTGTAATGGTCTGAAAGTGCATTATCCCAGATTATCCATCTCTTCATGTTGTCCTCCCACGTGTATTGTTGTCTACCTCTTGCTCTTTCTCTTGTCTTTAACTTTTCCCTCCAAGCATGGTATTTAACTCTTTGAGTCCCAAGGAACGCATCATACGTTTATAGATTCCTACCTAGAGGCCCAATGAATGCATGATGCGCCGATTTTACGTCTCTCTTGACTACCCCTTGGGCCTGTGATGCTAAAATTATATCTTTCGATGTGGCGAAATATTTCACTTGTCTCAGTTTTATTTCTTTCATCAATTCTCTTTTCATTTCTAGTCTCATCAGGTCCTCTCTGATTCTTATTCTGCAATCGCCCTTAAAAGGGCATATGGTTATGTTTTACAACTAGGCTGTGATACCGGCTGCTTTCGGCCAAACATCCAATCTCGCCAAAGGGCCAGTTTGTCACCTTTTACAGTATGCTTGCTAGTGGCAGTGCTTTTTTTAAACCTCTCCCAGAACCCAAACAGGCAGAACCTCTGTTTTTGATTGTTGTTTCAGACTGTTTTTCGGTTTATCCTTGTCTTTATAGTCTCAGTTTATATTTTGATTGTCCAGTTGCTTTTCATTATCTAGGTTTCTGCACCAAACATATAGTTGAAAAACCAATATATTTTTTAAATGAATTTGTTCTCCCTTTTTTTTTTCAGAGAGCAAAACTCCATTCATCTTCAAGTTATGCTTCTCTTCAATGCCCGCCGCATCGACTTGATCATTTCATTGGAAGGAAATGTACTGCCCGTTGCAAGCGTCTCTTCTGTTTTCTCATAATTTGTGTATCGTTGTGTTTTGTGTGGCAGGAGATTGCTCGTGTCTTGTCTTTTTTGTTTGTTTTTTTATTAATGATTTTCAATACCGAATATCTCATGTTATTCATTTATCCACTGTATTCACATTGTTGGTCAGCTTTGTTTGTTTTACATTGCTTCATATCTGTGCATTCCTTACATGCAAAGGCCTGCAGGTTACACCAGCTGCCCCAGTTGTAGGAGGTTCAACAATGTTTTGGGTGGGCCTGCCATCTGCATTGAATGTTTTCTCAATTTTGTGGTGTCAGACTAGGTAGCAACCCTGAGGGGGTAACGGGAATGTGAATGGATGTTTGTGTTAGATGGATTGTTGGACATGGTCCAGGCAGGTAAATCTGGTTTTGTTGGATGGATTGTTGGACATGGTCCAGGCAGGTAAATCTGTTTGTGTTGGATGGATTTTTTGACATGGTCCAGGCAAGTAAATCTGTGTTGGATAGATTGTTGGTCCGGGCAGGTAAATCTGTTTGGATTGTTGGACATTCTGTAGCGAGTGCAGACATTTTGTTGGCACTAAGCCAAAGTCACTTGAATGCTAGATGTTTGTTTTGTAAAAAGTCTTTTCTGAAAATTGACCAAGGTGAAAGTTGTTGCAGTGGTGCTTAGGTGACTGTCGTATTACCAACAGTTTTTGTCACTTTGAACTTTGTCATGACGTCACATCGGCAAACAGAGCTGTCATGCAGCAATTTACCATCGCCTGGGGTTTAGTAGGGGAAGCCACTTGTGGAGCGTAACTGGCTAATGGTGGTGAAGACTTATGTCTCCTGAAAGGTGTCGCAGCCATGTTTTAAACGGGCACAAAACATGTACATCCTTGGTGTGCGAAGAAGAAGACTTACAGGGAAGCCACTTGTGGAGCGTAACTGGCTGCAAAGTCTGAAGCCATTTTACACTATGGTTATATCACAACAGTGGGAGCACAGAGTTGAGAGACGGATGAACAGCAGTCTGGGTACAGCCACAGCAAGAGACAGAGCCTGTTGGAGATACATTGCAGCCAACCTTCATTGTGGGGATGGCACCTGATTGATGATGATGTCACATCATGTTGTAAAATTGTTACCTTCAGAAGTGTGAAGGATTTTAAGAGTGAGAGAAAAGGGCGTTGTCACATCATCTCATACATTGATCACTTAGTTATGGCAAAATGAAATCCTAGACATTTAATTCGTCACTGACGTTAGCCACGTTTGGTTTCTACTCTTAACCATAGACTGTAGAAGTGAGATCTGTTTATCTTGACATTTTTACCAAAATTTTCATAGAGTATTGAAATTAAATTTCTTTTTGCATCCTTGTTTTGTTTCTTCACATGTCCAACTCGTTGTTGTGTGTTCTTGCATAAGTCAGAGGTCATTAAAATTATTTTAAAATACATTTTTTGCTTTAGTGTTTGTCCTTAGAAGGATGTTTGTTTTGGTTTACAGCCAGGATGTGAAATCTGAACTTTTTTCAACCAACCCATCCCATTTCCACAAAACTAATTAGTCGCCTCTTACACTTGTTAGCAGTTGATTCATATTTTTCCCCAAATGAGTCCCTGGCACCCGCGCATGGGAAGAATTTGTATCTTTAAGTTTCCTTGTCTAGTTCCCATTTTTAGGGGAAAAGAATAGACCCCACTGCCCCACTAACAAGTATGTCCTAAAGGCAACTTACAAGAGGTTTTTCATTTGATATTGAAGTGCAATTAGTTAAGAGGCATGGAACCAACAGCATGCATACAGGTAAGGTAAATTAGATCTGTAAAATGGATGTGCATGCAAAATTCAAGTTGTGAAATAAGACTGAAGTGTACAACCAACCAGAAATGTTACTCTGGAGTTTATCACCAATGAACACAAAAAAATAATTATTTTGAAGTTATTGCATGAGATTTGTATAATCTTGATAACGCTTTCATGTTTTGTTGTGTACATGATCATAATTCGAGGTCTGTTGGCTTCTAAAGTGAGGTTTTCCTCGTGTGGGTTATGGGGCCCTATTATAGAGAAAACAAGAATAGAACCACTGCCTACCCAAAAGCACGTCGTAAGAGTCGAATAATTGGGAGCTTCCTTCAAAGTCGGAGTGCATCTGCCTGAGAGGCAAGGAACCAGCAGTCTGCATACAAATGAGTCAGATCTGTAAAACGGATGCACTCGCAACACTCAGGTTCTGGAACAGGACTGCAGTCCAGAAGTGGGCGAACAATCAAGCAGAGAAGTTTACAGCTGGTGAACATTTTTTTTTTAAATTTGTGAGGACGTGACAATTCCTTGGGGGGAACCTCCTAGTACAGAAGCACAAGAGAATTATGAGAGACTCCTTAGGAGATGGAGAATGCTCATGTTCTGCTCCTGCCTTCTCTTGAGGGCTGACCAGCATTGCATGCCTGCTGTGAATTGGCATGACAGATGGCGCCACCTGTTGACTAGGAAACAATGCTTACCACATGACAAGAGACTGCAGTGTCCCATTAAACTAACTAGTAAAGTAACTCAGGCAGCAGATGTTGGATATGTCTCCTGAAAGGTGTCGCAGCTATGTTGAAACGGGCTCATATGTACATCCTTGGATAAGCGAAGAAGACATACAGGGAGACAAAGAGTAATTAAATTCACTGAAAGGATGGGAGGTTTTGTTAGACAATTTATCAAGGTGTACTGAGTACAACAAAAACTAAAGCTCAACAGAGGGAATAAAAAGGATGTCCACAAATACAGCCGAACATTTCAATCAAAGTTTGTACCAACGAAATAATAACTACAGTTAGTTTCCCTTTATGATGTTCCATTTTAAGATGTGAAGTCATACACCATATTTAGGCAGTAATATAGGTAAAGATGTGGGAACTGATAAGGATATTAAAATACTGATATAAGAGGCAAGAAATTACTAATAAACTGAACATTCATTACCTGGTGCCTGTGTAGAAGGATATTAAATGGTATGATAGAATCACTTATGTTGAGCTTTGGAGGAGGATAAAACAAGTTACAGTGGACCATTAGGTGAAGAAAAGATGCTGGTGTTGGACACATGTTGAGAAAACATGTGAACAATAGTAACTAGAATGTCTTTGCAGTGGAACTGGCAGTGTCACTGAAATAAAGGCAGACCAAAAAAAACGCTTGGAAAGAGGGCACAGTTAAAGAGATTGGGGACGATGTGGGGTGAGCCAACACCTTCTCCAAATCTGGAGAGCTGCGTGCAACAGCAAAGGATAAAATGACTTGGCTTGAGTTGAGAGCCTATGCTTCACTGGGGGATAGAAGGTAATGGAAGAAGACTAATTACAACACAAACTCAGTGGACAAGACAACGAGCTCATGTGCAGACAAAGCTTGGAACTTGTAAACGGAAATATGGAACATAAATAAGAAAGTGAATAAAAAAATTGAGAAGAAATATAAACAGCTGAAATACTGTACATGCTCGCTTCAAAAGTCCTGGGTAGTTAGTCTTCTTCTTCTTCTTCGATCCTTCTGTCAGAAAACTTATATCAGGAGGCCGGTAGCCTTTATGAAAGCTATCGTGCAGTCCATATCCTCTTGTGTACAATACAGTTTTGTCTTCATTGTGATTGGAACAGGCCAGATTGCGTCTCTGTTGTCAGCATACAGTTGACGGCTAGTTAGTGACCTGTGGATATTTTCTCTAGGCGATGCCGGTGTATAAGGAAATAAGCAGACATATAAACTGGTTGGTTCTTCATATATGGTGAAAATATAGGGGTGACTGCAGTCAAGCTTATACAAGGAATTCCAGAGAAATTTGACTAAAATGCTCAACAAAATGGGGAAGCAGAAAAACGTGAACAAAACAACACAACGGAACGTTTCGGCCGGGCAGCCTTTTTCAAACATAAGAACTACACAAACGAGCAGATGAGTATGTAGATCTCTAAGGGGTGACGTGAGCAACGTTTAAAAAAATGTGATGCGGAATAAATGAAATAAAATAGAATAAACGATGGTAATAAAATATAGTCACACAAAAATAATAAACAGTAGTATAGTTAATATATAATATGATACTGGGAATAAAAGAAATACAAATGTTAATGATACATAAATGATATTGATAAGAAATAGAATAAAGTAATAATATGAAAGAAAAGAAAAGAATTAACATTTGAAATGTGATAAGAGTAGAACTATTTAGATAAAGGTATGTTGGATAATGATACCACCTGGACTAAGAACGCCTAAGCTGTGGATGAGGCGATTTTCGAAAGCGAGGCGCTTAGTATGATCGCCAGAACAAGATTTTAATGCTGTGACAGAAATAACATCTTTACCTCTGTGGTCAGAGCTATTAAAATGGAGAGGGGTTGGTTTAAGTGTTTTCTTGTCAATATCAGAGAGGTGTTCCCGGAAACGATCAGCTAGCTTCCTGCCAGTTTCCCCAATGTATACCTTGCAGCATCGTTTGCAGACAATTGCATAAATTACGTTGCGGGATTCGCAAGTGAAAGGTTCCCTAATTTGGAAAGAACCATTAAAGAAACTGACCGAAGAAGTCTGGACAACAAAAGGACATGTCTTACACGTGCTGCGTGAGCATTCAGTAGTCCCAAAAGGAAGTGCTGTGTGGATCGGTGGAAGTCGGCTTCGGACAAGTATGTCTTTGAGGTTGCGGTCTCGTCTATAAATTAATCCAGGTTTCTCACTAAAGATAATCTTGGTGTCCGGATCAGAGCGGAGAATGTTCAAATGACGAAAGAATACTCTGGAAGCAACCACATTATTAGGGTGAAAAGTCAAAATCAATTTGGGTCCATCACTGGTAGAATTACGTTTGGTAAGGAAAGCATCTCTCCTGGTGATTGCCAAAACTTTATTTAGCGCCCATTGTAAAATGTGTTCCGGATAGAAACGGGCACGGAAGAATTCAAGAAGTTCAACTGATTTATCAAAAAAGTCAGAATCATCAGAGCATAACCTGCGCAATCGAAGGAGCTGTGAATACGGAATAGAATTTTTTCACGGTAGTGGGTGAAAAGACATATAGAGGAGATAACTGTGAGAATCCGTGGGTTTGTATCGATGCTAACAGTGATGTCAAGAAAGTTTACTGAAGTGGTGGAGATCAGTGAGGTGAATTTGATAGCCGGATTGAAATTGTTGATGTAAGTAATAAACTGGTCAAGATCAACTATGGACATTTCGGTGATACCAACGCCATCATCTATGTATCTCCTATACACCTCCGGAAAATTGCCCGGGTATGATAAACTGACCTCGTATTCCAGGTGGCCCATAAAGAGGCACGCGTAACTGGGACCCATCTTGGTGCCCATCGCGACCCCACTGATCTGGTCAAAATACTCACAATTGAACTCAAAAGAGTTAAGGGTCATTACCAGTTCGGCAAGGCGTACAAGAACTGCAGTAGGGATGATCGGGTTGGACCTTCTGTGCAAAAAGAACTGGAGTGCTCTAAGACCATCAGAGTGAGGAATAGACGTATAGAGGGAGTATACGTCTATCAGGAAAAGGTTCTTTATAACATGTTGTAAGGGCCCTCTGCAGGCGAGTGAGCAGTGTGGAGACGAGTGAGCAGTGTGGAGACGAGTGAGCAGTGTGGCGGCGAGTGAGCAGTGTGGAGACGAATGAGCAGTGTGGCGGCGAGTGAGCAGTGTGGCGGCGAGTGAGCAGTGTGGCGGCGAGTGAGCAGTGTGGAGACGAGTGAGCAGTGTGGAGACGAATGGGCAGTGTGGAGACGAGTGAGCAGTGTGGAGACGAATGAGCAGTGTGGAGACGAGTGAGCAGTGTGGAGACGAGTGAGCAGTGTGGAGACGAGTGAGCAGTGTGGAGACGAGTGAGCAGTGTGGAGACGAGTGAGCAGTGTGGAGACGAATGAGCAGTGTGGAGACGAGTGAGCAGTGTGGAGACGAGTGAGCAGTGTGGAGACGAGTGAGCAGTGTGGAGACGAGTGAGCAGTGTGGCGGCGAGTGAGCAGTGTGGCGGCGAGTGAGCAGTGTGGAGACGAGTGAGCAGTGTGGAGACGAGTGAGACAGTGTGTGTGGAGACGAGTGAGCAGTGTGGCGGCGAGTGAGCAGTGTGGAGACGAGTGAGCAGTGTGGCGGCGAGTGAGCAGTGTGGCGGCGAGTGAGCAGTGTGGAGACGAGTGAGCAGTGTGGCGGCGAGTGAGCAGTGTGGCGACGAGTGAGCAGTGTGGCGGCGAGTGAGCAGTGTGGCGGCGAGTGAGCAGTGTGGCGGCGAGTGAGCAGTGTGGCGGCGAGTGAGCAGTGTGGAGACGAGTGAGCAGTGTGGAGACGAGTGAGCAGTGTGGAGACGAGTGAGCAGTGTGGCGGCGAGTGAGCAGTGTGGCGGCGAGTGAGCAGTGTGGCGGCGAGTGAGCAGTGTGGCGGCGAGTGAGCAGTGAGGGGACGAGTGAGCAGTGTGGGGGCGAGTGAGCAGTGAGGGGGCATAGAAGGATCATCACAATCTGAGGAGAATGGTGCTGCGAGGAGTCACCAGGGGATCAACGCTCAAGCGAAACACGAGACGAATATGCAGTCAAGCAGTTAATGGTACCATCAGAATTAGAACTATGTGCTTGCTGCTGAAGAGAGGTACCGAGCGCTTATGGGAATGTCCCGAGTGCTGTGATGTCGGCCAGATCCCAAGGTCCCTCCTTTCAGCACCCTTCTTCTCAGACCGTGGTGACACGCATGCGCTGCCAAATGATCCCTACATCTAGCTTGTCATGCATCAATCATCTCCGAGTGGTGTGGAATCAGCCAGTCTGTCTGCCTGTTTATTTCCCTACACACCAGTCTGTCTGCCCTTTAAAAAATGTACATTGAATGCACAATAAACAATATGCACGATATTATATGAACACTTTATTATTTTATCAGGCTTCTGTGATTCTGAAGTTGCAGCTTCTGTATCAAAATTTGTTCAAACGTATTTGGTGTTATCTGTCTTCTGGAGTAAACAAAGCAGACGGAGCGGGGCATCATGCTGCACGGTCAATACCTGGTTTCTGTACTACTACCCAGGCTTTGTGCTAGGGAGAGTATAAACTTCATCCCAGATGATTCCTATTCCACATCGACACAGTAAAGCATGTCTGGAAAGCCCAGAAAGATGCCACCAATCCTGGCGTAGAAATGTGTTTGTTGAACATTGTTCACAATCCCCAAAAGTACAGAATCACACCCTGCGGAACTATTTCGCCTGGGACAATGTCCGATGCTAGGGAGAGCCGACTTCAAAAGCTCCCTGGAACTATGCCGGTGTTGTAGACGCGATGTCCTACTGGCCAAGAAGCATTCTGGGAGCTGCCGTTGGAGACAAATTCTGGATGGGTCAGCCAGACGGGTTTAGGGTTTACCGTCTGCTTGCGCCACATGAAGTATTCATACTCAGGATGTAAACCGTCTATTGGGCTGTACTCGTAAAAATGCGTGTCCAAGAAGGCAGCTTCTACTTCCGGGTGTTTGTACTTGATTCGCCTGCCAGTGCACAACAAGTTGCGAATACAGCCTGCGAGGTCCTGTAGCAAACGAGAAAGACATTTCTCTAAAACAATGTACTTTCGGCTTCAGTTGTTTATGTTAACTTATAACATACTTGAGGCTTTAGTTGTTTATGTTAACTTATAACACACTTGAGGCTTTAGTTGTTTATGTTAACATAACATACTTGAGGCTTTAGTTGTTTATGTTAACTTATAACATACGTGAGGCTTCAGTTGTTTATGTTAACATAAAATACTTGAGGCTTTAGTTGTTTATGTTAACATAACATTCTTGAGGCTTCAGTTTATATTAACTAAAGCCTCAAGTATGTTATGTTAATATAAACTAGCAGATACAAAGTCGCACAGGTCAAGACGTACATGAGGGTATCGGCAGACGTTAACCACCTACTGCACAAAGCTATACACGACACAAAAGGAACGCGTCTCAGAAAGAGGCCGCTCTTGGATGGCAAAGGCTGAGAATTCAATCCAGCAGACGTGATCAGTCACGGAAAAGAATGGACGAATACATCAGTAGACATGCATGGCGTCTCTAGGGTTTTCATCATACTCGGAAGGTACTGCAGGGATCAAATTCCTGCGTCCGTAGACACAGAAGAAAGGGAACTGATAAATCAGCATTTAGACCCAGAAGATATCATCATCTACACAGATGGATCCGTGAAGAGCGGATCAAGGTCAGCATGGGCATACACAGCGCAAAGAGGGAGGGGGGGGGAACAATACAGGAAGACAGAGGCGCTTACCAGACAGCGACTCAAACATGACCATGGAAATAACCTCTGCTTCTGGAGCTTTAGCATGGGTATCCGAGCAAACCGACACACAGGCAGTAATTGTATCAGACTCCGTGAATATGCTTCAGAAGATAGCAACAGGCGGTATGCGCTCTGAATGGATAGAAAGCACTCGAAAATCGCACTTAACCTCCGTAACCTGGATCTACACACCGGGTCATGCGGACGTAAAGGGAAATGAGCGAGCGGATCAACTGGCAAGCACTGCATTAAGGATTGCGAGAAAAAGTATGGACAGAGCAGATATCGTCAATGCTGTAAGAACTGGGCTAGTGGATAATGAGAAATCCCTGACACTAACACGACTGCGTGACATAGGAGTAAAGCATGGTAAAGCACGTTTATGCGTCTTCGAGATAGGAAACAATATAACCAGCTTCTCATGGACAAAATTAGTAGAAGTACTTTGGAGTGGCTGCTGCGTCGGAGGATTGAGCACGCATGTGAATGCCCAATGGTCAGTGAGGTTGATTGAGATAACATAACATAACATGATAAGTTATAACATATGTGAGACTTCAATTTATTGTGGCGCTTATTTACAAATTGTCCATGATTCACAGCCATACATTAACTGTTAGTACCACAGAAAACTGTTACCGTATTATTTTTATATATATGTATAAATCTTCCAACTCGCCCACAAACAAACCCACAAGACGCGATACAGCCAAGAAATCAGTGGGGGGGGGGGGGGGGGGTCCCCAGCCCTCTTATAATTTCCCAGGTACGGGCTCAATGAGCTTAAACTTTATTTAAGTGCGCAATTAAAAAAAAATAGTAATTATTATTATTGTGTTTATTGTTATGTACTGAATCACAAGTAAATCCAACAACATGTTACAGGCGAAAACGTACCTTAACATCGTAACTGACTTGGGATGACCTTGCACGTGAGGCACTGGAGGCCAGCATGGGAAATCGGCAGGAAAGAGGTACCTCATGGATGACACAGGCAGAAGTCACAACCACAAATGTATGTGCTATTGACCAGGTAGAGCATGGTGAGAAATGGGTCACAGTGCAACCCAGCAAAACAGACTTGCGCAGAGTGGTAGTACCTTAGACCGAGGGTGTCGGGAACCAAAGGTCGTTCCAAGGTGAAAGAGAATCATTAATGCATGAGTTGATGAATGGAAATTCATGCCCAGGTGATATTATTGAATACACATAAGGATATGTGGTGAAAGTAAAGAGAAGTAGCGGAGTTTTATTGCAAAGGTGCATAGACACTGTTTGAAAATAGACAGCTTTACGTTTAACGTCATCGCATAAAATATGAGATTTGAGGTAGAGGCAGTAACAGCAGCTTTTCGATGGCTGGAGGGCAGCGCAACCCAATATGTGATAACTGTAACGCACTCAAAAGAATAATTCGGAAAATAGGAATCGGTGTCCTACACGCAGAGTGGTTTGATGATATTCAGATTAGGAGCTTATCATATATTGTTCTATCCATGATAGTCGGATACAATGGCTGCTTCCGCTCCTCTGAGCGAAGTGTTACTTGATGATAAGGCAGGCATAGTTAAGGCTCTATAGGATCAAGTGGGCAGTGCAAGAGAACAGACTGAAAATCCCCGCCTTGAAAGACTAATTTAGCGAGGGGTGATTAAAGGGTCTAGCTGATATTCATCGGGGGTGGGGGGTGGGGGCACTGGGGGGGGGGGCTGAGTTGTTTCGAGGTATGGTGTCCGCCTCGAGTACTTGAGGTTCTAGGTTCAAGCCTTGGTGAATGTTGGGATTTTTTTCCACTTGGACTTCTAGTAATTTCCCCTGGTCTCTGTGTAGTAAGATCGGATGCCCGAGTTTATTCTTGCGCACGTAATAAAATCCCTTGGCAGTTAGAAATCGAAAAGAGTAGTCTAACGGCGCTGCCGGGGCTAAAATTTTGAGTAAAAAATCTACCCAAAGTATTTCAGGATCCTTGCCGGTGCAACGAAGTTCGTGCACTGAGCTGGGTTTCGTCAGGATCGGGCTTAATTTAGAAGTAGAACGCAGTACTTATGGGTTACACCCGTGTGTCATTATGTTGATCCGTCGAATAAACGATATTCGTCACTGGGGAGAGGGAGAGAAGGGGTGGGGGGGAGAGCAGGCGGGCTGTTAATCAGGTTGCAGCTGGTATTTTTAGCATATCATCTCTTGGTTGGCTACTGAAGAATGAAACGGAGCCCGCGTGGAAGAATCCGGAGTGCAGTGACACCCATTTCTGATTAATTTACTGTTCAATCAACTGTGGTCACTCCTCTTCTGCAGCTCATGGATCAGGCACTCAAGTCCAGCATCTGTGTGTTCTAGAACAAGTAGACCCGTTCACTGGTGGGGTCGTCGTGTCGGTTGAATGCTCCTACTACAGGAGGCCCCACCGAGTAAGGGACCGTGTCGCGATGGACTAGGTAAACGTTGGTGGTGTCCACGTAAGGGGAGAATAACACTCTTCTGGCCAAGCCGAGTTGTCGAACTTGGTAACAGATGCTCTGCAACAAGTAGAAGGGCAAAGGTCATCCCATGGAAGAGGCTGCCGTAGGGGTTATCTGGACGGTGTTAATGTTTCCATATGTACATACATATACATCCTACAGGGACGCTCATATCTGAAGGGAAGGAGGTTCAAGACACTTGAGCCGACCCAACCCACCCACACACACACACAAAAACAGTGTCACAAAACGCTGAGGTCACCTGTCTTTATTTTGGTTTGCCCTAATAAAAAAAAAAGACACTCTGAAGTAGTTTACTTGTTGAGATGTTGGCTCGCAATGGTCTAGGCGGTATCCCGCAGTTCCAAAGAAAATCCAACCTACTTTAGGGGTGAGGCGACTCAAATTATGGCACTACAGAATTACTAAATATTCCTAGGGGCAACTTGGACTGACTTCCCCACTACTTTTAAGCCCCCAGACTAGATAGTAATCCCATGCTAGTCAAATTAACACAGTACAGAATGATATACAACAATGCAACATGCATTCCAGATAACTTAAGAACTGTGAAGGTTTGACACTAACCACAGAATGTAAAATAACAAAACATCATGTAACAGTCAACACAAGTAAAAATGTAAAGAAGTTGATTCAGCAAGACAAAGCAAACTCTGTAAGGAAGCAAAGAAGACCCTACTCCAAATGGACTCCTGGTTTGCTTTTAGCAGCAGCAATTATCATCATTGCCAAATTGCAGAATTATGGACCTAGGTAGCTGGCACTTCGTGCTAAGATTTACCACCATCCCTGATAACCATAACTTATCTGTTCAGCAGGTCCTGTTCATCCGAAGTGCAGCATCTTCCTACTGTTGACACTAAGAATGTTTGAAGCTCCGACAATGGTGAAGAATTTATAATAGTCAATAAAGTACTGCTGCTGATGGTTCTCATTATTTATGATTCACATAAGGTAGAAGGTTCCCTTTTATAAGTTAAAGTTCACAAAGTTCTTCTACCCTCTAGGTAGTGGCAGTTGTTGGCAGCATGCTCACATAAAAAGCTAATGGGTTTCAGACACAAACTGATGGTGAATATCAAGGAACAGGTGACAGTTGTGATCTCATGAGGATCCAGACGTTGGTGCATGCACATGAGTGAGGTGTTCACTGAGGATTCCTCATACTGTAGACTGTCTGCTGGTTACACTTGATGGATGTTAGGATACTGATAGTTGATCTGGCCTCCAGATATAAGTAACATTCCATGCTCAAGGAAGTTCCCGGGTGAATCGGTGACTTTCTAAAGAAGGCAAGCAGATAGACAGGTAAGGCAGCAAGCCGCTTAATCTGGAAGCTCAGTCAAGAATAAGTCCCAAATCTAAGTGTCCCTCCGGCTACAGGCAGGATGGGATTCACCCACGTCCCAAAGCGGTAGTTAGGCCAATGGAATTTGGCTTCACTATAAGTGAAACTCCATCCTATATGGCTGAATTATGATACATTTAATTCCCAAGAGAATTATGACATAATTGAGTACTTATCCCGATATCTTGACACATAAGAACAAAAAAAGGACTATTTACTTGTTGAGAAAAGTCCAAGTTTTTAAAATGGGTAATTTACATATAAGTGAACAGGATGTGGGCAGGTTCAAGACCAGAGGGCTATCATGCGATAACCAGGCAAATAATTATTGTGGCTTTAGGGCAGATACAGTGGAACCTCTCTTAACGAGCATAATTTGTTCCAGAATCATACTTGTTAAGCGGAACACTCGTTAGGTGAAACAATTTTTCTCATATAAATTATTGTAAAATACGATAATGCGTTCCATGTCGAAAAAAAAATACGCACAAAATGCTACATATAACGTTTATTCAAAGAAAATTATATGCATATTGTTAAGGAGAGTGAATTATCTTTATCTTTTCTTCAAACGCGGAACGAAATCACCTGGAATGCGAATTCGATTTGCAGAAAAAGATTTTTTAAAGTCGAAATAATTATGATACATAGCAAATTTTTTTTTACTAGAAATATATTCAGAGACATTTGCCTTTGCCAATGCTTCAAAATTTGGCGAAAAGGCGACACAGCATTATCATTTAATAAATTTGTAGCGCGCATAGCCACTTCCTTATTAGGGTGATGCTTCTCAATGTAAGATACACAGTTTTCATCAGAAGATTGTTGCTTTTCTGTTACCCTGTCCTCCTCCTCTGACAAACTTTCCTCCAAAACTTCAATGCAACTCCATAAGCTCTTCGGTGGTCAGCTCTTGGCTGTGCTCTTCCACAAGCTGTTCGATATCACTGTTATCCACCTATAATCCCATGACTATAATCGTTGACTACAGGTTCCACAGGTACTGTCTGGACCCCTTCCAAGCAGAAGTTAGGGTTCTCTTGGTAACCACTTCCCCCCCCCCCCCCCCCACCCGCCTTGTCGATCATCTTGAGGCAGGCAACGATGTGGAAGTGATTTTTCCAAAACTCTTTAAGAGTGAGGTTGGTCCCTTCAGTCACCTGAAAACAATGCTCGAAGAGTGCTTTAGTGTAGAGCTTCTTAAAGTTAGAAATAACTTGCTGGTCCATAGGCTGGAGTAACGGAGTGGTGTTGAGAGGCAGAAACTGGATCTTGATGAACTTAAATTCTTCAGAGAGGTCATCTTGTAGGCCTGGAGGATTCATGCACATACATCACACAAAAACACAAGTTTGAGAAAATGTGTGATCATAAGCGACAATATGCTGCTACTGGAACGAGTGCTAAACACAGACTGATGTAACATGAGCACAACTTGGGACTTCCCCTCTCCTCGCCACTCGTTATGCGAAACGTCGCTCATTAAGAAAGTCATTCTTTTACAATTTGTTTTGCTCGTTATGCGAATTACCCGTTATGATAGGTGCTCGTTAAGTGAGGTTCTACTGTATCTATAAGCACTTGTGCCAAAATGGACAACGAATAGGGCACTAGAACTAAAAAAAAAAAAAAAATAATGTAAAACTACATGTAAATTGGGCTGTCTCCGTAAGGTCACAAACAACACAAGAAGGGTCAGGGTTACGAATACCAGCATTGAAGAGACACCTGGAATACGGTAATGTCTGGATTATGTGGACAGACAAAGAATGAAATGGTTCGCACATTTAGTAAGAATGCAGCCAGACGAGACTTTTTACAGCAGAACATTTGGCAGGAAGGCGATTAGAAGACCAAGAAAGCTATAGATAAACGGTTTAACTTAATCCTGCAAAAAAAGATGAACAAATCTATCCACCATCTTCTCTTGCAAATACAAAAAACTATGACACCGGGCTAAAACACGGTCAGCGAACAAAATCCACAAATCTTTTTACCTGTGGCGCAAGTCACGCATCTGCAGATGACAGTAGTATTACTACTCTCAAAACACGCATAGTCAGTTGGTACTGACAGTTCGGTGGGGATTTCGTTTATCCGATGGAACGGGTTTATAATGTGGCCGACTTCGCTATCAGCCATGCTAAACATTCAGTTCCGTTTCGGTTACTACCAGAAAGGTGTGTCCAACGTCACTGCCAATCTCCACATCTTCTCTTGCAATGTGGCCCCACTGAGCCAGATCCACAATCTTTGCCCGAAGTAGTTAGGACAAACCTGCAGTTCACAGTGAGCTGTGTCTGCTCCACAATCACCAAAGAAAGTTATCCGCTCATATTTATTATAAATTTTTTTTTTAATTCGTGGAAGAGAGAGGGAGAAAGAAAGATCCTAAACAGCATCTTGCTATTTCGTGGGAGTGTGACCACATGAACTGTGATCTATACCATTGGAGTCACAGGTTGTGAAGAGGCATGATCGCCCACGCTAGTCAACGAGACACTTGATGATCACCCCAATGTGATGTCTCCATCTGGTTGCCTTCTATTTTTTTAAAGAACAAAAACATCGGTTCTTACCAAGATATCTCCAAAGTGTGTGATGCCCATCCTGGGAAGTACGCATGCGTCAACAGTCAGGAGTTTCCTTCCGTTAATAAAGTGAGACAGAAAGTTGCTCTAAGGGAAAAAAGTTAGATTATGTGTTTGTTTATAATAGGATTAGACTGCCTTTAAATTCGTTGGTGAATTGTTTATTGTTCATTTTAAAGATCAGCTTCATCGCACAACGGACATGACAATAAATGCTCCGATCTCACCCTGAGTATGTCTCCCAGTGGGTGTGTGTAAACAACTCTAAATTCAACTACATAATATACACAGATGACAGGGCCCTCTTAATCACAAGGTCGTTTCCCAGATCCTGAAAATTACTCAGTATTGATAAATAATTAGATAATTCGGCTTTTCTTAAAGCTAACTGCAGAACAGAGCAACATAATGGCTGACTAACTATATAGCATAGCTACGGAATACATGACTAACTACAGAAAGGAGCAACATAACAGATGACTAACCACAGAAAGGAGCGACATAACAGATGACTAACCACAGAACGGAGCGACATAATAGATGACGACTCGCAGAACGGATCAACATAATACATGACTAACCACAGAATGGAGCAACATAATACATCACTAACCACAGAACGGAGCAAAGGAATACATGACTAACCACAGAATGGAGCAACATAATACATGACTAACCACAGAACGGAGCAAAGGAATACATGACTAACCACAGACGGAGCAACGGAATACATGTCTAACCATAGAACGGAGCAACATAATAGATGACTAACCACAGAACGGGTCAACATAATACATGACTAACCACAGAACGGAGCAACGGAATACATGACTAACCACAGAACGGAGCAACGGAATACATGACTAACCACAGAACGGAGCAACATAATACATGACTAACCACAGAACGGAGCAACATAATACATGAATAACCACAGAACTGAGCAACATAATACATGAATAACCATAGAACGGGTCAACATAATACATGACTAACAACAGAACGGAGCAACATAATACATGAATAACCACAGAACGGGTTAACATAATACATGACTAACCACAGAACGGAGCAACATAATACATGACTAACCACAGAACGGAGCAACATAATACATGAATAACCACAGAACGGAGCAACATAATACATGACTAACCACAGAACGGAGCAACATAATACATGACTAACCACAGAACGGAGCAACATAATACATGACTAACAACAGAACGGAGCAACGGAATACATGACTAACCACAGAACGGAGCAACATAACACATGACTAACAACAGAACGGAGCAACATAATACATGAATAACCACAGAACGGGTTAACATAATACATCCGTCAGTCCTAACCACTATGAACGGAGCAACAGCATATTACTGTACTAGTCCACAGAACGGAGGCAGTCATAATACATGACACACAAACAGAACGGAGCAACATAATACATGAATAACCACAGAACGGAGCAACATAATGTTCGGAATAACCACAGAAATGAAGCAACATAATACATGAATAACTCCAGAACGTAGCAACATAATCTGCATGACTAATTTTTCAACAGAACGGAGCAACGTTGGTATCTATAGGTCACGTACATACCATTTAAGCGCAGCAACAGAATCGATGTAGGTCTAAACACAGAACGGAGCAACATATAGGAGATCTTTGAATAACCATAGAATGGGTCAACCAGCCAATCACACGACTAACAACAGAACGGAGCAACATTTTACATGAATAACCATTCAGAACAAGGTCAACATAATACAAGGATGCTAACAGACAGAACAGAGCAAGGTATACATCTTTTTTAAGCATAGAGAACAGAGCAACGGAATACATGACTAACCACAGAACGGGTCAACATAATACATGACTAACCATCAGAAACGGAGCAAGCATAATACATGACTAACCACAGAACAGGCCAGGGCGTTTTGACATAATACATGACTAACCACAGAACGGAGCAACATAATACATGAAAAACCACAGAACGGAGCAACATAATACATGAATAACCACAGAACGGAGCAACATAATACATGAATAACCACAGAACGGAGCAACATAATACATGACTAACAACAGAACGGAGCAACGGAATACATGACTAACCATAGAACGGAGCAACAGAATCGATGACTAAACACAGAACGGAGCAACATAATACATGACTAACCACAGAACGGAGCAACATAATACATGACTAACCATAGAACGGAGCAACAGAATCGATGACTAAACACAGAACCCGAGCAACATAATTCATCCTGTTACTAACCACAGAACGGAGGCCAGGAATACATGCTGTAAGGCTAGAACGGAGCAACATAATACATGACTATTTCACAGAACGGAGAGCAATCATAATACATCGACTAACCATAGAACGGAGCAACATAATACATGACTAACCATAGAACGGAGCAACATAATACATGACTAACCATAGAACGGAGCAACATAATACATGACTAACCATAGAACGGAGCAACATAATACATGACAAACCACAGAACGGAGCAACGGAATATATGACTAACCACAGAACTGGTCAACAGAATCGATGACTAACCACATAACGGAGCAACTGAATCGATGACTAATTATGAAACAGGGACAACCAAATGGCGTACTGCGGAAAGAACAGCCAAATGGATGATAAAACACAGAACGAAAAAATGGAAATGACGGACTGCAGTTTTATGTTTACTACAAAATTCGAGGTTGAAATATTCGTGGTGTGATAGTTTCTTTTACTGTTGAATGTACTTTCTACTAAAGCAAAGACACTTGTCCTGATTTGGGATATGGATAATGTCTTTCGCACGGAGGACGGTCCCGTTCCAAATTATCTGCTGCATTGCGAACTAGTGACAGGGAAAAGATCTACAGGAATGTCAAGACTACGCTGTTAGGACATTCGCAAAAGCCACCTAAAGACTACCAACATTGACACAGACACTTGGGAGAGATCAGCTGCAGGCCGACTTCTGTGGAAGTGTACAATGACGGACGGACTGTCGCATTTTGAAAGAGACCGAACACAACAAGCTATAGAGAGGAGATCACTGAGAGAAAATCAGCCTCAGTGTCAAAGAGTATCAAGATTTGTATGTGGACTGTTTGACAGGGACTGCCATTTCTGCACTGGACTCTACAATCATAGCAGACGATTTTTCCCAACCAGTGGCACAACTCCGTGGAACGTTGAATTCAGAATCGACATCACAGCACTCGGGACACCCCCATAAGCGCTCCGTCCCCATCTTCAGCCGCAAGCGAAGAATTAAAATTTCGATGGTACCAGTAACTGTCTGATTGTTTATCCGTCCGGCCTTTCCCCTGAGTGTCGAGCGTCGGCCACATCCCCTTGTAACTCCTCGCAGTGACATTCTCCTCAGAAGGCAATGATCTCTCTGTGCCTCGGCACTGTTCATTCGCCCCCAAAGGGTCCCTTACAACATCCAGCTTGTCATACATCAGTTTACCACTAAGTGGAACGTAGTGATTGGCGGTTACCAATTAATATGATTGTTTATGTTTTATAAAATGAAGAATATCTTGTGCAATATATCCTTGTCAATGAAGAGTTAGAAAAAAAATTATTGCTTGCTATATACATCCAGTTTTAACATATGGCTGTGAATCCTGGACAATCGGTAGGCAGGCCAAACAATTTCTTGAGTCCTCAGAGATGAGGTTTTACAGAAGAATGCTTAGAATACTTTGGACAGCCAAAAAAGAGCAATCAAGAGGTTTTGAAAGAGGCGGTGAGCCCGAAGACTTCTTATCACGGACATCAGAAGGAGACAGTCATCATTTTTCCGACCATGTTATGAGAAGAGGGAAAATAGAACATGTTGTGACACTGGAAAGATCTGTGGAAGGAGGGATATAGGAAGCAACGAGAGAAGATTCTTGACAGTCTTGTTGCGTGGCATGGAGGTTATGTCGGCACCCGAACTGATACATGCTGCAAGAGATCGTGGAATATGGAGAGGCATGATCGCCCACGCCAGTCAACAAGGCACCTGATGATGATGATGTTGCAAGGCCAGTTAAATATATGATACTATACTACCATTCAGACACTTTTCTAATCTTTTGTCGCTCATAGACAGACAGACAAATTAACGAACCAGGTATATTTAAAAAAAAAAAAAACTATAAGCACAGTTGTATAGTTCATGTTCAAGTTATATTTTCAAACTGCAATACCTTATATTTGCCATAGCCGATGCTTTCGACCCAGTTCGCCACTTCCTCGACACTCCAGAAGTAACAGGCGGGAATACCGTAGGCGTCATCCCGTCTTAGCACCTCACGACGTATGACATTATCTGTCATTTTAGGGAAATTGTTGGATCGGGGCAATTTTTAGGGGGAAGGGGTTCTTCACAGAGCAGGATTATTTAATCGAAAAGCTGGATGTATTTATAAAGTCAGTAACATACGTTTGTTTGCAGTCCAGTTGCGATGAAATGATTGTTTTTTTTCGTGAAATCAAGATGGCTACTCTACATGGCGTTTGTGTTGTTAGGATGTGACGGATGATAGGCGGATGTGATGTCACGACAGAAGAGCACCAAGATGTATATAAATTAAAGTGACAAGTCATGGATGGCTCAGACAGAAGACACAATCAGACAGGTTTGCATCCTTGAGAACATTAGACGAGGAGAGGAGTAGGTCAAAGTGCCACCTGAAAAGTCAGACTTGTGTAGGGTCATAATCACACTGAGCCGGGAATGCAGAGACTGGCCAGCAGGTGCCACAGAGGTGGAATTCGGCAATTAATTCATGGTAATGCTCGCTCAGAAGATTTGATCATTTACACCTACATACGGTTTAGTGTCAAGAGGCAAAAGAAGTGCTTGGGGTTTCTTAGCAAAAGTTAATGGTCGACGTTTGGTGCAGGAGAGCCTAACATATGATACCACAACATCCAGCTTAAGAATGGAGGTGGGGGCGATCACTGCAGCTTTCTGCTGGCTAAAGAACACCACACACACACACACACACACACACGTCGTGATTGTAACTGACTAAGAAAGCATGCTGAGGAGGATCAGGACAGGCATGCTTCATGCAGAGTGGCACGCCTCGCTTTGGAGGACACGGATGAGGGGTATTGTCTGGATTTTTTCACCAGGGAATGCCGGTGTGTTGGGAAATAAACAGGCGGGCAGACTGGCTGGCTGTGCACAGCTTGGTGGAATACTGATGCATGATAAGGCAGACGTGGTTAGTGCCTTGTGGGAGAGCTTGTACAGTTCGGAGGAGCAGATTGATCACCCCAGTGTGGTGAGATTTATGCAGTTGGGAATGACGAGATTTTCTGGCAGATGCTCGAGGCTCAGAGGAAAGGCAAGACGGACGTTTATTCAGACTGCTACTGGCATCATTAGTATCGGAACTCTTCGCTGGCTGCTGAAGATGGGGACGCTGAGCTTATGGGAATGCCCCGAGTTCTGTGATGTCGGTTCTGAATTAAATTAAATCAAATCAAAGTGACAAGTTTTCACTGAATGGTTTCGGGGTCAATCATTGGGAGTAACATGAGCTCTTTTCAAAATAATCTGGGACATAAGATCTGATTCTGTGACTCCTCCCGTAAATATGCTAGGAAAATAACACTAATGATGATGGACAAGCTCCATCTCCGCTCACTTCTGTGTACACCTTTTTTTTTCTCCCCAGGCGACGCGGTATCGGTACACTTTTTTTTTCGGAAAATAATTATGGACAAGTTCCATCTCCGCTCACTCCTGCGTACACGGAGGAATTGTCACTACATAAAAAATATGTAGTGGAAACTCCATGGAATTTTGAATGTTCAATTGAGAATCAACATCATAGCACTTGGGACACTCCCATAAGCGCTCCGTCCCCATCTTCAGCAGCAAGGGAAGAGTTCCAATTCCTATGGCACCAGTAACTGTCTGATTGTATATCTGTCTCGCCCTTCCTCTGAGTGTTGAGCGTCTGCCAGATCCCCTGGTAACTCCACGCAGCGCCATTCTCCTCAGACCGTAATGGTCTATCTGTGCCTCCGCACTGTTCTCTCGCTTCCAAAGGGCCCTCAAAAATCTAGCTTGACATACATCAGTTTAAACCAAGTGGTGCAGAACCGGCCAGTCTATCAATCTGCTCATTTCTCAACACACAGGCATAAACTGGAGAAAATATCCAAGGGACGCTAACTACCCGGAACCTCTGAACTGATGCTTGCCACTCTGCACGGAGCATGCCTGTCTCCACCTTCCTCAACATGCTCTGTGAGTCAGTTACAATCACGTCATGTGTGTACAACTGATTCTCAAGCCAGCGGAAGGCAGCAGAGGCTGCTTCCGCCTATATTCTCAAACTAGATTGTGATATCATATACAAGACTTTGCTGCACTAGGTGAATTCCATTCGCTTTTGCTATGAGACCCCATGTACTTCATCTGCCCCTTAACACAAAGCCATCTGTTTAGATAATCACGTCACTTGTGCATGAATTGTCATGAATCATTTGTTGAACTTCTGATTCTGCAGCTCCAGCTGGCTAGTCCCTGCACTAACGACCTAACGTGATTAGAGCCCTACACAAGTCTGAAACGTGTTCGGACACCATGACCCACTCCTATCCTCGCTCAAATTTATCAAGCATGCACACATATCCAATTGTGTCTTCTGCTTGCGCCATCCAAGACCTTTCTCTTATCAGTCTGTGACCCTTAGCTCTATCCAGAGCTTCATGCAGGATGTGCTTTTTGTCTGCAGCTACTCTGAGATATGACTTTGCCTGCAGAACTTTGAGCCTATCTGCAATAGTAGGCAGTGAAAGTATATTTCGCATACATACTACCGGGGAATCTCTTGTACATCCCAGAATTACCCGCATGGCTTCATTCTGTATGCGTTCAAGTTTCATCAGCTGATGTTACCTAGTTTTGAGGGTCCATGTACGCAGACAAAGGGCTAACATACGTAAATGCAGGACAGCTGCTATCTAGTTCGCACACCAGGGACAAACCGCCTTCTCCGCGAGTGAAGATATCAAAATATCAGATCTAACTCTATTGTAGGCATCCTCGAGATCAAATGTTGCCACAACCGTCTCCTGTCTGTTCTGGAACCACTCATAAACATCAAAAGCAAAAGTAGCTGCATTTTACAATGTATCTTTTCGTGGCCGATAACTACCCAAACCCTTTAACAGGAGCTCTTTCCTTTCCAAAAACATCTGAAGTTTAACAGCAGTAATCTTCTCTAGCAACTTGCCAAAAGTATTTTGTAGGGTGGCAATCATGAAACCGCTGAGTCAGGAATGATCTTTGCCTGGTTTTGGAAGTGGAATTAGGCAGCTGTGAACCCAATCCTGGGGTACTGAAGTTGTTCTGATGTTCTGGTTGAAGTGAAATGCCATATCCTTCAAGTCTTTATCACTCATGCTCTTTATGTGGGCATACCTAACTCCGTCTGATCCCAGCGCACTGTCTTTTGTTTTTTGCAATACATATTTTATACCCTCCACTTTAATGATATCCTGAAAATACTTATCATTTATAGTATTAGACAGAGTATCTCTAACTGAATTTCTAAACTCCCTATCATTTTGATGTTTGGGCTAAAAATCTTTTCAAAAATGATTCTCCTTTCTCTTTGTCATTGGTATATCATTATCAGTGTATATAATGCCTGTTATGATAGGCCGTTCCTCTCTTCGCATCTGTCTGTGCAGTTTCCAAAACTTACCCAGTGATTTCTCCCCTCCAATTTCGTTTATAAAATGTTTCCATTTAGCAGTTGTTTGCAGCTGCTGCACACCGCTTGAACTCTTATGCTGTTTCTTTTCTAACTCTTTCTAGCTTCTCTACATCCTCTTGTAACCTGTAACGTCCTTTTGCAATTTCTCTGTTTAACTGCTGCTCGGTTTGATCTCCATGCTTGTTCTAATTCTTGGGTCCACCATGGAGGCTGCAACAACAACAACAACAAAAAGCCGAGGCTGTAGTTCTGCTGCATACCTTCTGTCGAAGAAGACCAAGAAGGGTACTGGCCCTCTCATTCTTAAAAGTCTTGCGCGTTTCACAGTCGTGATCTTGCTAGCTTTAGAAATCAAGTCTGAGCATGGCATATGGTCACTCCCATGATCGCCTAGGACACTGCATTTTGTGTCCAGCACTGCCCAATTACCTTGTCTGCATCACCAAATCTCGTTGTTATTCTAGTTGGCCTACCATTGTTTATACAGACTGCGTCTGCATCATCTCATAGTTTGTGTAGACAAGGGGAGTCAACTTACCCTTCCAACTTTTACAATAGTGAAAGCAAATAAACATTGCGTAATGTTTATTGTTATTTTTAAAAAATGAATAATGCTTCTGTGACTTTTTTGTGTGTGAAACTTGAAAACATAAATTGTGTTGAGATAATTCACAATATTACTTTAAAAAGTTATGTAAATTGTTTTTGTCCAAACGGACACAACACACAAGGGGTACACCTGTTTACACACCTGGGAGAAAATAAAAACAAACAATATAAAGTACATTAAATATTGAAATATTGTGAAGGCGTGTACTTATATGAGATTATTGATAATGTTAGGATGAAAGATTGTGTTTATTGAATAAAAACAAGAAAAATAAACTGGAAAAACGAAAGTAGCCATCAGGTCAGCTGGAACTTCCCAGGATTCGTGCTTGGAAGTGACGTCACATAGCAAAATATTTAGGTCTGGTCAAGGATTGTGTCTTTCTGTTGGAGTTCTCTTCACAATTTCCAGTCGATTCATGGCCAGTGGGCGTTTTATTGGGCCGAATTATAAACCTTAGCAGTTCTAAGCAATACTGGCATCGTCGTCCGATTCAGAAGACGGTGGTGTCTTGCCCCCACCACCCAAAAAACTGCGATTATCAACTACGAACATGCAGCAGGCAAATGGCTGTTCACAACTGAACGGGTCTATCGAGCCCGATGGATACGACGAATCGCACACTTTGAGAAATCAAGAGTCGTTATCTAACGGGGAGATCAATGGAAACGGCACAGTGGGTGATCAGAGTAATGCAGTGTTGTCGAAAACAGACCAAGACATCGTCAGATTGATTGGACAGCATCTCCGAGGTCTAGGATTTAAGTACGTGTTTTGATATTTTTTTTTTTCCTGTGTTGTTTTCTGGGGGTTCGATAAGTTTAAAGCACTTCAAGTTTTGTGTTTGTGATAATTGTGCATACTTTAGTCTTGCAGTTGTAAATATATAGTAGCAGTCGTGTGCAGTCTTCAGTATCTGCATTGCAAAGTAAAGTTTTATCTTGAGACGAGCACAGAGAGAGTTGTTGCTAAACACTGTTTACCTGTGAATACAGGTGCAGAATCGGAACCTTCAGAAAGTTTACCAGCAGATATCAGATACAAAATGTATGTTTGTATAGACAATTCTAGGACAGTTAGTTCCCTGTGGGTTATTCTCTGAATAATTGTTTTCAGTCAGTGGTGGCTTTGTGAGAAGGAGAAAGGGTTGAAGTTTCTTGTTTGTTTTGTTTTGAAGAGGTGAAAAAGGTCAGGTGTGGGACATTTTGGGACCAGTGTAACATATAATTGATGTTGAGTACAGGGACAGGAAGGAATGTAACTGGGTAGCCCACATCATACTTGAGCTGCATTAGTGTTTACATGCTGACCCAGTGGTCATTGGTTGGAATCCCTATAACATGATGCCAAACTGTGCAACATCTCTCTTTGTCTCCCACTGGCTCCCCCCCCCCCCCCTTTCCCAGCTTTCTTCCTATTGTCATGAGATAGTCTGTTCTTTCCCTGTCTCATGATGTTCCCAGAAAAGATGGACTGCCTTCTTCTGATGAAAGTAACCTGTTCTCTGAGACATCTTCTTTTTTACTTTTTATCTGTTCATGATGTTCTCACAATCCTTTATAAAATTACAACAGACATTCGATTTAATTTCTCATTAATCTGCTGACTCTTCATGGTTGACTTTCATACATTAGGAATTATAGCTCCAAAGAGCTAAACTTCTCAGCTCAGTTGACAAAGATGTAAGCAACACCAGCTTCATTAGTTGAGCTTCCAGCATGAATGCAGAATGGATCACCCCATTGCTGCTGTGTTCCTGTGCTACAGGAAATCACACAAATGTATCTCTCACTGTCCCATTTCAAACTATTGAAAAGTTTGTCAGTCTCAGCAAATTCTTGATACTTGCACATGAAAAGTAAACATGTATAAGGCAGCTGTCAGATGTACCAGGACTAATGATCCAACACCAGAAATACAGCTAACCTTAAAAGATGGTTAATCACAAAAGTGGGCATTTGCACCTGCGCAAATATATGCCACTCTTAACGTAATTGACTACCCTGCATTTTGGTGCAGTCAATAACATGTCACAAGCATGACAGAAAAAAAGCAACATTTCACATGAAATATACAGCTCATAGTGTCGCACCAAGCACTCAGTTCAGTAGCTTGATGACAAAAGATTTACCTAAACTTAATTAAAGCTTAATTAAAACAACAGACATCAGTGAGGATGCGAGATCCATGATAACTGATGACTTCTTCAGGACTGGCAGCTGAAGCCCAGAAGTATTTGATGATGAGTTTAAAGTCAGTTTTAGACAACATAGGTTTAAGGTTTAGGGTTCACTGTTAACTGTAGTTATCCAGTTAGATTTAGCATTCACTGTTTGAAAGCCCACTACTTACATCATTTCGCCCTACAAATGATAAAATCAAAGTAGGTCATGAACCTGTGGAAATTTTAAAAAATCAAATACACAGAACCCATACAGGGAGGGGCCTCAGTATAACTGCTAAAGGCTTGAACAAGGCTTCTGGGATTTGACATGTAGGATTTTCATCCTTGGGAAGTTAATCCTGCAGACCAAAGTCATACACTTCCCAGTTCAGTTCTGTTGTATCAGAGACTTGATTGACTATCGTTTACACAGGTAACTAATAAATTGTGTAAAATTTTTATAATTTACATGTTAATAATTCTTGTTTTGAAATATATGTATAAAAGGATATATAAATGGACTTTTCAGTAAACAATAAACAGAGCGAAGCAATAAAGGGAATACATTCCCTGGTGCCAACAAATATGTATCAGGTGACTCACATGTGACCCTGTGACCTCTATCATTGAGGGCTACTGGAAAATTTTAAATCACAGGGGCTTTAAACAAAAACGTAGGATTCACTAGGAAACCCCTCAGAATAGTATTTTAGTTGATATATTCACAACCAGGCCTCGTAAACACCATGCAGGTGCACACAGAACTATTGACATTTAACTAGGCTTTTCCAAAACAGGTCATTGCAGAAATGGTGGTATATTGGCATTTACGGGGCTGTGTCACAATGATGAGGGACTAGATTTTGCCTTCTCGGGGGATGGGGTTGAGGATCTTGGCACACCAGTTGTGCACGTATGTCAGGATTTTAACACTCTCACAAAGCATGTTAAGAAAGGTGGAGACAGGTTTACTCTGTCCAGAGGGGCAAGCATTATTTAAGAGGTCTCTGATAGCTGGCATCCTTTGGATATTTTCTCTATAGTGTGCACGTGGGATAGGAAATAATCAGGCAGACAGATTGGCTGGTTCTACACCACTCAGTGATACATTGATATATGATGAGCTAGATATTATCCTGATCTTTTGGGAGCTAGTGAACAGTGCACATTTTTATCTTGGTTTGAAAAGAATGATGCAGCAAGGAGTGACCAGGGATCTAGCCGACAGTCAACACAGGGATTGGCCGACAGTCAACACAGGGATCTGCCCGACAGTCAACACAGGGATCTGGCTGACGGTCAACACAGGGATATAGCCGACAGTCAACACAGGGATCTAGCCGACAGTCAACACACGGATCTAACCAACAGTCAACACAGGGATCTGGCTGAGTGTCAACACAGGGATTTAACCGACAGTCAACACAGGGATTTAACCGACAGACAACACAGGGATCTGGCTGACAGTCAACACAGGGATCTGGACGACAGTCAACACAGGGATCTGGCCATCAGTCAACACAGGGATCTGGCCAACAGTCAACACAGGGATCTGGCCGACAGTCAACACAGGGATGCTTAAAAAAAAAAGTTCTGAGATTTCTGTTAGTTGAATCTTGATTACTGACTCGTTTAGAAACTGATCTTATCATTACGCAACAGCAGCTACCACAGGGGGATACATCACATCAACTAGGTCATGTCACACATCAACTAGGTCATGTCACGGCTAGGTTGGGTAATCTGTCTGTCTGTCTCTCACACACACTCACACGCACGCACACACAGAATGTGCTTCATTCCAGAGTCATTGAGACCAAGGAGTCAGAAATGATGAATCGCCTGTTTGGGAGGGGTATCCCCATTTGGGTTCTGGGGCCCCATTGTTGGAAAACAAAGAATATACCCACTGCATCTCTAGCTAGCATGTTGAAAGAATCAACTCAGGGTGGAAGTGCATCTGCCTTTCACATTTTATTCTCACATACATCATACCATTTAGGGTAGATCTGTTCACACTTTATTCAGTCATGGATCATATCATTCAAGGCAGATCTTAACACACTTTATTCAGACATGGATCATATCATCAAGGCAGATCTTATCACACTTTATTCAGACATGAATCATATCATTCAAGGCACATCTTATCACACTTTATTCAGACATGAATCATGTCATTCAAGGCACATCTTATCACACTTTATTCAGACATGAATCATATAATTCAAGGCACATCTTATCACACTTTATTCAGACATGAATCATGTCATTCAGACATGGATCATATCATTCAAGGCAGATATTTTCATCCTTTATTCAGACATGAATCATATCATTCAAGGCAGATATTTTCATCCTTTATTCAGACATGAATCATATCATTCAAGGCAGATATTTTCATCCTTTATTCAGACATGGATCATATCATTCAAGGCAGATATTTTCATCCTTTATTCAGACATGGATCATATCATTCAAGGCAGATATTTTCATCCTTTATTCAGACATGGATCATATCATTCAAGGCAGATATTTTCATCCTTTATTCAGACATGGATCATATCATTCAAGGCAGATATTTTCATCCTTTATTCAGACATGGATCATATCATTCAAGGCAGATATTTTCATCCTTTATTCAGACATGAATCATATCATTCAAGGCAGATATTTTCATCCTTTATTCAGACATGGATCATATCATTCAAGGCAGATATTTTCATCCTTTATTCAGACATGGATCATATCATTCAAGGCAGATATTTTCATCCTTTATTCAGACATGGATCATCCCATGTGATTAAATCTTTAAATTGTCAAAAATCTCTCTAAACAGCATCATGTCCCATAAGCTGAGGTATTTTGGTCATGTTAGACATCGTGGTTGCCTAGAAGCAACGATGATTAAGGGTACAGTTTCCAGAAAATGAGGCAGAGGCAGACCTCGTCGGACATGAAATACAAGACATTGAAGATGCATTGGCTATGAAAGTACACAGGGCTGGAGATTTTAGCCAGAGAGAAAGACTTTCAGGTGTGCCGTGGCGAGAGTGACATTTTATAGAGGACCTGCTAATTGTTGATGGCATCTAAATTGTCAAATTGGCATGTTTGACTTCAAGAAATGGACGAAAAATTTGTGGCAAAATAATACATATGACAGGCCACATTAAAATTGAGGAGTCAGATATGATGGCTTGGACATTTTCGTTAGAAGGTTTTTGATGGTTTGAACAACGGGACAACATCATGGCGCAGAAATTATGTAAGAACAGCAGACCAAAGGTCTGAAGAATTTAAGAACACTAGCGGTGTTCCATAAAGTGATATTCTCTCACCTTACCTTGTCATTCTCTTGATGGATGAAGTCATCAAGACCTGTAAGGAGAAGACAAAGCAGTACTCTGTAGGGTACTGGAAGATGAGACCTGTCAGTATATCAGAGCTGGCATTTGCAGACGATGTGGCCCTGATAGCTAAAACAGAGGCACATCTTCAGTCCAACTTACTTGTCTGGAAGGAAGAGTTTGAGAAGAGAGGGATAACCATCAGTATCTCCAAAACTAAAACTATGGTGACCTCAAAAGTGAAGAAACACCAGGTCATGTTGGGACTGTATGCTTTGGAGCAGATTAACCAGTTCAAATACCTTGGAGTTGTAATAGACCAAAATGGAGGCATTAAGACAGAGCTGACTACTTGAAAAGCAGCAGCTGGGAGACTTTTATAGCAAAAGAGAAATCTGCTTCAATATAAAAATGGTTGTTTACCGCTCTACCTATGTACCAGTCCTGACCTATGGGTGTGATTCATGGACAATGACAACAGCCCACAGAAGCCAGCTTCAGACCTCATAAATGAGATATTGAGCAAGGAAGTTCAAGTGACAAGAAGGGACAAAGTTCGCAACCAGACATTACGTCAGGATCTTGAAACCCAGGTCTTACAAACTTGAGTTTATCAATCACAGTTAAGTGGTTTGGACATGTATGCAGAATGGAAGAAAATCGGCCACCATGGCAGGCATGGAAGGCTAAGAACCAAGGAACCAGACCACCAGGGTCCGGTGGGAAGACAACATCCTACAGTCCCTGATGGACAGAGGACTGGAAGGGAACAAAGCCAGAAAGAAAACGGCTGATAGAGACGTCTGGCGATCTCTCTGGCAAACCTCTACACCCCAAGGTAGAAGAGGAGCGACTAAGTAAGCAAGTAAGTATCAACATCGTGACACAAGGGTAGTAACCCATAAGTGCTCTGTTCTACCTCTAACTCAAGTCTGAGCTTGAAGAATCTCAGCGCAGTGCACGGACTCCATAGCACCGGCTAGGGTACTAAACTGCTTCGGGTAGATTTATTTACTCTAAATATTGCCCGGGTAGTGCCCTAAGGCTACTCTTTTCGATTCCCAAATGCCAAGGGATTTTTTTTAACGTGCGCAACAACACACACGGGTGTCCAATCTCACTACCCACAGACCAGGGGAAATTACTAGAAGTCCACGTGAAAAAATCCTAGTCTTTGCCGGGGCCAGAACCTGAGACCTCCAGCACTCGAGGTGAATGCCATGCCTTGAGACCACTCAACCTCATCTTTCTTTAGAAGGAAAAGCTCATAGCTTCCTTTGTTCTTACAATCGAGAGATCATACACCACACTTTTTCAGGTAAAGGTGCTACCTTGTCTCCCATGTGGCAAGGCACATGATGATAAGGGTTGCACACAGACTTGCTAGTGCATGTTTTAGATTCCCTTACTTTCTGTTATCTTGATGAATTGTTTCTGCCGCAGTCAAACAGCAGAGCAGCTGATTGCTGAGTCCGGGTGTGCTCTGGAACACCCTACAGCAGCCAGGTTCCGAGCCCATATCATGGACGGTGAATGGGAGAAGGTAAGAGTTTGTTCCTTGACCAAGTTTGTTTTGAGCATTTGTCCTTGTACACTAGGAGCATTTGTCCTTGTACACTAGGAGCATTTGTCCTTGTACACTAAGAGCATTTGTCCTTGTACACTAGGAGCATTTGTCCTTGTTCACTAGGAGCATTTGTCCTTGTACACTAGGAACATTTGTCCTTGTACACTAGGAGCATTTGTCCTTGTACACTAAGAGCATTTGTCCTTGTACACTAGGAACATTTGTCCTTGTACACTAGGAACATTTGTCCTTGTACACTAGGAGCATTTGTCCTTGTACACTAAGAGCATTTGTCCTTGTACACTAGGAACATTTGTCCTTGTACACTAGGAACATTTGTCCTTGTACACTAAGAGCATTTGTCCTTGTACACTAGGAGCATTTGTCCTTGTACACTAGGAACATTTGTCCTTGTACACTAGGAGCATTTGTCCTTGTACACTAAGAGCATTTGTCCTTGTACACTAGGAGCATTTGTCCTTGTACACTAAGAGCATTTGTCCTTGTACACTAGGAACATTTGTCCTTGTACACTAGGAACATTTGTCCTTGTACACTAGGAGCATTTGTCCTTGTACACTAAGAGCATTTGTCCTTGTACACTAGGAACATTTGTCCTTGTACACTAGGAACATTTGTCCTTGTACACTAAGAGCATTTGTCCTTGTACACTAGGAGCATTTGTCCTTGTACACTAGGAACATTTGTCCTTGTACACTAGGAGCATTTGTCCTTGTACACTAAGAGCATTTGTCCTTGTACACTAGGAGCATTTGTCCTTGTACACTAGGAACATTTGTCCTTGTACACTAGGAACATTTGTCCTTGTACACTAGGAACATTTGTCCTTGTACACTAGGAACATTTGTCCTTGTACACTAGGAGCATTTGTCCTTGTACACTAAGAGCATTTGTCCTTGTACACTAGGAACATTTGTCCTTGTACACTAGGAGCATTTGTCCTTGTACACTAGGAGCATTTGTCCTTGTACACTAGGAACATTTGTCCTTGTACACTAGGAGCATTGATATCAGAAATAAACAGGGATTTTTCTTAGGCTTTTGATGATATGTGATAATACGCAGTGGCACCTTTTTCAAGCATATGTGATAGTACGCAGTGGCACCTTTTTCAAGCGTATGTGATAGTACGCAGTGTGGCGCCTTTTTCAAGCATATGTGATAGTACGCAGTGTGGCACCTTTTTCAAGCATATGTGATAGTATGCAGTGTGGCACCTTTTTCAAGCATATGTGATAGTACGCAGTGTGGCACCTTTTTAAGGAATTCTTTTTTTTTCATCACTTCTGTAATAGATTTTATGTTGTGAGCACCCTCTTTTTCCAATTTTTTTTTCTCCTACCAAAGCCCTGGAGATGACTAGACTATAGGCTATCAGGTCTTCTCGTGTGGGTTCCGAGGCCTCATTATAGGGAACAGAAGAATAGACCCACTGCCTCCCCAGCAAGCATGTTGTAGGAGTCGACTTATTGGGAACTTCCTTGAAAGTCAGAGTGTATCTACCCGAGTGGCACCGAGCAACCGGCTGCACACAAATATAAGCCAGTAAAATGGATGTTCATGCAAAACTCAGGCCCTGGCACAAAGTCAGAGTCCAAATGGACGAACAGCCAGGACTGATGAACAGCCAGGACTGATGAACAGCCAGGACTGACGAACAGCCAGGACTGGTGAACAGCCAGGACTGGCAAACAGCCAGGACTGATGAACAGTCAGGACTGGTGAACAGCCAGGACTGATGAACAGCCAGGACTGACGAACAGCCAGGACTGACGAACAGCCAGGACTGGTGAACAGCCAGGACTGGCAAACAGCCAGGACTGGTGAACAGTCAGGACTGGTGAACAGCCAGGACTAATGAACAGCCAGGACTGATGAACAGCCAGGACTGATGAACAGTCAGGACTGGTGAACAGCCAGGACTGACGAACAGCCAGGACTGACAAACATCCAGGACTGACAAACAGCCAGGACTTTCTGCTGGAGCTTACAGCCAGTGAACACAGAAGAAGAAGAATATCAAGGTTAGACTCATCATTTATGCAAGAAAGTGAGACATTTGTTCCCTCTTGGTGGGGGGCGGGGGGAATAGACTCGCTTCTGTATGTTTGTCTGCGTGAGTGTGAGGGTCTCTGTGGGTGTATGTGTCATTGTGTGAGTCTGCGTGTGTGTCTGTGGAAGTGTCTGTGTGTGCATGTGTGTGTCTTTATGCATGCCTGTGTGTATCCCTGTATGTAGGCGTGTATGCATGCATGTATGTGTGTGTGAGTTGGTGAGTAATTGGGTGTGTGTATGCACGTGCAGGTCTTTGCATGCATTTTACAACCCATGCTTTTGTGTTCTTTTATGAAATTCATAATATGCATATCAACATATGATCATAACATGCTTTATTAGTAAGATACAACAGCTGTGTGAAAGATGGTTTACTGGAAGGGCTGAATGTAAGGCAGGCCTGAGTGCCAAATTTGTGACCCTTTGAAAATAAAGTTTGTTCGTTCGTTTGTAACAAATGTGTTGTGAACAGCAACTAGTTGAGGCTTTGCTGAAATCGGACGCACATGTTGGGTTGAAAGGCACAGATATGACACCCTAGCTGTAAACCACAAAACAACATGCCAACCACCCTGTTCTGGGTGGATGCAACAGAAGGAAACATTTGAACTACGAAACTTTTAATCTAGCTTCCAGGATTTTTCTTGAAGTACCAGATGGTCTTGGGAAATGCCATTATGGTCTCATAACTCAGTAAAGGGAAAATCACAACTGCACCTCCGCGCGGTAGAAGATGGGCAACATACTATGGTGTGGCAAATGCGGCTCTGGGAAATTAGTACCCACCAGAATAAGTCGACAACTCTGTTGCTGAGCTAAGCAGGAAATTCCCATGAAAGGTAGAGGTAAAATACCACCATGTGGATGTGGAAGGCAACGGGAAACCACCACATTATCTCCGCAAGTGTTCGTCCAGCGTCGCAAATCTGCATGAAGGAATATCATCAGTGCAGTTGATCCAGGACACTAAAGACTGAGAACTGTGGAGATGCATGAACGCCTCTGCCAACTGGCAAGGCACTTGATGATGATGATCTTTATGTGTATAGTAAGAGAAAGTGTGTCTGATTTCAGTCCAGGGCATGAAGAATGTAAAGGGATTGTGTTGTATTGTATATAAGGAGATAATGCGTACCTCATCTCAGGTCCCAACAGTTACCAGAGAATCATATTGTCTTATTCTCAGCTGTTGAAAATGGTTTCATGAGTGGTAAAGGTAAAGTCGAGAGATGTGAACCAGCATCATTGCACACGGTTATAAACCATAAGTGCTCTGCCACCAGTACGGACATCTGATAAAAAAAACGTCCGCCTGTGTTGCCGTTCGCATGTAACTCTGTAGCTACAGCAATGTTCCTCCATTTACCCCAGAGTGCCACTCTGGTACCAATTTCCTAGAGGCTGGGTGAACCCCGGGAATTGTCCAGTTTCGAACACAGACCGTGGCTGCAACGAGTCCCAGCTGAATTTGTAAGCGAGCCTCCTATCAACTGCGTTAGTGGCTGTACTGTCATCGACATGCAGGAGTATTTTCTGCTAGAGTTTACAGCCAGTGAACGCGCAGAACATAGTTTTCAAATCAGTTATCAGTTTTAATAATAATATTTGTTTCTTTTTATCTGCGTGTAAGTAACTTTTTATTTATTTATTTTTTCAACTTTTTTTTTTTAAATTCATGAGAATGAATATTCTGTCCGGGTGAAGTAAATATGTCCACCAACCAAACAACCATTGCCTTGAATGTCTTTCTTTCACAGACTGAGGACGATCTACACGACCTCGAAGGTTTGCTTAAAGGAGGCAAAGAAGATGTAATCGTAAGAATTTTTTTTTGTAATTCTTTGTGTGTGTGTGTGTGTGTTTTATCGACAGATCTGATTGCTTCTGGTTAATGATAATGCTAAACTTGTGAATGTGAAGTTGTTTACCGGTAAACTGTTTGACTGATCTAAGACTGTGACTATTACTATGGTGTTGTTCTTTAGCGATCCTTGTTTATTTTAGATTGTTTAATAAATGCATTTATTCCCCCATTCAGTCACAAACAGAGCAGTGTTCCTGATGTCTTTACTACTCTACCCTTGCTGTCAGCATTCTGAATTTCTTTTCTCTCATTGAAATTTAAAGCATGAGCTGGCTAACGGTCTTACACAATTTGTGGGAAACGGTAGTTATTTTTTAAATTTATTTTAATTTCTCATAAACTATTGAGAATCTGTAGTTTTTGAACAGCTTTTGCCTGTGGATGTGCCTCTGTTTTGCCTTTTGGATATGAACGTTACATTTCACATGTCTTACATGATTCAGATCAGGTCCCTTCAGGGGCATTTTTAAATAGGAGAATAGAGACATTTGAAGCAACAATATTGGAAGACTGGAGCAGGACGGACTAGAGAAATGTTGTCTGGCCTTGGATCGTAGACATCATAAACATGGCAGATCCATCATATAACTGTTGAGTCAATCTTTTGAAGAGCGACTGGCCAAACAGTTAAGAATACTAGGCTCTGAGGTCATGGATAATTTGTTTCTTTCAGGAAGAAAGGAACGGTAAAATGGGGGGGGGGGGGGGGGGTTCTTCGCCTCTCTTGCAGATTTATTGGTTTATTTGAATGCAGACTGTTTGTTCTTTGCCTCTCTTGCAGATGCACTTTGACTTTGAAGGAACCATCCCTAATTAGTTGACGTATGTGTGCTTCTTGGGACGGCAGGGGATTTGTTCTGGTTCCCCTGAGAACAGGACTCCACCCACACAGGGAGGCGTTTACTTGAGAGCTCCAACACCCACACAGGGAGGCGTTTACTTGAGAGCTCCTAGTTTCCGAGCATGGAGGCTGGTTGAGCAGGTGATGCTACCCGATATTGTAGACTAGCAGACGCTCTGTGGGATATGTGAAGGCTGCTTTTAATTTGGCTGGATTGGATTTGAACCACTATATCTCCCTGTGTGGATTCTGGGAAAAAGAACAGACCTACTGCCCCCTGACAAGCATGTCCTAGGAGATGGCTAATTAGGAATGTTTCCTTCAAAGTCAGATTAAGAGGTGAGGAACCAATAGTCTGCATATAAGTAAGCCAGTTATATATAACGGATGTGCCTGCAAAATTGAAATTAGGAAACAAGACCAAAGTATAGAAGTGGGCGAACTACCCGACTTTTCTGCCAGAGTTTCAGCCAGTGAGTGAGAAGAAGAACCACTAGGTCAGCGTGATACTAGCCACTCCACAAACTCAGCTGCAGTGATTTATAATTATACCAAGGTCATTCTACCTTTGCCTGCTTTTCTCCAATTTTGTTCAAACATTGCTTAATTTTCAGAAAATGAAATTCCTGTTATTAGAGCAGAAGTACCTCGAGCTGCTCGAAGATGGGCTTCCATTGAAAGCTTTAGACTGTCTGCGACATGAACTCACACCACTCAAGTACAACACGGAGAGAGTGCATGTTCTCAGCACGTATGTTTGCTCTCTTGTCCTGGATTTGTTGTCTGCCTCTCTGTGTGCATCTCTTCTCCTTTTTCAGTTTACTTCTCTCTCTTTCTCTGTCTGTCTCTCTGTCTGACTGTCTCTCTCTCTCTCTTTCCCTCCCCCTTGTCTCAGTATACTTCTCTCTCTGTATGTCTATCTCTTCTCCTCTTGTCTTAGTATACTTCTCTTTGTCTGCTTCTCTCTGTGTCTTTTCTCTTCTTGTCTCAATATACTTCTTTGTCTGTAAACCTCTCTCTGTGTCTATCTGTATCTTCTCCTCTTGTCTCAGCATACTTCTCTGTCTGTCTTTTTGTCTTTCTTTCTCTGTCTTTTCTCCTCTTGTCCCAGTATGCTTCTCTGTCTATCTGTCTTTTTGTCTATATCTGTTCTCCTCCTGTCTCACTATACTTCCCTGTATGTGCGCACGTTAGCAACGCCTAAGCTACAGACATGTAAATATGACAAATCCATTTTATCTTTTATTTTAAGGATCTATGTGTCGACATTAACTTACCATCCTCAAACACCCTTCTTACCAGTTGATTGGGAATTTGTCCACTCTGATCTTGTTTATAAATTTTTACAATTTATTTCTAGAGCTGACCAAGGAATTAAAGAATGTTCTCCCACAATTTATGGAACACTATTTGTATATCTTTCCTAACAGATCATTACAGACTATATAATAATTTCTTTTCCTACCTGTTTTATACTTTCATTGTTTTAGACCTCTCTGATGTTTACCTATCTCCTTGACGTCTTGCTCACCAATGTGTTGCTAGGTTAGGGGTTGAACCTATCTCCTTGACGTCTTGCTCACCAATGTGTTGCTAGGTTAGGGGTTGAACCTATCTCCTTGACGTCTTGCTCACCAATGTGTTGCTAGGTTAGGGTTTGAACCTATCTCCTTGACGTCTTGCTCACCAATGTGCTGCTTGCTAGGTTAGAAGTTGAGAAGGATGACATTCTATTTTGTAACCTTACCACGAATTAGTTGATTAATAAAACTCAAAATGTATTCAACTAATCAAATGTTGCTAAGTAAAATGAATAATCTAGAAGTCATTTGTATTTATAATGCGGTTTAGAGGGTAGATAAGATTGGAAAAATGCGACCACTTTACAACAACTTCTCGCTCTCCCTCTTGATCTGTCTGTCTCTGTTTTGCTAGCTCTGCCTTTCTGTGTATGTCTGTCTGTTTCTTTGTCTCTTTATGTCTCTGTCTCTCTATAATTGGAGCACAGGCAATGACTACGCAAGCCTGGTGCAGCAAGGGGTCCTGTGCAGGTAAGGAATCTGAGTACACGACATCGTGACGTCTGCTGAGCAAGATGGAGTATTTATGTACTTGCCAGGAATGCTATGATGTTGATTCTGTATTAACCATTATATTGTAATGATTGGTTTAATGTGCATTTTCTATCTTTATACTTTGCTGGCTTGTTAGTGAATTGTGTACATATATTTCTCCAGGTACATGATGTGTAGCAGTGCAGCAGAACTGCGGGAGAGTTCTCACTGGGAAGGTAAAGGGCCCATCACTCGTCAAAAACTCATCGAGAGTCTTCAAGGTAATTGAATTTAATTAAATTCATAACACGATGGGCCAACTGTCTCTGACTTTGTTCTTTTTTTTTTCTTTTTTTTTAAAAATATTTATCAAGTAGTGTCCATGTTTGATGAAATAATTAGCATTTTGGTTATTTTGTTTCCCAGAATTCCTTCCGCCTTCCATTATGCTGCCACCAAGAAGGTTGTTCACCTTGCTGAGCCAGGCCGTGGAGCAACAAAAAGAAAAATGTCCATACCACAACACTCAGTTGGATTCAGATCTGTCGTCGATTTCCTTACTGATGGATCACATATGTACCAAGTTAGTGTCATTGATACCTGGTATACGCTGTTGTTGATATCAAGTGTCATTTGTACCGGGTTTGTGTTGTTTTTTATATCAAGTGTCATTTGTACCAGGTCTGTGTTGTTATCGATTTCAAGTGTCATTTGTACCGGGTTTGTGTTGTTGTTGATATCAAGTGTCACTTGTACCAGGTCTGTGTTGTTATCGATTTCAAGTATCATTTGTGCATAGTCAGTGTTTTTATTGATATCAAATGTCATTTGTACCTACTCGGTGTTGTTATTGATATCAGTAATTTAAAAGCTTGGTGTTGTTATTGATATGAAATGTCATTTCTACCTGGTTGTTATAGTTATTGAAATCAAATGTCATTAATACATGGTCTGTGTTGTTATTGATATCAAAAGAGAGAGAGAAAGTGACTCCTGTTGTGACTCCATGACCTCGTATCACTAGGGGCTTATGGAAAAACTTTGTCTCAGCTTTGCTATAAAGAAAACATATCGATTGAAGGAAAACCTTTCTAAGTGTTATTTTTTAGTTAATATATTCAAACCCTGACCTCATAAATGTTTACACAGGCATGAACAACAGTATTAACTATACATCTTCTAAACAGGTCACTATAGACAAGTCGGAAAAGTGACATCCCCCACTTCCTCCTCCCCAACTGGAAGTGTCAGTTTTGTGGTTTCTCAGTGCAACAGGGTTCAGTAACATGAATGTGTTGCCTTTTCCAGAGAGCAGTTCCCAAACGTCACAACGCAGGTGCTCTGGGACCACCAGGATGAAGTATGGCATTGCCAGTTCTCACCGGATGGAACCAGACTTGCTACCGGCTCCAAGGACAACAAGCTCATTATATGGAATGTTGATGTTGTAAGTTACTCATTAATTTCCAGAAATACATTATATGGAATGTTGATGTTGTAAGTTACTCATTGATTTCCAAAAACACTTTATATGGAATGTTGATGTTGTAAGTTACTCATTAATTTCCAGAAATACATTATATGGAATGTTGATGTTGTAAGTTACTCATTGATTTCCAAAAACACTTTATATGGAATGTTCGTGTTATAAGTTACCCATTAATTTCCAAAAACACATTATATGGAATGTTGATGATGTAAGTTCCCCATTAATTTCCAGAAACACATTATATGGAATGTTGATGTTGTAAGTTACCCAATAATTTCTAGAAACACATTATATGGAATGTTTATTGTGTATTAGTGTCCACTAAGGTCCTTATATGGAATGTTGAACATAACATATTAGAAGAAAGTAAAGTCTTTATATGAAATTTAAGCTGCCTATTTTAAGAAAACATAAAATTAACTTTTTATGTGAAATGTTTTTTAGGTATTTGTTTGAAGGTTTGAAGAAGATAAAGTCATCACATGAAATTTTGTAAATTGTCTGTTTGATAATATTTTAAATGGTTAATTAAATTAACTAGAACTGTAGAAACTCATTAAGTGAAATAAGGATATAGTACATAGATGTTTGTAAAGTGAATGAGTGTTTAAGTGAAAAGCTATAAGCCAAGGCTCTCTTTTAAGCACCTCTTTGGCTTAGAGGCTAGTGAAATTGCTCTATAATTCAATCCTCTGCATATTAGGGTTCGATTCCTGTTGTGGGAGTTTAGATAAAGTAATTCTTTGGTTTTGAGAGATTGGTACAAGAGTCACACCATGGAATAGGGCCTGGCCATCTAATATTCCCAAAGAAAGCATTTGATTTATTACACCCGACCTCCATTGTGGGGACGGCACAATTTTTAATTGAACTATAATGCCTCTGTTACAGGATTACTTTGAGTGTCGACATTACAAAACTCTAGATGAACACAAATTTGGTGTTGGGTTTATATCCTGGTGCCCGGACAACGTACACATACTTGTCTGTGGGCCTGATGAAACCAATGAGGTCTACATCTACAACTCTGTGGTAAGTTCTAGTGTGACTGTTGGCTGCTTTTCTAGTGAGGCTGTTCTTTGCAACTGTTGGCTGCTGTTCTAGTGAGGCTGTTTTTTGGGACTGTTGGCTGTTCTTCTTCTGGCATGCAGTTTTTATAAAGATACACCATGATTGACACTGCTATAGAGGTGAGACAGAGAGCCATTCACGTGGTATGTTAAGTTGTGCATAAACTTGTCTAAGTGTATGATGTGATGTTTTCTCTATAAACTTATCTGAGGGAGGATGTGGTATGTTAAGTTCTTTGTAAACTTGTATGAGGGAGGATGTGGTATGTTAAGTTCTGTGTAAACTTGTCTGAGGGAGGCTGTGGTATGTTAAGTTCTGTGTAAACTTGTCTGATGGAGGCTGTGGTATGTTAAGTTCTGTGTAAACTTATCTGAGGGAGGATGTGGTATGTTAAGTTCTGTGTAAACTTGTCTGAGGGAGGCTGTGGTATGTTAAGTTCTGTGTAAACTTGTCTGATGGAGGCTGTGGTATGTTAAGTTCTGTGTAAACTTGTCTGATGGTGGATACAGTAGGTTAAGTTTCATATTTACTAGTCTATGATGAGTAGAGTATTTCAAGCTCCCTCTAGTCTTATCAGGTTCCCTGTGTGGGTTCTGGGGTCCTGTTGGGATGGTGGCCAGCTGCCTCCTAACAAGCATTGCCATAAAAGCCAACTAAATAGAGTTTTTACTGGAGTCTGATATGTTATTCTGAAAGATGCAGATATCGCAGCCTATCTGTAAACCACCATACAGTGTGCCAGCTGCTCTTTTTAGGAGTGAATGCAAAAGATGTCAGAGAAAGAATTTGGTGGAGCCATTCATACATTCGCCTTTCTTTTGCAGACTGGAGAGGTTCGACAAAAGATCCACCAGAACACAGATGATAGTTTAACATATGCAGCCTGGATGCCAGATGGACGCAAGCTTGTTGTTGGCGGAGTTCGAGGGCAATTCTACTATTGTGTATGTAATAATCTAGTGTTACTCTTGTAACTGAGAGTAGGGGATATAGAAATGAACATTTAAACTGAAATATATATTCTAGCTGTTAACAGAGTAGGTTAACCTGATGGTGAACAGACTTTATTTTCAAAGGGTCACAAATTGGGCACCCAGGCCCATCTTACATTTGGCCCTTCCAAACACTCATCTTCCACACACTCATCTTCCACACACTCATCTTCCATGCACTCATCTTCCACACACTCATCTTCCACACACTCACCTTCCACACACTCATCTTCCTTCCACACACTCATCTTCCTTCCACACACTCATCTTCCACACACTCATCTTCCTTCCACACACACATCTTCCACACACATCTTCCTTCCACACAGCAATTGTATTTTGTATGCACAGCATATTATGTTCATGTCTTCTTCTTCTTGTTCACCGGCTGTGAATTCCGGCGGTAAGTCGCGGTTGTTCGTCCAAATGGACTTTTGGCTTTTACCTTGACCTGAGTTTTGCGTATACATCCTTTTTACTGGCTTATTTGTTTGCAGTCCTCGTTCCCTGCCTCTCCGGCAGATGTACTCCGACTTCGAGGGAAGACGTCAAGCCTATTTCTAGGTTGACTGTGGCCATTGTTTTGTGTGGGTCAAAGATGTTGCCTCATTTGTGTGGTGTCCTCTTTGACCTTTAACAGGTGTGGCCCCCGGAATATCATCCTTAAGGCAGCCCTAGGTAGAATTGTCAGCCCTCAAGGGAAGGCATGGGCATTCCCCGCCATCCAAGGAGGCTTCCATAAATGCAGAGCCGACACATGATGCTCTGGTTCTGGGCTCACCCAAGAAATCGTCACGTCCTGCCCATGACTGCTTAACCTCACAACCGTGTATTGAGCTTCCCGCGCCACAAGGCTGCGCTCTCCGGAGATCAGCGGGGAGCAGCCCGCAGGTCCAGGACTCTGGTGGCCACACAAATAGGTACATTCTCTTTCATCGTACGTTAGACACCTTTAACGTTGTTTCAGCTGTGCCCTTAGCACGACAGAACGGGGAAGCAAAATGCGTCAGGCGTGGCTTCACCTGTTTGGTCCCAACACTCGGGCGAGTGGGACCAGTGGATACGGACATTTGGACTTTTTCCTAATCGGTACGAATTATGATCGTAGGACTTAGAGCTTGCATGTGTGCCGTGGGGTTTAACTTTGTCGGACATTATTTCCTAGCCAGCAGATGAAAAGTTGCTGCTGTGGTGTACCTCAGCGCGGTGACGACGACACTGAGGATTGACAGAGGATGTACGTAGGTAGGATCTTGCTGCGAGAAATCGCCCACAAGAGATGTTATCGTCTTGGCTGCGGGTAAATCTCTCGGTCAGGGTTGCGTCTCAGCAGCACAGTTTTCCATTCGCTCCTGAATTTTAACCGAGAGTTGTCATTTGATGGTACATTTGGCAAGCAATCCTTACTCGTGTTCCGAATGAGTTTTGTTAGACTTTTCACCCATGCGTTTGGGGGCGGGCTGGTGAGAGCCAGAAAGGACACTACACCTCTAGGGGCCGCTAGCTCCGAGATCCCCTGCCAACTCTGTTAATGCTCATTTGAGACATTATCCGTGGCGCACGACGGGGACGTGCAGCAGGAGTCTTGCATGAGGTTTCGTAGAACCAGAACAGTGAAGGACTGGACTTATTCCAATTACGGGGCCTCGATAGAGTCTCGTATTGTTATTTTTCGTCACTACCTCCCCGTGCCTGGAGTGGGTAAGTTGCGCGCCTGCTGCCTTCCTTGGATGTGGTAGCCGTTTCTCATGCTCCCTCTCTGGAATCGAACCCTGATTCCCCGTTACAAACATGGTAGGCATGTCACGTACCATCGACATTTGATAGGGCAGACATTTGAAAGATGGTCGCCGGCACGTAAGGCCATGCGATCAGCACAAAGTTATCCAGAGTCACCAATGGGAACGCCGCGCCCCGCGAAGGGCAGCGACGATTGGTTTTGAACTAATAAAAGCGCTTTTTCCGCGATGGTCGGAGCTTGGTAAGCATGTATTAACTCTAGAATTGCCACAGTTATCCAAGTAGGATCGTGTCATCTAAGGAACCTCGACTGATTTAATGAGCCATTCGCGGTTTCACCGTGGAACAGTGTGAACTTAGACATGCATGGCTTAATCTTTGAGACAAGCATATGACTACTGGCAGGATCAACCAGATATCTGTCAGACAGAATTGGACGTTTTCACGCGCACACGTGGACCAGGGAGAACATCGAAGTTCTCCCCGCAGAACCCGGTGATACATGCGACACCACTGGACGCAAAAGCAAATAATTAGTTGTTTCCTTGAAGTCGGAGTGTATCTGCCTGAGAGGTGAGAAATAGTCTGCGTACAAATAAGCCAGATCTGTAAAACGGATGTGCATGCTGCAGAACTCCAGTTCTGGAACAAGACTAAAGTCCAGAAGAGAAAAAATGGCTCATGAATGCTAAACAAACAAAGTTGAGGAAGAGTGTCTTTGCTCTGAAACCGAGTGACAAACCAAAGCACATGGATAATGGAACTAGAGAGCAAAGTAAAAATGATGTTGAGGACTGCATGTGATATGCAAAGGAAAGGCTGACATGAAGTGAGTTGGGTGAGGGATTGTCCTCCACTGAGGGACAAATGGCAGAAGTGGAAGATAGGATACAGAAATTGGAATGCACAGATATTAGATTATCTTTGCCCCCATGTGGATTCCGGGGCCCCATTGTGGGGAAAACAAGAATAGATCCACTGCCTCCCCAAAAGCATGTCGTAAGAGTCGACTAATTGGGGAGCTTCCTTTGAAGTCGGAGTGCATCTGCCGGAGAGGCAAGGAACCAACAGTCTGTATTCAAGAGAATGAGATCTGTAAAACTGATGCACACGCAACACTCAGGTTCTGGAGCAGGACTGCAGTTCAGTAGTGGACGAGCAACCAGAACTTTCCGCCAGAGTGTACAGCTGGTGAACACAAAGAAGAAGAAGATGATCTTTGAACCTTATATACCCAATCTCAGGTTGTTGTTTTTCAGGACATAGATGGTAACATAATCGATACGTGGGAGGGAGTTCGAATCCAAGGCCTAGCTGCACTCAACGACAAGGTGGCGCTGGCAGCTGACACACACAACCGCATTAGGGGCTACAACTTTGATACATTGCAAGACTTTCCAGTGTAAGGTCCTCTCTCTCTCTCTCTCTCTTTGTGACTCCTGCTCACACACATACTTTCTTGCTCACTCACCGTCTCCTGTCTGTCACTTTGTGATATATCCTACATTTATTTTTGTTGTTGTCTTTGTATGTAACTTAGAATTGGTTTGTGCCGACTTTTTCTCTCATGATGCCATTCCTGATTGTATCCCTTCTTGTCACTCCTGCAGCCCATTTCAGTTATCTCATTTCCTCTACTACTACAATTATTGTTCTGTCAGTTGCTACTACTACTCATACAATAACAGTTACTAATACTACCACTACCATTTTCTTAAATCTGCTACTATCCACCTAATATTATTACTATCACTTTAGCTACTACTACTCATACGATAACAGTTACTAATACTACCACTACCATTTTCTTAAATCTGCTACTATCCACCTAATATTATTACTATCACTTTAGCTACTACTACTATTTCTGCTGCTACTGCTACACATGCCCCTTTGATCACATGTAATGGGACACATGCCCCTTTGATCACATGTAATGGGACACATGCCCCTTTGATCACATGTAATGGGACACATGCCCCTTTGATCACATGTAATGGGACACATGCCCCTTTGATCACATGTAATGGGACACATGCCCCTTTGATCACGTGTAATGGGACACATGCCCCTTTGATCACATGTAATGGGGACACATGCCCCTTTGATCACATGTAATGGGACACATGCCCCTTTGATCACATGTAATGGGACACATGCCCCTTTGATCACATGTAATGGGACACATGCCCCTTTGATCACATGTAATGGGACACATGTATGATCACATGTAATGGGACACATGCCCCTTTGATCACATGTAATGGGACACATGCCCCTTCGATCACATGTAATGGGACACATGCCCCTTTGATCACATGTAATGGGACACATGCCCCTTTGATCACATGTAATGGGACACATGCCCCTTTGATCACATGTAATGGGACACATGCCCCTTTGATCACATGTAATGGGACACATGCCCCTTTGATCACATGTAATGGGACACATGCCCCTTTGATCACATGTAATGGGACACATGCTAATAAGATTCTTAACTTGTATGTTTCAGAATTCAGGAGGATCATCCGATAATGACTTTTGTCATCGATGACAAGAAAGAACTAGCTCTTGTTAATGTTGCTTCTCAGGTTTGTATAAGCCCTTGCATTTCTTCTTCTTCCTTGTTGTTCACCATTCTTTGTTGGCACACTGTAGTTTATCTCTAGGCTGCGATATCTACGCCTTTTGGTCCAGCACGTCTGATTTCTGCAAATCCCTAGTCATGCTTAACATGCCAGTTAGGCTGCAGTAAGGCTGTTTTTTTTTTTTTTTTTCAATGAAAACCACAGGAAGTTGCATTGCTATAACCCAGGACTTGTTCATTGGTTTGTCTGTTTGAGGGCTGAACACTTGTAGCTGTATGATCTCTGTAGTCAGTTTGAAACCAGGCATCTCTCTGATATACCAGGTCTCAAAATGAGTAATTAGTTGTGCTGTGATTTGTGTACATTTTTTATTTAAATGAGTGAAAGAATGGATCACAGTACAACGTACCTTGGTGCCCTATTCTATGTACATTATTGTTTGTCAGAAAGCAGTAGGGATTACAGAGAAAATGATTTCAGATAAGTTAAGAGCTGAGTGTATGAGAAGAAATATGTTAAAAACATACTGTTGCAGCAATGGTCTTGAAGTACCATGCTCTCACGATTGAAGACTTCTCTCTTACTGCGAGCGGGTCCTGCTAGTTACACTCGCCATCATCATGGACCATGCTTCCCATGCCACACTACAGCACAGTATAACCCTGTCGTCTGGAAAGACGGAAAGATGCCCACCATAACTTTGTAATTGGACATATGCACTGATGATTTGTGGCCGTGTCAAGAGGAGATTAACCCTCGCCCTGCGTGCTAACAAATCGGGTCATGAAACTGTATCAATTTCCTGGGGGAAATCATGCCGACCACCTTTTCTTCCCATGACATTTCCTGATACCCATGTTAAAATGGATCAGCCGGGGAGCACAAGAAGATTGTTTAATCTTCTTCGATAGGGTATTTGTACCATGCTGGAAACTTGAGCTGTTTTATCAGCAGTGAAAAAGTCAACAGAAAATACAATGGTACAGCCATGTAACAATATCTATCTGTTCATCCATGTAACTATATCTATCTGTCGATCCATGTAACAATATCTATCTGTTGATCCATGTAACAATATCTATCTGTTGATCCATGTAACAATATCTATCTGTTGATCCATGTGACAATATCTATCTGTTGATCCATGTAACAACATCTATCTGTTGATCCATGTAACAACATCTATCTGTTGATCCATGTAACAATTTCTGTCTGTCGATCCACATAACAGTATCTAACTGTCGATCCATGTAACAATATCTATCTGTTGATCCATTTAACACCATCTATCTGTTGATCCATGTAGCAATATCTATCTGTTGATCCATGTAACAATATCTATCTGCTGATCCATGTAACAATATCTAACTGTTGATCCATGTAACAATATCTATCTGTTGATCCATGTAACAATATCTATCTGTTGATCCATGTAACAACATCCAGCTGTTGATCCATGTAACAATATCTATCTGTTGATCCATGTAACAACATCCATCTGTCGATCCATGTAACAACATCCATCTGTCGATCCATGTAACAATATCTGTCTGTTGATCCATGTAACAATATCTGTCTGTTGATCCATGTAAAAATTTATGTCTGTCGATCCACATAACAGTATCTATCTGTCAATCCATGTAACAATATCTATCTGCTGATCCATGTAACAATATCAATTTGTCGATCTATGTAACAATATCTGTCTGTCTATCCATGTAACAATATCTGTCTGTCGATCCATGTAACAGTTTCTGTCGATCTATGTAACAATATCCATCTGTTGATCCATGCAACAACATCTATCTGTTGATCCATGTAACAACATCCATCTGTTGATCCATGTAACAACATCCATCTGTTGATCCATGTAACAACATCTATCGATCGATAGGTTTGTCCCCTCTGGGCAGCAACCTAAAGGTTTACCAGACCATCCTGAAATTAAAGAATCTCAGTCTGGACGACAAACCAACAAAAGTAGATCCCAGGTACCCCGTTCAGCTTCCAGAGAAGTTATAATTAGGGCCGCCGTAATGGCCACACCAGTGTCGTCACCTGCAGTCCTCAGCAGGTAAGGGTGAGCTGTCTGCAGTAAATAACATCTACCAGTCACTTCAGCATTTTCCTAAAAGACTCAGCAGAATGGGATGAATAGGCAGACCAAGGAAGACCTAGACAGGCAGTTTGGTTGAATAGACAGGCCTCAAACAGGCAGACATCAGGTCCATGACGTCTGACTGATGTGTGGAAGGAGCTGATCAGACAGTTAAAAGCAACTGGTGAACCAGCAGCACACGGTACTGTGGGACTATGGGGATGAACTACTTAAGACATTCTCACTAAAGTTATTTCTTGTAAGGGAATATGATGCTGAAACATGAACATAATGTGCATAAAATATGTGTTTTAAAATATTTTCTTGGGCGTTTTAAGGGATGCCATTTATGGGATCTGAAAGACAAAGTCCTCTTACGCAAATTCCATGGGCAAACTCAGGCATTCTTCACCATATACTCCTGCTTTGGTGGTCTCAACCAAGATTATGTGGCCAGTGGCAGTGAGGGTAAGAAATGTCATCTGTGTCTGTTCTTTCACATTGTTATTTATGCCCTGTAAAACTGTCCCTTGTACTGCTCTAAGAAGAGAACACTGGCCCAGTGAGTCAGCACCACAATCAGAACTTTAGGGAACTAGCAAGGAACTCCAAAATATGGGTAATTTTTTATAAGAACTCATCTTGTCAGTGTAAATGAAGCATGCAATCGTATCAAAGAAGAATGTCTTTTATCATCGACACATTTTTCTGTACGTACGTTCAAAAGCCCTATTGTGTGGGCAGAATAGAATAGATCCACTGCTAAAAGGGGAATAATTGGGGGTGCTTCCTTCAAAATCGTTTTGAGTCTGGCTGAGAGGCAAGGAACCAACAGTCTGCATACAAAAAAGCTAGATCTGTCAAATGGATGTGCATGCAGAACTCATCTGCATACAAATGAGTCAGATCTGTAAAACAAATGCACACGCTAAAACTCAGGTTCTGGAACAGGACTGCAGTCCAAAAGTGGATGAACAACCAGAACTTTCCACCAGAGTTTACAGTTGGTGAACGCTAAGAAGAAGAGGAGAAGGGTTGGAGAAGAACAGACCCACTGCCTCCCATAAACATGAACTCATTAGCGATGTTTCCTTCAACGTTGTAGTGCATCAGCTTGAGGGTCGAGGAACCAACAAATAATCCAGATCTGTAAAACTGATGTGCACTCAGAACTCAACTTCTGGAACAAGACTAAAGTCCAGAAGAGGACAAACAACCCAGAACTTTCTGCCAGAGTTTGCAGCCAGTAAATCTGAAGAAGAGGAAGAAGAAGTTTTACAAAATATCAAAAATTCAGCTGTATTACAAAATATTTAAATATTCAGTTGCATTATAAAATATTTAAATATGCAGTTGCATTATAAAATATTTAAATATTCAGTTGCATTATAAAATATTTAAATATTCAGTTGCATTATAAAATATTTAAATATGCATTTGAATTATCAAATATTTAAATATTCAGTGGCATTACAAAATATTTAGATATCTGGTTGTGTCGCAGAATATCATTTAGATATCTGACTGTATCATATTTAGACAAACACTTGTTTGAAAAGGGGCTGAGTCGACTCGAGGTATAGCATCCGCCTTGGGTGCTAGAGGTCCCGGGTTCAAGCACTGGGGAAGCCTGGGATTTTTACATAGACTTCTAATAATTTCCTTTGGTCTCTGGGTAGGAAGACTGGACGCCCATGTGTATTGCTATGCACATAAAAAAATACCTTAACAGTTGGAAATCGAAAAAGAGTAGCCTAACGGCGCTGCCTGGGCAAAGTTTGGAGTTTAAAATCTACCCAAATTATTTTAGGATCCTCGCTGGTGCTACAGAGTTTGTGGACTCAGGTTTGAGTTAGAACAGAGCACTTATGGTTTACACTTGTGTGCCGTGATGTTGATCCTTTGAATAAACATAAACTTGTTTTAAAAAACATCACCCTCTACCTTATTGCCTGTTTGCATAAAGGTGTGTCCTGTTTCCTCTCACAGACCACAAAGTGTTCATCTGGCATAAACGGCGGGAGACGCCAGTAGCAGTTCTGGAAGGCCACAGACAGACGGTCAACTGTGTCCACTGGAATCCTAAAGAACCCAGCATGTTAGCCAGCGTCTCAGATGATGGGACTGCCCGAATCTGGGGGCCCAAAGATAAACAGAGAAAAAGAAAAGGTTTGTTTTATAATCTGTGTATTCCCCATGTGGGTCAAAGCATGTCTTAAAAGGCCACTAATTAAAGATTTACTGAAATCGGATGTGTTGGACAAAAGGTGCAGATGTCACAGCCTAGCTGTTAACTACAACACAGCTATAAACCACAGCACAGTGTACAAACTGCCCTTTTTAGGGTGAATGCAGAAGAAGATAATCTATAAATAAACAAGAGTAAAAGAAAAAGGTTTATTGCCTTATAAGACGATCATTCAGCTATTAAAAGATTGGCAAATCATTTTCACCCTTTTGCAGATGATATTTTCTACATCTGTTATGATAAAAATAAAATCTCATTGAAATTGAACATATTAAAGAGAGAGGCCAGCTTTGTCTGCTGTTGGCCCAAACAGGCCTGGCTGACTGACAGAGCAGATCTGCTGCTGCTATAACTTGATTGTGACATATACCTCTCAGACTGCTATAACTTGATTGTGACATATACCTCTCAGACTGCTATAACTTGATTGTGACATATACCTCTCAGACTGCTATAACTTGATTGTGACATATACCTCTCAGAACTGCTATAACTTGATTGTGACATATACCTCTTGAACTGCTATAACTTGATTGTGACATATACCTCTCAGACTGCTATAACTTGATTGTGACATATACCTCTAGACTGCTATAACTTGATTGTGACATATACCTCTAAAACTGCTATTACTTGATTGTTACATATACCTCTAAAACTGCTATTACTTGATTGTTACATATCCCTCTAAAACTGTTGTTATCTTGATTGTTACATATACCTCTCGAACTGTTTTTACTAAATTGTTACACATTTTTCTTGATCTGCTATTACTTGGTTGTTACATATACCTCTCAAACTGTTGTTACTTGTGTTACATATCCCTCTCGAACTGTTGTTACTTGATTGTTATATATCCCTTTCAAACTGTTGTTACTTGATTGTTACATATCCCTCTCAAACTGTTGTTACTTGATTGTTACATATCCCTCTCGAACTGTTGTTACTTAATTATTACATATTCCTCTCGAACTGTTGTTACTTGATTGTTACATATCCCTTTCGAACTGTTGTTACTTGATTGTTACAAATGCCTCTCGGCCTGTTGTTACTTGATTGTTACATGTGCCTCTCGAACTGTTATTATTTGATTGTTACATATACCTCTCGAACTGTTGTAACTTTATTGTTACATATCACTCTCATCTACAGACAGTTTAAACAGCTCTGGCCGGAACTCTCCAGTATGACACCTGGTCCATCCCTACTGATTGCAACAAACAGACACATCATAATACTGCCACAACCGACCTCACACTTCATTGATGCACATAGTTCGCCTCTCATAGCTGGCATCGATTTCTTCAACTTTACCAGCTGTAGGCCAGCGGATAAATACTTGGGACATTTTTAATTATGTTACATTATTTGGGGGGTTTTCATTTATCTTAATTTTGAAAGATGTAGTTATAAATGTCTGTTTTGTCAGAGAATAAAAGAATGCCTTAGTTTTTGTCATTTGCATTCCGTTTATGATCTCTTTAATAGTTTGTCTGAAATCTTTTTAAAAAATTCTTATATCAGTACTGCTTCATGACTAATGGGTGTATATATATATTTCTGCTTCTTTAGCGCTATCCCTAAAAAGGACGCTTTGTATGTTATGTTGTGGTTTTACAGCTAGTCTGGGATATCTGTGCCTCTCTGCTCAACACATCCAATTTCAGCTAATCTTTAATGACATGCTTGTTTGGGACCAGTTGGTCTGTTCTTTTTCTTCCCAAAATGGGATGTATATAAAAACAAAAACATACATTTTATTTTTGCCTGTTTCTCTATTTTGGGGGGAGGGGGGGGGGGTGCATGTACTATCAACCTTGTACATTTTCCTTTGAACCGAATCTCCTTCTACACTTATGTCCATAAATTGTGTCCTCACTTCTTAACCGGATCTCCTACTACACTTATGTCCATAAATTGTGACCTCACTTCTTGACCGGATCTCCTTCTACACTTATGTCCCTGATAAATTGTGTCCTCACTAGTCTGGACCGGATTCTCCTTCTACACTTATGTCCATAAATTGTGACCTCACTTCTTGACCGGATCTCCTTCTACACTTATGTCCATAAATTGTGACCTCACTTCTTGACCGGATCTCCTTCTACACTTATGTCCATAAATTGTGACCTCACTTCTTGACCGGATCTCCTTCTACACTTATGTCCATAAATTGTGTCCTCACTTCTCAGCAACTTTCTGCCAGCATGCCACTTGACAGTGCCTTTCTAGCATGTCCAACCAGCCATGATGTGGCATACTCCTTCAGTCTTGTGATACTGTTGTCTGAACCCATGTAACTCTTTTGTTTGCCCAAATCCTGCCTATTCTTTGGTCTGCTTATTTAGTGCGAACATTTTTGTTCAGGCTTAAACGAAGGATCAACATCATGGCACATGGGTAGTAATCAATAAGTGCTCCATTCTACTTCTGACTCAAACCTGAGTCCAAAGAATCTCAGCTCAGTACACGAACTCTGTTGCACCGGCGAGGATCTTGAAATACTTAAAGAAGATTTTGAACTCCAGATTTTGCCGGGGCAGCACCATCAGGCTACTCTTTTTCGATTTTCAACCGCCAAGGATTTTTTACGTGCACAATACACACGGGCGTTCAATCTTACTACCCAGAAACTAGGGGAATTACTAGAAGTTTACATGAACAAAAATTCACAGCCTTTAAGGGGGCTTGAGCCAGGGACCTCCAGCACTCGAGGTAGATGCCATGCCTTGAGACCATGCAGACCCCCCTCCCCCCATTTTTTTTTTCTAAGTCCTGCCTATTGTTTTGTCTGTCCATGTCCAGTGAACATTTTTGTTCAAGTCCTGTCACTCTGTTGTCTGTCTATCCCATGTCAACCCTACGGTTTACCCAAACCCAGGTTGATCTGTTGCTCATCCCTGTGTCACCCTGTTGTCTGTACTGTGCCAGCCCTTTGGTTTGCCTAAACCCTACCTGTTCCCTTGTTTGCCCCTGTCTCATCAACCCTATCTTTTGTCAGCACTGTGCCAACCCTATCTTTTGTCTGTACTATGCCAACCCTATCTTTTGTCTGTACTATTGCATGGGCATTTACAGCTCGCTCTTCAGGCAGAACAGTTCAAGAAGCCAGTGGTCTCTTCTCCATGACCACCAGCAGCATGACGATGGGTGTGATGGCAGTGACTCAAGCTTTCATTGTGGCTAGAATCACAGGGTGTGTGCTGAGAGATTCTTTGAGCATGATTCGGCGGGTCGAGGCAGGCTGGTTACGCAGACAGTGATTTGAGTCATTGCAAAACTCTCCTGTGTGTGCAGTTACCTTTCCCAGGGCATGCAGGTGTTGTTGGTAATGAAAGAGCTGCATTAAATTAAGATGGCCGGCCCATGGATCACGCAGACATTGTCATTGCCCTTAGAGAGATAGGACGTTCTGAGAATTTTATAAGCAACGTGTCCACATCACTAAGAATACTAGAATTGGGAGTCAAATCGGCACAGCCAAGCATGAGAAGCACACTGGACGCACACGAAGTCTTGTTAGCCAACATAGGACTGGCACTATTAACCCGTGTGACGCTGATGCATATGTTGAGAGGGGAATCTGAGCACCTATGGATGTGTCCGGAGTGCTGTGAAGATAATCTAACTCATAACTCATAACTGTCTGTACTATGCCAGCCCTGTCTTTGTCTGTACTATGCCAACCCTATCTTTTGTCTGTACTATGCCAACCCTATCTTTCATCTGTACTATGCCAACCCTATCTTTGTTTGTGCTATACCACCCCTATCTTTTGTCTGCGCTATACCAACCCTATTCTTTTTGTCTGTGCTATATCAACCCTATGTCTTGCCAAAAACCTGCCAAGTGTACTGTCTGTCCATGTACCCTGTCATCCCATACTCTGTCAATCCATACTCAACTTCCTCCTTTTCCTTCTACATTTTTTGTTTCTAAGGTGGTTCCAAAAGGAACATTTATCAGCTGACGAGATTGTATTTCTGTTGCTACTAACTGCAGATGTGAAACTCATATGTCCAGTCCATGATATCATTCTGACTATGAGTAAGTTGTGTTTGTAGATGCTTGTTTCAACCAGACTGTTTGAATAATAATGTGCTAGTGGCACAAAATTATCTGTTGGGTCCCTAAAGTATGCCAGGAGAGTAAACAAAGTCATTTCTACTGTTAGTGGGGATTTTTTTTTAAATAATTATTTTGGTACATGGTGTGTTTGAGTGGGTTTTTTTTTTTTTGGGGGGGGGGGGGGGGGGGGGGTTATAAAACAAATAGTATTAGTAAAAGGTATTTGTTGTTTATATTTTGGAAAAGGTATCATAAAGTTTTTGTGTGAATAGTATTTTGGAAGAGGTAACTAAAATTTGTTTAGCATTTTGGAAAAGGTATCTGTAAAGTTTGTTTAGTATTTTGGAAGAGGTATCTGTAAAATTTGTTTAGTATTTTGGATAAAGTATCTGTATATAGAATACAAACACTGCTGGAGACAACCTTGTAAAGGCAAATTGTTACCAACATGAGGGCAAATCCAGTTTTTGGTAAGGTCTTGAAAAGAGAGACTGCCGGTACCAGTAATAGCACTACAGTGTCCTACCATGATTGTAGTCAGATGGGATTTCGGAGAGTCAAACACCTATGTGTTATCAGGCAAGAGAATGGCAACATTGTAACTCTTCATTATTGTAAGAGGCAAGACAAAAAAAACAAGATGGTAATTATCATGCTTTTCATTTTTTTTTAAAGCACGATTGTCTGTCATAAAAGGCAATCAAGAAATCTCCAGATTGTAACGATCATGCCAGTTGTGAACGTCAATAAAAAAAACTGATTGTAATCTATCATGTCTGTCATAAAAGGCAATAAATAAAATTTCAGATTGCAACTATCATGCCTGTCATAAAAGTCAATAAAGAAAACTCCAGATTGTAATTATCATATCTGTCATAAAAGTCAATAAAGAAAACTCCAGATTGTAATTATCATGTCTGTCATAAAAGACAGTAAACTCCAGATTGTAACTATCATGTCTGTCATAAAAGACAGTAAACTCCAGATTGTAGAGAGGTCATTCTATGCTGTGGTGTTTGGGGCATTGTTCAAGAGTGGTCATTCTGGGCTGTGGTATGAGTGGCATTGTTCAAGAGGGGTCATTCTGGGCTGTGGTGTGAGGGGCATTGTTCAAGAGTGGTCATTCTGGGCTGTGGTGTGAGAAGCATTGTTCAAGAGGGGTCATTCTATGCTGTTGTGTTAGGGGCATTGGTCAAGAGGGAAAAATACTATACTGTGTGGCAGGTGGGGTGATCAGTAATTGAACAGATCAAACACAGAAAATAGGCGAACGTGAGTGGTTGCCTGTCCAATCTCATACCACGTGATAATGGTATTTTAATTATGTGGTCAGTGGCCTTTAGAAAATCTGTACCCTTGTTTGTGCAGTAGACCTGTCTGTAGTTGATATCATTTAATGTTTGCAAATGTGTAATTTTTTAAATAAGAGATGTCTCTTCCCTTGATTGGGTGAGTGCATGGGACGGTGACTGTAACATTGTATGTTGCTTTTCTGCCGAGCTTACAGGAAGTAGTCAGTTATCACACCTACTGAGCTTACGTCTGTGGCTTAGGCGTTGTGAACGCGCTTTGTAATGCCGGGATGCCAGGTTCGATTCCAGCTGTGAGCTCTGTGCCTTGCGTTGGTTTTGACAGTGGTATCGAGAATCCGACCGTCCAGAAACCAATGGCAAACTAATAGACGTAAATTTGCCTAGGAAAACCACAACAGCCAAAAACATGCTGGGGTTGGTTCTGCAACTGAGCTTACAGAAAGTAGTCAATATTTACATCTTACTGAGCTTGCAGGAAGTAGTCAATTATCACATCTTACCAGCCGTACAGGAAGTAGTCAGTTATCAAACCTTACCAACCTTATGGGAAGTAGTCAATTATCACACCTTACCAACCTTACAGGAAGTAGTCAATTATCACATCCTACCAACCTTATGGGAATTAGTCAGTTATCACACCTAACCAACCTTATGAGAAGTAGTCAATTATCACATATTACCACCCTTATGGTAAGTAGTCAGTTATCACATATTACCGATTTACAGGAATTGGTCAGTTAACTCTTACTGAGCTTACAGGATGTAGTCAGTTATCAGATCACAGCTTACCTACCTAACGAAGTAGTCAATTATCACATCTTATCGACCCTACAGGAGGTAGTCAGTTATCACATCTTACAGACCTTACCGGAGTTAGTCGGTTATCACATCTTACAGACCTTACAGGAAGTAGTCAGTTATCACATCTTACCGACCTTACAGGAGGTAGTCAGTTATCACATCTTACCAACCTTACAGGAGGTAGTCAGTTATCACATCTTACAGACCTTACAGGAGGTAGTCAGTTATCACATCTTACCGACCTTACAGGAGGTAGTCAGTTATGACATCTTACCGACCTTACAGGAGGTAGTCAGTTATCACATCTTACCGACCTTACAGGAGTTAGTCAGTTATCACATCTTACCGACCTTACAGGAGTTAGTCAGTTATCACATCTTACCGACCTTACAGGAGTTAATCGGTTATCACATCTTACTGAGCTTACAGGAAGTAATCAGTTATCACATCTTACCGACCTTACAGGAGGTAGTCGGTTATCACATCTTACTGAGCTTACAGGAAGTAATCAGTTATCACATCTTACAGACCTTACAGGAGGTAGTCAGTTATCACATCTTACCGACCTTACAGGAGGTAGTCAGTTATCACATCTTACCGACTTTACCGGAAGTAATCAGTTATCACATCTTACAGACCTTACAGGAGGTAGTCAGTTATCACATCTTACAGACCTAACAGGAGTTAGTCGGTTATCACATCTTACAGACCTTACAGGAAGTAGTCAGTAACATCTTTGCAGACAGAATATTTTTTAATTGCAAGTTACCTGAAACAAATTGTGATCTTGGCATCATTTGAAATGTAAAACTTTTAAGCTGTAACATCTGGGTTTCTAAAAATGGTATCTGTGTGGGGGAAGAAAAAATGTTGCAAATGTTATCTGCATTTAAAAAAAGTTTTCCAAATATCTATGAAACAAAATGTTTTGTAAATGGTATCTGAGTAGTAAATGTTTTTCAAATGGTATCTACATTAAAAAATGTTTTGTAAGCAAATGACATCATGTAACAAAATGTTTTGCAAACTTTAAGTGCGTAATAAAACATTTTGCAATTGGAATGTATGAAAACATTTTTTGCAAATATTTATAAAATTGTGTGCAAACAGTTTATTTGTAATGTTGTTCTTACAGATTGTCTTGATTGCGTCTGCAAGAGATGTTTGGGTACTTGTGATAGCAAACCGCTGTATTTGATTTAATCTTTCTGTTTGCTGTTTTACTGTGACATGTTTCCCTTACTTTGATTATTTGATTGTGTGTGTACTAGTGGATAATGCTTGTAATTTGTGTTTACCTCATGCCTTGCCTTTTAACCTATACCTCTTTACCTTCAGCCAACCATGTCCCTTTCTTTTATCTATGCCCCTTTCCTTCATCTGTGTCCCTTTATCCTCAGCCAACCATGCCCCTTCTTTCATCCATCTCTTTACCTTTACCTATCTCTCTTTAATTTCATTCATGCCTCTTCACTTTCAACCACACCTCTTCACCTTCAACCACACCTCTTCACTTTCAACCACACCTCTTCACCTTCAACCACACCTCTTCACTTTCAACCACAACCTCTTCACCTTCAACCACACCTCTTCACCTTCAACCACACCTCTTCACCTTCAACCACACCTCTTCACCTTCAGCCACACCTCTTCACCTTCAACCACACCTCTTCACCTTCAACCACACCTCTTCACCTTCAACCACACCTCTTCACCTTTAACCACACCTCTTCACCTTCAACCACACCTCTTCACTTTCAACCACACCTCTTCACCTTCAACCACACCTCTTCACCTTCAACCACACCTCTTCACCTTCAGCTACACCTCTTCACTTTCAACCACACCTCTTCACTTTCAACCACACCTCTTCACCTTCAACCACACCTCTTCACTTTCAATCATAACCTTTTCACCTTCAACCACACCTCTTTACTTTCAATCACAGCCTTTTCACCTTCACCCACACCTCTTTACTTTCAATCACAACCTTTTCACCTTCACCCACACCTCTTTACTTTCAATCACAACCTTTTCACCTTCACCCACACCTCTTTACTTCAGCCATGTATGTTAACCTTCAGCCAAGTTGCTTTACCTCTTTGTCTTTACAGTTCTTGTCTTGCCTCTTTACCTTTCCACTCTTACCATGCCTCTTCACCTCTCATTTTACCTCTTGATTTCTTACCTTGCCACTCCATTTGCCATCAACTAACCAAGCCAACATTTTTCAACCAATCTTGGTGAGCACACCATGCAAACTTTCTATGTCTCCACAAACGTCTCTTATCATTATTCAGTTTGCTGTGATATTTCAGTTTCAAAGCTCAGCTCCTTTACATCCGGCACTTTGCTTGTGTGGCCAAACACCCTAGAATACTACACATGAGCGGCAGACATGATCTCTGTATACAGTGAAAAGATCCCAGGTCTGGTATTCCAGTGAAAACCAAACTGTATGGATCAGTGGAAGACATGCCTCACACCGCCGCAGCTCTCCCAAAGACCTCCTCTCAACTACTGGATATGAGAACATAAAGAGAAGAACATACTTTACAACTGTAACATAGTCTGAACACATCCAGATGACAGTGATACAGTCCTAACACATCCAGATGACAGTGATACAGTCCTAACACATCCAGATGACAGTGATACAGTCCTAACACATCCAGATGACAGTGATACAGTCCTAACACATCCAGATGAGTGATACAGTCCTAACACATCCAGATGACAGTGATACAGTCCTAACACATCCAGATGACAGTGATACAGTCCTAACACATCCAGATGACAGTGATACAGTCCTAACACATCCAAATGACAGTGATACAGTCCTAACACATCCAGATGACAGTGATACAGTCCTAACACATCCAGATGACAGTGATACAGTCCTAACACATCCAGATGACAGTGATACTTTGAAGGTGGAAAAGACTCAACCCTTCATTGACCAGGAGGAATTACAAAGTAATGCAAGGAGGAATTACAAAGTAATGCAAGGAGGAATTACAAAGTAATGCAAGGAGGAATTACAAAGTAATGCAAGGAGGAATTACAAAGTAATGCAAGGAGGAATTACAAAGGAATTACAAAGTAATGCAAGGAGGAATTACAAAGTAATGCAAGGAGGAATTACAAAGTAATGCAAGGCTTTCAGGCATTTAAACAACTTTATTAGACAGTGGTGTCCCCTTGCTGTATTATTGTGGAAAATTATTTCCATACGCTGTTGTGAAACATAATGTTATTTACTTCCCATAGATCGAAGAAGTCGCAGACAACTAAGGACATATCACAGGATAGCAAGTAACCCCCGGCTGGGTTACCTCTCCATTAAACTGTAGCACTGACAGAAGAAAAGATGATTTATTTATCATCAAATGAAAATATAACCCCATAAACATGTAACAAACAATATTTTGTATTTGGTCATGAAAGGGTTAAACCTCTTCAATGCGAATATTACATGTTTGCATTTTATGTTTTTTCTAACATCTTATCCTGATACATGTTGTTGGTGCACAAAGTGTTTTTAAATGTATGACTGGGTTAGCATTAAGATTTGTATATTTAGCTAGATGTATATTGATTGATCAAGATGAGAACAATCATCAGGTATGCTGTGAATTTATTCTGTAAACACAAATACACATTTACTGCAAACAAACAAACATCATTCTTTGGTTCACTTGAAACAAACAAACAAACATCATTCTTTGGTTCACTTGAAACAAACAAACATCATTCTTTGGTTCACTTGAAACAAAACAGCAACAAAAACCAAGCACACATTGAATAATTGCCACCCAATTTCCCCCCCCCATAACTGTCTTACCTCATTTTAAACCAAGATAAAATGAATCAAACTGCAGTTAGACACCTTTCGATGCTTATTTTCAACTAAGATACCAAGCACCTTAACCAAAACTACAATTAAACACTATTTCTTGATAAGTCTTTAGAAAATGTTACCTCTAATTGAACTGTTAACTACAACTAAACACTTAGAATTTTCTAGGCTCACACAACAATGATAAGTTTTTCTGTCAAACACTATTAGACAGAAATCTGCAAATGCTTAGCAGACGTGTGAGAATCATCAACAAATAGCAAAGAATTGAACAGCTTAAAATCTGTTTTATGTCAATGAAAATAATAAAATAAACGTTATAAAACCTAATGAGATACCACCCCAACAGTTAGTCATCTTCAACTTCAGGAATGAAAGAGCTTAAGTTATGCTATCCAGTATGGCAGCTGAGGTTGGCTTTTGGTATCTCAAAAGCATGTCCTTCAATAATTTAAGGAATAATAACTGACCAGAATATGAGATCTGTGGATATAAAACTAGTTGGAACAGTTACTCCATCACAGTTATGGTTAGAGAAAGAACTGTCAAGGAAGATAGCGGGATTTTTGCCTTGACTACAAGTAGTATGATGATGATGGTTAGAAAAGCAATATCCTCCTGGTTACAGACAATTACCCCATGCCTGCTGTCTAACTTATTCCATGATCACGCTTAATAAGATGGAGACAGGATAGGTTCAGACATAATCATTTGAGTCTGTGAGGAAATTTAATCTGGTAAGAATAAGTTTCATGTGCGTGCCAGGACACTCAGGGGTAAGAGGGAAAGAATGAAGGGACTGGCTTGCTGGCAGGGCTACAAGAGGTGTAGGAAAATCACTGAATCAGGATGATGTTCTCAAGGAGACAAGACAAGTAAATGATTCAGGAGACAATGGCAACATTGAGAAGACAACAACTTCATGTCAGAAGGGATGTTGCCAGACATGGACACGATACAGGCAGCCATAGAAGAATAGTAAACCAAATCAGAACTGGTGTTATCAGTTACCATACTAAGAGAGATACTGAAGATGTGATCCGAGCGCTTATGGGCTTGTCTGAGGTGCGATGGGGATGATTGGTCGATTAACTAACTCTGTCCAAATATTTAGAACTGTGCATTAACTTTCAAGAGGTCCTCAGTTTAAAAAAAAAAACTTACTCTACTTGCCAGATGCTTACATTACTTCTAAGTACTTTTGCACTTCCTAACATTTTATCCACAAGCTAGATACATCCTTTTGTCCTTAGTGCCTTAATTTTTGCTTCTCTACTATGCTTTTTAAGTTTAGTTTACCTACAAAATGAAGAAATAACAATATTTGCAATGACAAGGGTGCTTTGTGACCATTAACTTGTAAAATAAAATGTACACAAAATTAGATTTTTTTTTTTTATATTTGTGCAACCTGTAAATTCTGTGTGTAGATTTGTTCTTTTTGTGTGTGTGGTTGCTGTCCTTTTATCATGGAATGGAGTATTCTGTAAACTGCACCAAATGAAATAACTTGGTTGTTTGTATGTATCATTTGTGACTATGTAACGGGTATATACAACAGCTATGAGATTTCCATCTGTGAGTCTCTGGCTATAGTTTAGATGTGGTGGTGAGGCCTGTATATATTTACATAAGCAAACAGTGGCAGGCAAAGGTGTTGAACCACACGTGGTGCTGCAGCAAAATTAGGGCCCATTGTTCAGATCTATCTACCTTGTGAGAAGATTCTTGACAGCTCAACAAATAAAGACAAGCAGTGTGATAAACTATGATACACTTGTTTTATTGAACATGTAAACGAACAATCCCTGCTCGCATTGTCTGTATTTGTACAAATAACTGGGTGCCACTTCAAATGAAGAGTAACTAAACAGTGGCTGCTCTAGTCCATGGGAGCTTTGTTTTGTGGCCACCTGTCAATGCCTTATAAGACAGATGCATGCATGATTCAGCTGCTGTTTCTATAAAGCACCGTTTATCTGGACTGGATTCTTTGTTTGTCCCATCTAAGGATCTATCAGCACATGGCCTGTTTCTATACCGATCCACTTGTCTGGCTTGGGGGTCTTCTCCGCAACCATGTTATCTACTACTTCTTAGTTTGCTTCTACGGTGTTCCATTTCTCTGGCTTGGTCAACACAAAAATCTCCAGATATCTGCTGCAGCCATGTCCAAGATGTCCAAATCCCTGGCAGCTTGTGCTCAAAGAAATCAGATTAAGCCTGCATCTTGGCTTGGCTGACCAACCGAAACAACTGTACCATACCTCTGTGAACGGAAACAAACAAACAAAAACTTTATTTCAAAACAAATTTATTACATGACACCAAATGCACACTAAATGTAAACATGCAAAGTAAAACAAAATTCAAACTAAAATTAGTGCTTTATTGTTGTATTCTTGTGAGATAACAGGAGGTAGTCTGTATCAGTACACTTCTCCTTTCACCCTTAATAAGATGGTAAGTGTCTAGACTTGCGGTGTACAGCAAAACTCTCTTCTGCATCCTATGATGCTCCTAGTCTCTTCATATATAGGCCTGTAGCAAATCCCAAAAACTGGGCAGTGTCATCTAAATTCTGAGTTTTTCCTGAAACACACCACTAAGTAGTTTAGGGTCAGACAGCCTTTCATAAATTGGCAAAAGATATTTCTGTAGCTTGTCACAGTTGAGCCATGTGTGTAGCATCTTGTCACAGTTGAGCCATGTGTGTAGCATCTTGTCACAGTTGAGCCATGTGTGTAGCATCTTGTCATGAGGACTGGAGACTCAAAAAGAACAACACCAAGATTGCTCTCCACTTGGGCACATTTCATGGTGTAGAGTTTTGCCTGTTGAAAAACAGTGATGTAGTGAAGCCATATAAAACTGTTCCTCATGGTCTCTACACTTGTGTTGTTTCTTTTCACTCTCTTTTACATTTTGGCATTTTGTGTAAGCTGACCTTTGCCATGTCCACCTAGGGTCACCCTTGCTTTTAGCAGTCAGCTACAACATTACGGAGTAATGTTCCAAGGCGGTGGTTACTGACATGGTCGATATATTCCTCTGTCTATGTGAATCTCCTCCCCATAGGGTTTGATCTTGGTAAAATGATTTAGTATCACTATCAGAAAGTATTGATGTATAGCGGAGCTTATGACTGGCCACAGACCGCTGCTTATTCACAGAGATGACAACTTATTCACACATAGATACAACTCATTGATGCAGATAGCAATATGTTCAGAAATTACAAAATTTGACACAGAGATGACAACATATTCACACACACATGGCAACTCACTGATGCACAAATGGCAATAAGTTCACAGATGACAAGATATCACACAGATGACAATTTACTCACACACCGGTGACAACTTGTTCACACAGATATGACAATTTACTCACACACCAGTAACAACTTGTTCACACAGATATGACAATTTACTCACACACCAGTGACAATTTGTTCACACAGATATGACAATTTACTCACACACCGGTGACAACTTGTTCACACACAGATGACAATTTACTCACACACCAGTGACAACTTGTTCACACAGATATGACAATTTACTCACACACCGGTGACAACTTGTTCACACAGATATGACAATTTACTCACACACCAGTGACAACTTGTTCACACACAGATGACAATTTACTCACACACCAGTGACAACTTGTTCACACAGAGATGACAATTTACTCACACACCAGTGACAACTTGTTCACACAGATATGACAATTTACTCACACACCAGTGACAACTTGTTCACACACAGATGACAATTTACTCACACACCAGTGACAACTTGTTCACACAGATATGACAATTTACTCACACACCAGTGACAACTTGTTCACACACAGATGACAATTTACTCACACACCGGTGACAACTTGTTCACACAGAGATGACAATTTACTCACACACCGGTGACAACTTGTTCACACAGAGATGACAATTTACTCACACACCGGTGACAACTTGTTTACACACACAGGTGACAACTTGTTCACACACACACCGGTGACAACTTGTTCACACAGAGATGACAATTTACTCACACACAGGTGACAACTTGTTCACACAGAGAGATGACAATTTACTGACACACAGGTGACAACTTGTTCACACACACACAGGTGACAACTTGTTCACACAGAGATGACAATTTACTCACACACAGGTGACAACTTGTTCACACAGAGAGATGACAATTTACTGACACACAGGTGACAACTTGTTCACACACACAGGTGACAACTTGTTCACACAGAGACTTACTGAGTAGCAATTCTACGCAGTTTGACTTCCCTGGGGTTATCCAAAACTGAAGGTATTCTCCTCCCCATTGACTCCCAGATTTTTCTCTGAAAATAGCAGACATTTATACTTTTAAATTTACACCAATACAATAATAATTTCAGGTGCTTTATTAATATCCTACCCCAAAGAGGGGAAATCCACAGGTCATGGGACAGTCTAATATTTCAAGTGGTGGTAGATAGGTTGCATGCAGTCGTGGGACCTAGGCACTCTCTCGTGGGACGTAGGTGGGTTAGGGTTAGTTCTAGATGGTTATGGGGTCATTAAAAGCATCAGAAAGCCGGGAAACCCAGTCCTACCACTCTCTAAAATGTTGGAATGTCTTGTGACGTCATCTGGAGTAAGATAATAAAGAACCTAATTTCAAACAAAAACTTAATTCAGCACACCATTTGTAGTATTTCTTCTTCTTGATTCTGACCATCCAACCTTTAAATGACAGGTGTGCCTGAAATCTGCAGGTTGGTGGATCATAAGTGTATCTGATTAGGCCATATTTCATAATAGTTTGGTATTTGGTGTTGTACAAATTGTATAGGTCCCTCTGATATGTGGGTTGGGGTCTATTTATAATGATATAAATGTGTCCCTTGTGGAGGCAAATGTCACTCAAATGTGATGCCAAAGCACTTGGGACATGCCCCATGAGTGCACCGTCTCCCTCAGACAATGTTACCAATTATGAATATGTACAGTTCCTTTAGTCCGTTCGTTAAGTACTCAGTTGATCACAAACTGTCCTGCTTTGGTCCAGTGGGGCACCTTATTTGATCATTGACAGCTAAATATGGTCACTTATTTGCGTTTCCTTGTGCCACAGGTGGTCATCTACAGACTCATGTCTTCTATGGAAATTGCTGCACAAAAGAGATTATGGATAAAGCAGATAATGACCGCAGACAAGCCCTCCCCAGGGCTATGGCAAAATGAGTATCAATGTATAGGAATTAATGAGTTAACAAGCAATCTGTCAGAGGACACAAAACTAACTAACTTGCTAGAAGCCTTGACATTTTTTGTTTCTGTCGACTAATAGTAACATTTTTAAAAAAGTGAACATCCTAACATGAACAACTTTTACAAACAGCTGTAAAATGTGGATGCTAACATTTAAACTTAAAGGGAAAACAAGCGTTTGAAATGTGAACTTTTCAACAACAAAAACTGTTGGTATGTCACCACAATAGCTGTAAAATATGGACGCTAACATTTGAACTTAAAAAGAAAAAAAAGCATTGGAAATGAGAACTTTTCAACAATGAAAACCCTTGGTATGTCACAGAAAGACTATATCACAATGACAGATGATGAAGTTTTGTCGTATCATCACTCAGCACCTTGGCAATTATGAGCCTCTTTTAACAACAGTGAAAAGGTGGAAAATGTTGCAATGTTGCAGACATGTAGTAAAATCTACCAGAAACTCTAAAACAATATTATAGAACTCTGGAGAAAAGAAGAGGCAGACCAAGATGCAGAATGTGGCTGACTGGACCCGTCTCAAACATGGAATCATCGTCCAGTGCATCTGACCGATAGATGTGAGGGAACTCAGCAACCAGTGACCCAATGACACGTTATGTAGTGGGACTACGATGATGGCTATGACGATTGTTTTATGCTTTTAAAAAAAAAATAATCATTGCTCACCTTTTCTTCTTTAGCAACATCATTAAGCTTCTCATGTTTTAAATGCTTGCTTTTTACGTTGGGATTTTCTGATTCCTCTCTCTGTCGCTTTCTTTCTGAAATGTCTTTGAATATCTCCTGACTTGTTTTACCTTTGGCTAACAACACTCGTTTACTTTTAGAAATGTCTTTGGACAAAATTCTGGCTATAACGCTTGCCATTCCAGACTTCTCATTATCTTGTGTTTGAGATGTTTCTTTTGTTCCATTTTCAATATCTGAACTGGAATCCGAAGGCTCTTCTAAAATTAAAAAAAACAAACAAATGTAAATACATTTTATGATGCCTTTAACGTCCCCAAATTTTTTTTTTTAAACAAATATATTCAATATTTAGTACAATTGTATAGCGACTACGGTGTCCGGAAATTTGCGATATTTTGGCAATTTCCGTTACCACGGAAACCGTTCGAAACTTGCTTCGGAAATGTCGGCTGGGGTTTTGGGATGGGTCCTAATCTCTCATGAAATTTTGCGATTGGTGTGATTTTCACCCACTCTAAATAGCTGAAAACAGCTGGAAGGAACCCGATTAACAGCGCATGTCTACGACAGCCGGACGTCCTCTGTATTTCTGTTACATCAGTTTGATTGAAAATAGCGGTAAATTTTCAAGGTTGGCTTTGGCCTTAAACATTACCAGACATGGTAATGCTAGTTATAATTGAATTCTCCGTCCAATTTTACATTTGTGTATAAAATTTCTTTCTTGTCCGTGGCTGTTTAGATTTACAGTGAAATTTTTTCAGGCAATCGCTATTATGTGGCTGTGTCTCATTCGTCATTGGCTGCCATCTTGTCCAATGACAGTCCAATGTAAACAAAGCCAAAACGAAAGTTGCGCAGTTTGGTTGCGCAGAGAAAACTTCTTGTTTCCTGGAAGACAAGTTTTAGCAGCTGTTTTTTTTACATCTCATCTCCACAAAAACCAACATATCTCAGTTCAGAAATGACATACAAGCCTAAATGAGGTACTGTTGGAAAGAGATTGTTTACAGCTATCTAACTGTGCTGGTTTTATTATTGTAGAGGGCATTTTAAAAATTTGACTAAAGTAACTAAATTGTATGGTCTTTTAATGTTACTTACATGTGTGTAATTAAAAAATTGCTAAACCTAACTAAACCCCATGGGACTCGATGAGTTAAAATCTCATGAGATGTCTATAATTTAATAATGATATATATTTTTAATTGTATTCCCTTCATTTTGTAAATGTAATACACATACTTATCTAAGTCAGTAGTTAGTCCTACCTGTTGGCATATTTTCATCTGCATCAACAACGTGACTATCATTATCGTCATTTTCGTTATCATGATCATCATCGTCAACAACGTCTTCATCATTATCGCTAGCGTGACTAATATCGTCAGCACCATCAAGAAGACTGTCATTTTCATCATCAGTAAGACTTTCATCATCGTCGCTGTCGAAACAGTCGCCAGAATCGGCAAGAACCTTCACTTTGGCCATCTTTCTCTGTCGCCTTGTTGTGATATTTTTATGTTTGCAGGCGTGTAGTTTTTTAAAAACAATCCCCCGGATGTTGCGTGGGAGCGAAACAAACTGTACACTGACTGACTGACTTTCTACCCCACCAGGACATCACACAAGCGATAAACACCCGATGACACAAAGTGCCACCATGCGGATGAGGATCACCGTGGAGAGGTCCCAGAAACCGCGTTCAGCCAATTGGCCATATTGATGGCCTGCCTATATTGCGGCCCCTGGCAAAAGCCAGAGTGGGGGTTCAAATGAGAAAAAATTACGTCCTGAAAAGGACTAAGTGAGAGACGCTACCTACTCAAAATAAACAAACTGTACAAGCAATTCCTCTCATTTTGGTTCTTATATTCTGTTTCAGTTTTACTAACTAAAATTTTTATCTTGTTATGTTTCTGTTAAAGTTAATTCTTAACGAGAATGTAAGCGAGTTCTACAAGCACCTAGCGATTGTTCTGGTATTTGCGGGCCGCGGTGGTGTGTCGGCTAGACACCCTGCTCCCGTCCCAAGGGTCTTGGGTTCGAAGCATCCATCGAGTCAGATTTTTTTCTTTAACGCCCTTGGCTGCCATGCCTAAAATGTGTAGCAGGTCCACAGGCGACCGGTGTTGTGTTAACCATTATCCACCGAGTGCCGACTGCTCAAAAAAAGGGGGAAAATTCAAAGTCTAGCATCAAATGTCCGCTGAGGCACTGGCATGAAAGAGGGTCCTGTGATTTTGTGTGTGTGGAACATTTAAAGTCTTTCTTCTTATATCTCCCACGTGCATTAGGAGTGTTCCAACTACTGGCGATCTTAAACTTAGCCAATGCCCTCACTTATTCCCTCTCATTCCGGCATGACTTTGGCAGAATCTACCTTGAGTGACATTTAGTCGTCCTCTATATCATCAAGTACATACCACACCAAGCTGAGTTGAGTTAAGAATTGACACCACAGCACTCGGGGTATTCCCATGTGCGCTCAATCCCCATCTTCAGCAGTCAGGGCAGAGTTACAATACTGATGGTACGGGTCACGATCTGGTTATTTGTCCGTCTTGTCTTTCCTCTGAGTGTAGTGAGCCGGCCAGACCCTCTGATTACACCTCATTCTCTTCAGGCCATAATAATCTTGTTTCTCTACTAATTCCTTTGCTTGCTCCAAAGATTCAATCACATCTGCCTTGTAATTGTATCAATTAACCACCCAGGGGTGCAGATCCAGCCAATCTGTCTGCCTGTTCATTACCCTCCACGCTGGAATAGCCTGGAGAAAAGATTTAAAGTATGCTCACCCCCCGTGACCTTCCCAGTGAAGCTTGCCACTCTGCTCGCAGCATCCCTGTCTTCGCCTTTCTCAGCATGCTTTCAGAGTCCGTTACAATTACCACATGTGTATGCATCTTGTTCTCTAGCCACCGGAGAGCTGCAGTTACTGTCTCTATCGCCATTTTCATGCTAGATATTGTGATGTCGAATGCTAAGCTGTCTTGCACTAAAGATTTTCCATTGGCCTTCGCTACTTCTCATCACCGAACCAACTGTGTAGATAATCAGATCACCCGGGCGTGAATTGTTGTGAATCCACTGTTAAATTTCCACCTCCATAACAACCGCTGGCCATTCTCCGCAAATTCGGCCCAGTGTGATCATAACCCCACACAGGTCAGACTTTTCCTCTGGTACCCTGACCCACTCGTCTCCTCGCCCGATATTCTCTAGCATGCATGCTTGTCTTATTGTGTCTTATTATTACAAGCAAGCCAGAGAAGGCAAATGTAGTCCTAAAGGTACCAGGGATCACTTCAAAAGATGCTCAGACGGAGACACAACAGAGAACCCTGGCTCTTGCTATGCTTGATGAGAAGTATCCAAACACAACATGGACTCAGGTTTTCAACGACGGCTCTGCTACAGAAGCAGTCAGAAAAAAAAGGGGGGGGGGGGTGGTATATACATTAAACCCCCTAGCAGTAAAGCAGAAACTATCTCTCTACCAGCAGGTGACATCTGCACTAACTTCAGAGCTGAGGCAACTGCCCTCCTTTCTGCAGTCCAACATCTCATCAATCAAGAATACAGAGGGCACAAAATTGTTATACTTAGTGACTCACTGTCTGTTCTCCAAGCACTATCAAGCAAAAAACAAGACAAGCTAATTGCAGATCTAAGGACCAACATTGGCTTTCTCTCCAAGGAAGCATAACTGGCTTCTTGCAGTGGATACCAGCTCACGATGAGTATTCAAGGAAATGAGAGAGCAGATGAGTTGGCAAAAGCTGGGAGTAATCTTCCACAACCTCATCCACCACACAGCTACAAGGAAATAAAAACAGCGCTAAAGCAGTCTTTCAAGCGGGAGTGGAGAAGGCAGAATGGAGATTACAGACCAGAAAGTGACAGCATAAACAAACTCAACCGGAAAGAACAAACAACAATTTTTAGACTTCGGACTGGACACTGCGGTCTTCGAGCACACCTGTACAGGATAGGCATAAAAGAATCTGCTGCCTGTGATTGTGGAGCAGAAAGACAGACCCCTGGGCACATACTACAGTACTGCCCTTACCTCTCCCAGCAAAGACTGTGGATCTGGCCCAAGGGAGCCACATTGAAAGAGAAGCTATGGGGGACCGGTGGCGACCTTAAACGCACAATCCTATTTGTGACCCAGACGGGACTCAATGTTTAGCATGACTGATGTCGAACTCAGAAGAAGAAGAAGAAGAAGAAGAAGAAGAAGAAGAAGAAGAAGAAGAAGAAGAAGAAGAAGAAGAAGTGTCGTCTGCTTGAGACATCCACGATTTCTCTCTTTTTAGCCTCTGGCCCTTACCTGCAGCCAAAGTTTAATACAGAGGATGCTTCTTGTCTGCGACTACTCTAAGGTATGACTTAGCCTGCAGCACCTCTAGCCTATCTGCAAAAGTCGGCAATGCGAGGATATACCGCGTGCACACAATCGGGTTGTCTCTTGTATATTTCAGGATCACCGGCGTGGCTTCATTCTGTATGAGCTCCAGTTTCTTTATCTGACTCTTCGAGACAGCATTGAGATGATTAAAAGCTGGTAAAGTGTGAACAGCATTTTCTGCTCCATGTCCATCGCTGCCATAATCTTTAGTGCATTAACACCTTTTGAGCCTTTGTCACAACCCCCTATACACCAAAACAGGGCTAATATAGTCGGTCAAAATTTGCTGCCTCATAAATCTCCAAAATCATAGATTAGACTGTTCTTCATCCGCCAGGGCATGTGGTCAAGCCAATCAGGCATTTATCTAACTTTTGTCCCTGCGCTGTTTTCCAATGAAGTTTGCCAGTTGTCACTAAGTTTTAAAGACTATTTTTTCTCTAAGAACGTAACAAATATTGACCGGCTAGTCAAGACATCTATAATCAGGTTATATGTGAGAGAGCTTTAAATTAAAATCTTGAAACTGTAATCATGTCTTCTGGAGAGAAAGAATGATGCACTTGGGTGTGACCAGAGGGTTTGGCTGGCACACTACGCTCAGAGAAAAGGCAAGATGGACATACAACCAGACATCGACTAGCACCATTAGTAGTGGAACTCTGTGCTGGCCACTGAGAGGATGGGGGTAGAGTGCGAATGCCCCGAGTGCTGTGATGTCAATTGTTAACTCAACTGTAATCATGTTCATCACATAGCAGGTCCTTTGCAAAATGCCGCTCTCAACTCATCATGATCGGTCTGAAAGAAACTTGGTCTCTCGCCAGCTCTCCCGCCTCG